TGTTCAGCAGCGTTTGTACAGTGGTTACTGGCCTTGATGGGCGCGGATGGTGAATGTTGATGATGTTATTTGCTTCTGTTCGTGGGAACGATGTCCAGACGTTTGGAGAACCACCCAGTGAATAGCGAGGATATGGCACTGCAAAGTCGACTTTATGTCGAATCTTTGATTACTTGTGCCACATGTCTGTTGATCCTAAAGATCTTGTTCATGTTTGACCAGTACATCGCATCCAACCGAAGGATCCCAAGGCTCATGTCCTCGAAGCTTTGAGACTGGTGTCGTAATATTTGCCGCCACTTGTCGATCAGAGTTTTGCACGTCTTTGCGTGCTTTACGCTCGGTGACTGGACAAAGAGTAAGGCAAGAAAGCTTGAGGTTATCGCCCAGCCAACTCGAGACCCTAGATTGATCCACAAATTAGACATGTACCCATAATTGTGTGCTTTCCTGCACAAACACGAGCGTCACTTACACGCATACCAGAAGCCAGCAAAGTCCCAAGACATCAGCTCGACAGTGAAGGTGCTGACAATCCTCGCACAGTTTTCGGCAGCACATATGATCAGCTCTATCTCGTTTCGCAGGCCCTCGTCCGGTTCTTGTGCAGTAATGTTTGCATCCAAGTCATTGCGAACGTGCTCTGTCAGTGGAGCGGCATTCGAAACATCTTCCAGATCGATGGATCCCAGTGGCCGAAGTAAAGCTCGGTACAATAGAATTTCGAGAGTAAGGTAAGCGAATTTAAGGCAGGCTGCCGAGCTTGGTGCAGCGAAAGCCGTCCTCTCGGGGTCTACCTTTGGTGTCTTCAGATAGATAGGAAGACCGGCATACCACAGCTTGAGCTCTTCACGGAGAGGTTTGATTGCCCTTATGGAGCCAGCAAGGTCATCGGCGAGCTTTTCAGTAGCCCTTATCGTGCTGTGCGGTTTCTCTCAGCCCATGAAAGCATCAACCAACGGTCATCAGGGGACTTACTAAAGACAGCGGTAGATATTGTCGGCAATGATAGTCAACGTTGCGAGATGCTGTGATACCATACTCTCATCAGACTCGTTTATGGCATGTCGCAGCTTTTCCGCGGAATCGTTTGTTTCCGTGTCATCGCCAAGCTGAAGCAGCTCCTCAATCTCAAAATCAAGAAAAGTAAGCTCTGACACATTCCACTGGTCTGGTGCGATTACAGCGGGCCTTCCCAATAAAAGACTTCTCCACGTCGCCTCTGAGAATGTCATCCACCACAAGCGGCGTCGTAACCGTTTTTCCCACGGCGGTATTGACCATGATCTGCAGTCCAAATGCAGCCCGAGGCTCGTGGCTAAGCCAACAACAGAGGTGGTCATAGACCATGAGAAAGACGTATCCGCTGAGACATGCTGCACTCCTACTCGGGGCTTGTGAAGATACAGTAATGCGCCTGAGATGGTTGCTAGTTGCGGGGTATGTAGCGTAGTCTGGACCCCGTCATAGACCATTTGCCAGAGTCTTTGGGCGGGAGGTTTCTTGTAGACACTGGAGACACATAGTATGTCGTCATATGCAATGAAAGGGAGAGCAGAAGCGTATATGGCAGCCAGCAGATAGGTTGGCAATGAAGTATGTCTCGAGGATGCGGACTTGAAATGTCCACTAAGGGCAGTTACTATTTGTGACCGAGAAATGACGGGGAATGCTGGATACACGTATTGTACGAACCTGTCCAGTTAGGCTCATATTGTTTGGTCGTAAATGGGGCATGCTTACAATAGAACAAGTCTTTGTCCAACATCTTCATCCACTAAGTCGTTGAGTTCCTTTCTCACTGAGTCATGGTCATATAAATGATCGGTAGGCCCGAGACGTCTTAGCTCATCACTCAGCTCATTTGAGGTCAAAAGAAACTGTACTGGTACATTGTTTTGATCATGAGTTGAGCTGTGGTGTCCTGTAATCGAAGAATGGTCGCGACGCGAAGGGGTCCAGGGCTGTGTCCTTCGATATATCACTCGAAGAAAAGGAAACTCATCTGCGTCGTTATACAAGTAATGTCGGAGAAGGTAAGGGTCCGACTCTCCCGAGAGACCAAAGTACGCGCTTTGGAACCCGGGCCTCTGGTCGATGGTAAAAGTAGCATCGGTCGGATGAGATGACCGTGCACAACCGGCGTGTGGTTCCGTCAAGTATCTACCCCCAGTCTCGTGCGCGGAATTCGCGCTGATCAACAGGGCTTCTAATGTTGGCAGTGGAGCTGCTTGCTCGCGTGTCTCAAAATCATGCCGAAGGACTTGAGAATTCGGAAGCGAGATTTCGTCAAACGGCATCAGACCAGTGCCGACAGCAGTGCTCACAGGCTGTGTCTCATCTGGCGTAGGGCTGCTCCAGATCCGTTCATCGGTGAAGTCTCCATACATCGCGTCCGCGTCCACGGAGTATTGGCTGAAGCGGTTGTTCGCTTGGTCCTCAAAAGATCCCGGAACCATATCACTGACCAAACCTTCTGGCAGGACTGTTGAAGTGCCGAAGCCGACTCTGGTTTGTCCCATGTCATCCAAACCGTCGCCATCATTTGGGCTATCCCCGGATACAGAGGCGGTTCCCGACTCTTGAGTGAGATCATCGAGAAAGCTGCAGCGTTGGCCGCGTTTGCGGCACGATATACACGCTATGTCTTTTTCCGCACGGCGACATGAAGTCTTACGTGAACGACAGAGCATGCACGGCCGATTCCTCTTTGAACGATACGGCCGGCGTTGCAAGGTGTTGATTGTCGTCCGCCTGAGTGCGAAGTTTGGGTCCATGATGCATGCTTGAACGGTAAACGGGACATGTGTCGTTATGCTTAAGACGCGCCACTTCAGTCATTGCCTTATTGAGAACTTTGTGCCATTTCACTTGCCGCTTCTTTGATATATCAAATCGAAGGAGGTACTTTGTAACAAGTTATCGGATCAGGTGGCAAGCGAAATAAGGACGGCGATTGTGCTAATGGGGCGTGTACACTACCAGCACTAATAAGACTCCACAGATAGGCGAATTCTTTTTCCGTAGCAGGCGTCAATCGGCCTATCAGTCATTCCAGTATGTAATCATGTCTACTAAGGTAAGCCACAAGACGCGCCCCCTCACAATTGTAGATGCAATGATGACATGCGAATCTCTTGGGAACACCTTAAGCGTGAATCAATAGACCCGAATCCTGGGAATGTACAAAGATGACTTCAAAGCTGGCACTTGTCATATTCCCCCTATGAAGCTTCCCTAGAGGTGTAGAATGGAAGAAAAACTCGAGACGCAACTTCGAATGCTCACTAAGTACGTTTAGCAATCAGTCTGTTCGACGTGATTGAGGCTTCGTGCAGCACTTTGCGTTCAATAACATCGAGCAACTAGAGGTCTTGGTAGTTACCTGTCAAAGTTATACATGATATATGAATCGCCCAACTTGTCATATCGTTCGGTCCCTATAGCGCGGTGCCAGATCTTGAGATGTTCGCGGCCTTTCTGAGTATGATCATTCACGAAGCCGCAAACGAGACTAACGAGCTAGGAGCGGAGACAGACGTTATCAAAAAGGATAAAGAACTCATGCCGTGCGCCTCGCTGCATGTAGCGCCGGTCACTGCCACTCCTTTCGTCCGTCCGTCTCAATAAGTATTATGTCCTCTTCCTGGACCCAAGCTCTGAAGCGATCAGACGCTACAGGTCACTGACGGAATGTCCTTCGAGGGCGGGTTCAACCACAAAGACAACGTCCACGTTATTGAGGGTTTCCGGGGCATCGGACCGGAGAACACATTTGCGCAGGCTATTCGCGAGATGTTCCTAAACTTTCCTCAGGGCTGGTGCGAGAAGTTGTGATGAGTTGTGCGGAAGACCCTGGCTTTTGATTGAACTACCTTACTTGAAAAGCTCGGGGTCTCGGACGCGGTGACGTGAATCCGAGCCCAATGCGAGGGGACATTTCCCCATGTTTTCGCAACTCCAAAGTTGTGGGTATTGCAACTCTAAGACTTTGCTGATTGGTCCTAATGACGATCATGTGGAGACGAGCTGTCTTCAGGGCTGATTGCAGCTGGTGACAATTCGACCAGGCCCCACCAGACAGTAACTCTTCTCCGCCACATCGCTCGACCTCTCGGAATAGAGGTTTCCCATCACCTGTGCAACTAAGAGGACGCGTAATGTTACGGAGGAAACAAAGGGTGTTGTCTTTCTCACTGAATTTGATCGCCATCTTACCTGTTCCGGCAGCATCCGAATAATCATCGGTACCAATATGGAAATTATTTGGCAGGCCTCGGCGAAACAGAACGCTAAACGCTCATCCCAAGATAAGTCCATACTCTATTTCTCACGTCCGAGTCCCATCCGCAAAACCCCTCCCAACTAACTCAAGCCTTTCACCCTGTCAAGGCTGTCGCGCACGAAAGAAACGGTGTTATCATGTTGGTGTCACCGAAAGACCATACGCTGCCAGACGCGGCGACAGGTCAACCACAGACCCAGTCGATCACGCATCGAATACTCGGGACTCAAGTCCGAGCCCGAGCCGTGTCAGTCTGTACAACCCAGAATCCGTCTTGGCGGATCTTTCTATGGGTTCGACAAGGGCGAGACTTGCAGAGAAGGCCGGCACTTGTCGAGTACACCCGCGCCACCGGGGAAAAGAATCAGGTACATCTGAAGAAAGCATTTCCCTAGAGGAGAGATCTCTCCGCCAGCGCAATTGGTACGATCGCCACCGTCTCAAGTCCAGGCGGATTGAAATCTCAGACAACCAACGACGGTATCTTGAAGAAGAGGGGGCATTCCTCGAATTACCAAAGTCGACGACAGACATTCTTCTGTCAATTTACAACATGCTCCTAGATGATCTCATTCCAGTGGTAGATGGAGCTGCAATATTCCGGGACTACAGCAATGGGCAGGCATCGGTGTTCCTCCTCAGAGCAGTATCCCTCGTTGCCTGTAAATTTAGACAGGCAGCCCCATTTCTGAGAATCCGTGAAGATGGCGCCATCATGGATCAGAGACACTTTGCTTCTGAATTGCTCAAAGGTCTCGATGCCTCTGTCAAGGCAGATCTCGAGCCCGACCGAATCACCAAAGTTCAAATCTTAGCCTTGATGCACCTACACAACGACGGTCTGAGTGGCTTGGATCGCTCATCGGGGTATCTTTCTCAGGCTATATCTGAAGCATGGGCAATATCACTACATGTGAAAGTTCCCGTCAATTCCGACCAGGAGCGCTGCGACTTTTTGTGGTGGACACTACGAAATTTTGATCGGCTGAACAAGCCCGTCATGGGCGCTGCTCCGTTCATGATTGATGATACAGACATTGGAGTTGCACGCATTGCTCCCCGAAAGGACCACTACCGATCTCAGCTGATGGCCATATCTCTTTCCCTTGGAGATTTGATGAAAACGGCAACTAGGATCTACAAAGCTAGCTCAACTGCAACGGATGATGACTCTAATGTATTTCCGACATTCTCTGAGGTGACCACTGAGATTTGCCTGGATGGATTCCAGAGATCCCACAGATGTAAGTAATTCTGGAGCCCAAAGTCATACGTTGTGCGTTTCTCTGATTGTGGTCCCTTAGTGTACTTGCAGATTTGGTACCATGTCGCCGCTATGCTCTCCTGTCGCTATAGCGGGCCGAAGAGCGTCCAGTATCAGCGACGTCTATCTTCTGCTGATAATGTACTCCGCATCGTCTGTCTTGAAGGGCCTGCGAATCTCCCGCCTCTTCCTCTTATACCTTATGCTATGTCAATGTCTACCACGGTGATCTATCGAGCTCTTAGGGATGGCGAGCGAGTACCAGAAGAAGCGCACAAAGATCTTGGGGCATGTTATGACAACCTCATCATCCTCAGTCAACTTTGGACCAGTGCGAAAGGAGTAGCCAAATTAGTGAGGCGTTTGCAACAATTTACCAGGCCCAGCGCCCCTCCCATTCGAACCACAGAGGGTGCCCCATGTACTTGCGACAACACACATCAACACGAAGACATTACTAGGAGCCCCATCAGCAACTTGAATAACCTACAGCGACCAACTCAGGGTATGACTGGAAGCTCGGTGTTACCTGTTTCGAGCCTGGTGCAGCCTAGTGAGGTTTTTCTACCGGAAAATTACGCAGATAATGATGACCAATCGGGTACACAAGCTGGTTCTTGGTTTGTTGACGGGCTATCTTACTCTCATTTCGACAGGGCCTTTTACGATTTCTTCGATTATGGTATGCCCAGCCTTTTTCGCGATTTGGCAACTTGGGATTTTCTCCAAACAGACGCAAACGACGATACGGAAGTTTCACCGTCGTAGAAATGGTACTAACTTATAGAACTCGCTATGTTTTGAGAAAAAGGACCATTCTTGTCGTTTCTTCTTTCGTAGTCTACTACCGCTCAATACAACCCTTGGACCTCGAAAACCATATTGCCAAACTCTAGAGCTGGCCAAGAACAAGTCCCTTTAGAACTGCATCCCGAGCAGCAGAGCATTGTATACCAATGTCTTGAACCTCTGGGTCTCAATCACAGCACCAAAACTAATTTCAATGTCAGCCCGAGAAAGGAGCGGATCACGAAGGGCTTGACTCACCCATGACATTTGATGCCCTCCATTAATCTATCAGCAAGCGCCCATAATCTCCGCAGCTCAATGCCACCAAAGTGAGGCTGGCTACGTATATACTCCCACGCTTGAGCTGGCGTCATCTCCCCGTCGAAGCAAACGTGGGGAGAGAGAGCCAGGATCCGTTCCAAGATATCTCGGGGTGCGCCTTGGTACGACGGAGGACCAGCACAACCCTTTTCGTTCGGTCGAGACGGGTCTGTATGTATCGATAGAGTTCGCGCCGATACTGTTAACATGTGACCCGTTGAGTCCTCAGGGTTCTTGGGGTTACCATGAATATGCTCCAGACAAGGACTTTCGAGCCTTTGAACGGAGTCAGCAAGTGTGCAACTTATGAAGATCAAAATTCCACACGACATCGATGCACGGTGGCATGGTCGTGGTCTCACCTTAGAACAAACTCCATACCTGCTGCGATCAAGTCAACCTCGCACATTCGGTTGTCTTCACAGTCATGCATGGTAACCGCTCTGTTAGTCTTCAACCACGGCAAGTCCGTTTCTTGATTTTCGGTGTATTGGCGACTCGAAAGGGCGTCTTTTGCCGTTTGAAGGTCATCGACAACATTGTCAGCCGCTGTATAGAATTCCGCGTGGGCTGTGCTTGTATCAGCCGCCCGACCGTCTTTTGATTTCATTTCTGGAGCTCTCGAATATTCGATGGCTCTCACTCCAGTCAGGGATTCATGAGTTCTGGAATGCAACGTGCTATGCATATCACCGTCATTTTTGCTGATAAAGTTATCCACGAAAGCCGCAGGAACGCCGATTCCATAGCGAGAAAGTAGTTTTGTTAATGATTCGAGAGCAGCATACAACTGCTCGCATCGGATCATAAGTTCAGCTTCTCTCTTTCGGGCTATTTCGACCTCTTGTTCGAGCGACTTGGTGTACTTGTCCTTACGATCACGGTATGACCTAAGGTAATTCGGGATTAGAAAATTGCCTCAGCACCGGCAGATATGCATTTCCTTACCGTTGAGCACTTCGAAGTTGTGCTCGCCGCTTCTCCACTGGATCTTTCTTGGCCTCTGTAATAGGATTGATTAGATCCCGGACAACAATGAAGTCATACACAGACAACTGCTGCACGACATGCGTGCGCATATCTGTGCTGAATCAATTCGATGGACGAACCTCCAGGGTTGAAGATACGGAATATCTTGCTGCTCATTCTGATTCAAATGGACAGCACGAAGCGTGGAATGGTTTCGAAAAACTGACGGACAGTGACGACAAGTTGTACGATTCTGACTGACGTCTTTGTTCTTCGTTGTTGAAATTTGTTGCTGCGTAACACTGGTTGCAAGTTCTCGATATTCCCGAAATGCGATGATATCAACTGGCTGTGAGCTGCGACTGCACATCATATTTCCTCACCTCAGATGGCAGTTTCAGATCCCAGGATGGTCTCGGATGTTCGGCTGAAGATCAAATGGCCCACTTGTTTCATTTGGCGCGATGAGGATATCAAAACTGCCTCTTCTGGTTAGGTCTTACTGCATGTCAGACGAAAGGAGCGCTTTATGGAGGCTGTAGCGTTTCGATAACCTTATTTAGTGGGTGCAGGCGATGTGGAATCTCACGAAGTGGTGTGGAATCACCTGACATTGACCGAAGCAAGTGTAATAATGGACGAGTAAAATCAGGCCGAAAGGACAATGGTAAGGGACCTGGCTGCCAGCACCCCTGGTACCTGCTATCTGAAGTGCTTTCAAGATGCGGGTTTCGAGACGTCAATCGACATTTGGATGCACACGTTTTGTGATAATGTCACCGACTCTTCCTAAATAGGAATTGGGGATTACCGCATCATTTTGCCCTGCGAAATGTGCAATGCGCAATAGATACGCCCAAAGATTGGAAACAAGGGTGACTAGATCGAATACCAAATACTTGTTTACCCTTAGAAATCTCACATTATATATTGGTAGGATTCTCTCAGATGTTCCGTCGAAACTTTGAGGTTCAACTCAACCCGTCCATTTCCACAGAAACAACACTCTCTATCCACATGTGTTGGTGATTCCCAACATCCACGACTATCATATTTCGCCTCAATCATCAGTCACTTCTAACTACTTACCTTATCCCCGAAATGCGTCAACACATCATTCTCTCCTGTTGCTTTGTTGTATCCATATCGATCGTTTCAGGAAGAACGACCGGGTGTAAGGCTGAATCTCAGCCCGGAAAAGCTATCTACACCATCACCAACGATCAGGCCAACTCTGTGATTGCCATTCCGATATCCAGCAATGGCATGCTTGCGAAGGGGGCAACATTCTCAACTGGCGGATTCGGCTCGAATTTTCTTGATGGCACATCAAACGAGCCAGCTGCTCCTGATGCTTTAGCATCTCAATCGGCACTTACTATTGCAGGCAACGTAATGAAGCCAGCTCACATCCTTAGTTGTTAGCTCTAATGCTAATGCCAGTCTTATAGAGCTTATTTGCCGTCAATGCTGGCTCGAACACGGTCACGATGTTCTCAATCGACCCGTTGAATTCCACGAAGCTCACCATGATCGGTCAACCAGTTGCGGTTCTAGGCCAATTCCCCAACACGATAGCGGCATCAACGAAACACAACATTGTCTGCGTTGGTTGCTCCGGGGCACAATCTGGAGTCTCGTGCGCTAGATTTTCGAAACATGGACTAGAGTCCATGGATACTCTTCGTCCCGTTGGACTTAGCCAGACTACTCCCCCCGTCGGACCGACTAACACCATATCTCAAGTTTTCTTTTCCAATGATCAGAGCACCCTCTTCACCACAGTCAAAGGTGATCCGTCTCGGAACAAAACAGGGTTTCTTGGCGCGTACAAGGTTGACAGCCAGGGCTTTGTTGAACAGGATGGAGTGCAGTCGTCGCCGAACGGTACTACAGTTCTGTTTGGTTCATCGACGATTCCTAAGAGCAATGACCTCTTTGTCACTGATGCGTCTTTCGGCGGGGTCATTTTGTCTGTTGACTCGAAGACGAATGTTGCTTCTGTGAAGGGTGTAGGCGTTATCGGCGGACAGAAAGCAACATGCTGGGTTGCAGTCTCTTCGGTTACTGGCAGCGCATTCGTCACTGACGTTGGGACTAACAGATTGATTGAAATGTCGCTGAGCGATGCCAGTATCAAGAGCACTCTCGATCTCAGCGCGAATGGTGATCCAGGTTTGACTGACCTGAGGGCTGCTGGACGCTTTGTGTATGCGCTGAGTCCAGGCAACGGAACAACACAATCTGCAATTGCTGTGGTTGACGCCGTCTTGAAGAAACAAGTCCAGCATTTTGCACTTGGACAACTCGGCGTTGGTAAAAGTGCTCAAGGAATGGCGGTTAGGTTGTAACTCAGAGAACTCTGATGTCATTCTGTATTCAGTAGTTATCCTGTCACGTTTGAGTTGCCTTGTGTCTTCCTCTCATCTGAATTGGTTTTCGTACTATTCATATGACTCTGCGGCACTATCTCCGTTGAGATCTTTGCTTCGGCAAATCGGTCAATGCTAGCCTCGTTGGAGTGAACTCGAATGGACGGAAGCCCTAACAATTCAAATCACTTTGACGCCAGACATCAATAAACGATATTATCATTTCTTCAGAGATAACCTAGTTGACAGATATCCATAAGAATAAAAACAATTCCTCCCATCTCTTTCGAATATTAATTGCCCTTTCCAGTTTCCCCGACCGTTCATGACGAGCCGCTGTTGTCAACACATGAGAATGCACCTCCAATCAAGCCGTCGGCATAGGCGTCAATAATGTTTTGAACGACACCATAAGTACCACCGATCGTCAGGAAAACGGCCAGAAGAATCATGAGCCAGTTCAGCCAGTATACCATGACTTGCCACCAGTTTCCCTGTCTGTAATGCTGGTGGTCGAAGATCCACAAGTAACCAGGCAGACCGAGTGCTAGAGGTGCAAAAGTCAAACTTCCTGCTAGCGCCAACAGATAGTTGAAGATGGGAATTCCAGATGCCAAGAGGAATGAGACCACGGACATTCCGAGGGTGCACGCAAGCCAAACAGACCAGTGAACGACCGAGTTCTTCTGCAAATGAACAGAATTTCGCAAGATTCTGACGAACAAGTACTTGGCGGCGACATGAATGTAGAGGCAGGCGCTGACCATCAGGCCGATCAAGCCGATACCGTACGAGACTTTTTTGACGGTCTCTCCAGCACTACCCAGTGAGGGAGAGGCAACCCACTGGCCGCACCAGCGATAGACCACAAGTGAGAAGGTCAAGTAGGACGCTGTGACAATACCCATGCAAAGGTACACAGCTTTGTTGTAGTCCTTAGGCTTCTTCATTTCCGAGATCACGGGGAGGAACGCCGATGTTCCTGCACCAGAGCAGAAGATAGTTGCAACACTGGTGATTGCGGTCACGAAATTAGGGTTTCCGATGACATGGTATCCGAGGTCGAAATCGCCGGTCTTTGGGGCAGCGGCAGGCCTGTCGACCTGCGTGACAGCAACACTGTGGCAAATGTTAGTGGAATTCGCGAAGGCTTTGGGCCGCAGATGGCAGGACTGATAGACTTATATAGAGATATGGTTTGGTTTGGTTTGGGAGGAAGTGAACTTACACCACGATAAAAACGGCGATATACACTGACAAGAACCCAGCCCATGTCAACCACGCAATCTTTTCGAATTTTCGAGCACTTGCGAGAATAAAGACACAGGCAGTGGCCACCAACATAAAATAGTTGGTGCAGATGGCGTGATTCGAGAGCGCATTGAAGGCAACTGATGTGCCAAAAATGCCCGATGCGCCGACGATTGCATAGGTGACGAGGAACAGGACTCCGACGACTTCCTTGAGCCAAACGCCGCCAACGACGTTGGCCATATCCGCGATAGAATGACATCCAGCATGTGCGTTACGGAAATTACCCTGGATAATGGCGCAATACGTGTTTAGAAACTGCCAGCCGAGAACATTGATAGCTCCGGGCAGGGCACCCAACACGAACATCGCTGAAGGAATTGTGAGAACACCGGTTGCGAAAATAACTTGGTTTCGTTAGCTACGCCTCTGCTTGTTAGATGAACAAGGCTTTCTTACCCTTCAAGAAGATTACTGAGGCGTGGATCCAACCCACGGTACGGAAGTCGACCGTCCCTTCGCCGCGCTTGAAGACTTCAAAAGCATCCTCGGCATTCTCGAGCTTTCCCGCGTCAATGCTTCCGCTGCTCCGGGCCGGCGCCGGTGTTATAGCATCGCTCTTTTCAGAATTGGTCTGAGACATTTTGACGACGTTTTGATTATTGATGCTGATTCCGATTCCAGCTAGAGTGGTCGCTTTCTACCGAGTCCGTGGTGTATCGTGTGACAGATGAGCCGCGGACATTACCTCAATATAAGATCGTCCCTGTTAGTTGAAGTTGGAGCATCTGGTGATATCGACTGTGACGAGTGAGATGAACATGAGAGCCTGGCGTGGCTTATCTCCTAGCGGCACAGATGTCCCGACGCAAGATAGCTGTCGAAAGGAAAGATTGTCCAACCCCGCGACGAGCTTCAGGTGCCGCTCCAAGATCGTGGGTCGCCGACCCACGGCGACACCCAAAGTCAAAAGCGCATTCAGGGGTTGAATGTGCGTTTGTGGAGTGCCAGTGGGTCAAAACAAGGTTCCTGCGATAAGGTTGGGGTATTAGTGACAACTTGGGGCAGTCGTCGAGCCCATGTGCCGAAGTTGGAGTCTAGAAAGCTTCGGGCTTGGAAACAGACATACCCCAAAGCCACAGGTCCACACGGACTGATTTGACTAGAGCATCGTAAGTGATAAGCGCGGGGTAAGTTGACGAGCTTTGGAGGCATGTATGTCAATGGACTTCATCAACTTGGACTTACTCCAAGGGTCTTGTAGAAGGACATAGAGCCAATTCTGTAGAGATGTCCGCCAGAACCTCCTGGCTAAGTAGATTTGAACAATTATGGCTAGCGCCGGCGCAAAGATGAAGCGTTGAGTAATAAGAGCAGTACACCTCATAAGTTCCTCATTCCCTTACGCAAGCTCTTTGAAGTGGAGATGAAGTGCTAAACAAATATGCGAACATGGAGGCAAGGAAGATGGCATAGGCATGAAACTTCTGGAGAGTCGAGAATACGGTTATCAATTATCATTACACGATTAAACTCAGTAATCATGCTTTTATGGCTTCTTTCTTGAGCATGGCGCCAGGCTCTGCAGGCATCACAGCTCCCTGTGCCGGTGCTGTCCTCGCCTTGAACTCATCGCAAATCTGCTCCATGGTGACAAATTCCACCCCTTCGTGCTTCTTCATGTGTTCGATGAGTCTCTCATGCATGAGCAATGCGTGAGGACGACCAGATACGTCCGGGTGGACTGTCAACGGAAAGATGAACTCATCGTACTCGCGGTAGAAATAGTCAAAATGATCTCGCCAGATGTCCTCCACATCCCTGGCGTTGACGAATCCATGGCTGTTGGGCGCATCTTTGATAAACATCATTGGCGGCAAATCGTCAAGGTACCAGTTGGCCGGAATCTCCACGAGCCCTGTTTCTTGTCCCCTTACAAGAGGCTTCATCCACTCGCTAGGCTTCTTTTTGTAGTCGATCTTGGTCCATTCATCGCCAGTTCGTAGATAATACGGTTGGCAATCGTGGTGGCTCATACTGTGGTCGTATTCGATACCATAGTCGAGCAAAAGCTGAGCCCCCTCCTTGCTTGTTTCCCACCATGGAGCGACGCTGCCCCTTGGTGGCTTGCCCGCGAAGTCTGTGAGCATGCGGTATGTCTTATCGAGGATTTCTCTTTGTTGGTCGATGGTCATATCTGTCGGGTTCTCATGGGAATAGCCATGAAGCCCGATTTCGTGACCGGCGTCTCGCACAGCGGCCATGTCCTCAGGAAAGGTCTCGAGGCTGTGTCCTGGGATGAACCATGTGGCCTTGATGTCGTACTTGGCGAGGAATTTGAGCACCCGTTGGACACCTATCGTTCCAGCAAAATAACCTGGGTAGTTCAATCGTAAGCTCAAGTAGGCCACGCATACCCAACGACCTTAGCTCCTAATACTTACCTCTGCTGATATCGTTGGACGAGTCCTCTCCTCCGTAGGATCCTAGCCATCCGGCGACCGCGTCGACGTCGACGCCATAGCTGACGAGAACACGCTTCTTGCCCATTGTGAGTCGAGGTTGGATTTCTGCGCAATTTTTTGCCAGGAGGGGGTGATACTCTCAAAGGTGGAATGATCTGGAATCGGTTGTCGAAGACTCGTGCGGGGTTTGGGAAAAGGCAGAATAAAAAAAAGGGATCGCTGCCACGCTGCAAGGTTGATTCCTCTTAAACAGTCAAACCTAGTAGCGGCTCAGTCGGTCATGTCACTGAGGGGTATTCATCATCTTATCGGGACTCATTATGCTATCAATTCTGCAATGCCTTCCCATGCCTTGGCTCGCTTATCGCGGGGTAGCTTGTGTGCTTGTGTGGATTAACCTCCTATGAAGGTAAGGCTTAGAAGCAGGGATCTCGGACTGAGGTGGGTAGCTGTCTATTGTGATACTTTTGATTGGACGGCAACCTTCGGGCATTTGACCACTCCATCTATGTATATTATTTTACCGATCACTTGCATTCAGTCTGTTTACGGAGACATAGCCGTGGTATTGAAAATGGAGAAGGATTGTCCAAAAGGGGCGAAGGACTCCATCCGGTCGCGGACCTACCGCAGTATGCATAGGTCCTGTTGGAGACCCAAAGCTTTTGTGGATAGAGGGTAGATTCGTGGCGCGGTTGACAGGTTTGGAGGCAAACTGGGAGGCGCAGGAGTTGCTCCAACGACTCGACTCGGCTCGACCCCTCTTTAGGTCGGATGATAACGGCCAACAACCATCGACAACTCTACAGCTTGAAACCTTCAGGAGCTTGGCCACCCGTAGAATAAGCACATCTAGAATAGAATCTGATCGAGCCTTCCATTGTCTCAAGTTTTAATCCAACTCCATATTCCAAGCTCAACGGCCTCATCTTTTGCACAAAGTAAACATCAAGGACGGCGCATTCGATCGGCACCATAGTCCGTGTTCTAGGACCTTGGCGAAACTCAACTGCTCTCTTTTGGAAATCATGGCAAACCCCATAATTCCTCCAGCGATGCGCGCAGCTCAGATAAAGGAAGTCGGTTCTCATGATGCATTATGCTCCAGGAGATAGTCCAGGAAAAGCTAATCAAACCAATAGTACAACAAACCATATGAGCTAGTGGAGAGAGAAACTCCGGCCATTCGCGGCAATGAGCTACTTATCAGAGTTCATGCAGCCGGATTCTGTCACTCGGATCTACAAGTTCTACAGGGACAATTTGCGTCACCATTGGGCATGATCGCATCTCATGAACCTGCCGGTGTCGTGGTTCAGGTTGGTAAAGACTGCAATCAGAAATGGAAGGTCGGTGATAGAGTTGGGGCTCTCAACTACAAGAACTCATGCGGCAAATGCAGTGGCTGCGGTCTGTCACTTCGCACTAGCAGGAAGTATACTCTGGACCCAAGATTCTGCGAAAAGCGAGAGACCGCCGGTTTTCATCATGATGGGGCGTTCGCGGAATATCTTGCCGTCGATCCAGAGACCACTGTCGGCTTACCGCCGACCCTATCTTTCGAGCAAGCGGCGCCATTGATGTGTGCAGGTGCTACGGTTTGGGGCTCGCTCGAAAAGGCAACAAGGGAGCTGGAGGCAGGAGAAACTGTGGCTATTGTCGGCATCGGAGGTTTGGGTCATCTCGGTTTACAATTTGCCAGCGCCATGGGTTTCCGCACCATAGCGGTTGACAGCCGACCAGCGGGCAGGCAGCTCGCTACTGAGATGTTCAATGAAAGTCTGAGGCCGGCACTGGTGGTGGATTCTGGCTCAGAACATGCGACTTCTCAAATCATGGACTTTACGAACGGGGAGGGGGTAGCCGCAGTTGTGGTTTGCACAGACTCCCTGTTAGCCAACAGTTGGGCATTGACGATCCTACGAATTGGCGGAGTCATGGGGGTCCTGGGCTTGCCTGCTGAGAATTGGAGGTTTGACTCTAGTGTCATCGTTTTCAAAGAGCTCACGATTCGGGGGAGTTATGTTGCGAGTAGAGCATCCACCGAAAGGATGATGGAGGTTGTGGAAAGAGCCAGCATTAGGTCTCACATCACCTTGATGTCGTTTGACGAGATCCCGGGCATTGTCGCGGCCTATCAGGAAAGCGAATTCAAAGGCAGGCTTGTGGTGCGTATTTCAGAGTAAGGATACCCTGTCAACTGAGTGTATCGGAAATATCGAGTATTATCTTAAGATTTTGTGCATTACAATTAGTTATTTCCTGCTTTTTTGCACAGATAGCGTTCGACCTACCACAGTCTGGTCACGGTCAGCGCGAGATTTACAATAATGAAAGGTCACGCGATCCTTCTACTAGCTTAACGGCCGGTCAATTGACTCAATCTATCGTGATGGAGTTCAAGACTAATATCTACCTGACTCCAAATCTTTCTTTCTTGTAGTCGCTTTGCGGACATTGAGTTGTGCCAGCGCTCATTAGGGTCATCCGCATCCAGTAGTGGTGGAGTTGGGGTCGTTAGACATTGTCTCCAAATTCTCTTCACTTAATCTTCGTATTACCCCAATACCATTGTGCCCCTCCCTCCACAATCTCTCGTACCACAGTAGGTTCGGGTTACTGGGGCTTGGAGACTCACAGTAGCGGGGGCATTCTACGGATATTGCCATCACGTTCGTTAATGTCGACTTCATTCTGTTTGTCATCGGAAACCCGCCTTCGCCACAGATTGACCCAATGGCCCGCGGAAGAGCCCCCGACAATTTCTCGCGGGTTCAGCATGGATGTTACTCTCGAGCCTTTATGAAGAGCATGCTGGCTAATCAGTCGTCACTACAATCAATCGAAACGCATCGGTGACCAGCGATCCAACAGAACACCGTTGACGATTGCCACCTCCCATCATGTCTGTTTTCTTCAAGGACATCTCCACGTAAGGACTAATCCCAACCTACCTTACCTGATGCGGTCTGAATGCTGACAGGTACGCCATAGGGACAACCCCGTGCAGAAAGGCGACGTCGAGAAGCTGCTCGAGCCACTTGGTTTGACGATCAAGGCTGCGGAGTCGGCCGACTATCAGCGACTGCTTGCTGCGGTGCACGATTGCGCTACCCGTATCGATAGTCTTCCAGACTACCAACCGGCCCCCGACACGAAACGATACCCCCGAGAGAATGTACATATACCCACAGCAGAAGAGCAAGAGTTTGGGCATGCGTGGGCACATCGGTTCTTGATTAGGGGAGATAAGTCAGCTTCTGGTCCGTCTCAGGTATGCCTGAAAGGAAAGACCGTATGCTTGAAGGATTGTATTGCCGTAGCAGGCGTTCCACAATTCTTCGGCAGCGATGCTTTTCCTCCGTGGACGCCATCGACGGATGCCACAGTGGTGACACGAGTTTTGGATGCCGGAGCCGATATTCTGGGGACGGCTACATGTGAGCACTTCTGCAACTCCACAGCATCCTTCACCAGCGCGCAGGGCACAATCGAGAATCCTTATAAGGAAGGCTACTCCACCGGTGGTAGCACCTCTGGGGGTGCCGCCCTTGTTTGTTCCGGAAAGATCGATATCGCGCTGGGCACGGATCAAGGCGGCAGCATCCGGGTTCCAGCTTCATTTTGCGGCTGCGTCGGTGTGAAGCCGACTCACGGTCTGGTGCCCTTCACGGGAATTACTAGCGGCGATGCTATTGATGACCATGCAGGGCCTATCTGCCGTTCGGTCACCGAAGCTGCTGAGTGTCTTGATGTGATCTCTGGATACGACGGCATCGACGATAAGTCTCTAGGCGCTGCGGCTCATGGTTCCTACAACTTCTCTGCTGCTCTGTCAGCGAGCTCCGGTCGTTTGGACGGAATCAAGATTGGCCTTTTGAGGGAGGGCTTCGATCAAGAGATTGTCGACCCCAACGTCAAAGAACACGTCCTTTCGGCCGCCCGGAAACTGGAGTCTTTAGGGGCAACTGTCGAGCACGTATCCGTCCCTCTTCATCTGGAAGGCCCTTCAATATGGACAATACAACAGCGTATTGCAGGCTCGTCGGGTATGCTGGGGAGAGCTTCGGGACACAGAGGTCTTGGCCTGACTGAGTTCGAAAAGGCACGGCTGCCCTGGGTTGATTCGAGCTTTCAAAAGCTTTTCCCTTCCACAAAGAATACCTTTATTAATGGCTTGTATCTTTCGGACAAATTTCCGGGTCTCTACAGCAAAACAGTCAACATCGGTCGGCAAATCAGCGACGCCTACCAGAGCAAGTTTCAAACGTACGATGCGATAATCATGCCAACGACTCCTTTTGTGGCACCACGACATGGGTCTCGAGATTCTGTATTGGGTTCATTTGAACCCACCATAGGATTGACCACCAACACCGCCGTATTCAACGTTACCGGACATCCAGCAATGTCAATACCCGTGGGATTTGTCGCCGCTAAAGACGACGCGCAGGTCTTACTTCCTGTTGGCATGCAAATTGTCGGAGGGCTATGGCAAGAGAAGAAGATCCTCACCATTGCACATGCATGGGAGACTAACTTTGACTGGAGGAGCGTCACGAGCACCACCGAAGCTCCTGAATCTGTTCCGGATACTCTGTCAACGGGCTCAAATGTCAAAGTCAATGGCAGGACGATGCCTGAGGTTAACGGCGCAACTTCACCAAGTCTTAAGCGTGTGAAGTTGGCCGTTTGAGAGCCTTACGAGACCAAGTCGCTGCATTCAGAGTAAACTGTCTGGGTTTGGAGCCTGTGGCGCAAGGGGTCTAATGTCTATAGCTTCAAGGTATCTAGCATAAAGTAGAAGGACGTTGTCGGGATTCCTCACACCATCTCGTGCCAGGCTTCGACCTCAAGGACCTAATTGCCTAGTACCTTGTGCCACACACAGTGATACACATACAGACACTCGCTCGCTCTTGGCTTGGGTATGTGCCTGGTCCGCCACGTGTCGCCTGGCTCCCCAGCAATTCCGCATTTGATACATAGAGTTCGGTCAAGCACTTTTGGGAATGAACGCTTGCGGCTCAACTCTTCCCAACAAAGGGGAGACCCAACTTGGCTTGCCCGCCAGAACACCTCAATTTTACTTCCCCGCACCACCAACGGCACTACCCGTATGGTAGTAACCAAAGACACCTCGCCGGTCGGCCGCCGCGGCGAGAGGGCTCATGCTGTGCCTCGCTAATGTTAGAAAGACAAGTATTGATCAAACGCAAGACTGACATTGGTCGGCTCGCTTCTATCCCTGTCTCCCCACAGGAACCCCAGCAAACGGGATATGTTTGGTCACACAGATAGCTCTCCGCCCGGCCATCGTTTGAATGAGCGCTTCCGGAATGATTCACTTCATTCCATCTCCACCGCCGAACAGTCGCCAAATTCTCCCAGCTGACGAGTGGACAAGCACAGCCCAACACCCTTCCCAAAGCTGCTCCTGGCGGCTTACTGCGTCAGGAAACAGACGGTAAAGGCCTGCCAACTTGCGCACACATCCGAGACAGAAACATGGTCCGCAAAGGAAGCCCCAAAGTTCGGACTGGATGCATCACCTGCAAGTAAGTCTACTAGGCGTGTCAGGCTGTCAGCCATCCAGGCTGTGCCGCACTTACGGGGTCCATATATCTCCATCTGATCAGCACCTAATTGACGGTCTTTAGAGCCCGAAAAGTCAAGTGCGACGAGGCTAAGCCGATATGTAATCGCTGCACCAGTACAGGCAGACGCTGCGATGGCTACAGACCCGCTCGTCAAGGAACCGTATCCCTACGCCAGCCAAATCAAGTCTTCCCGGGAGTCACCAAGGTCAGCGAAGGTCGAGCTTTACAGTACTTCTGTGAGATAGCGGGACCAGTCATGTCAGGAGCCGTGGATCCCTATTTCTGGACACACGTCGTAATGCAGTTCAGTAACTTCGAGCCGGCCGTCAGACACGCCGTCATTTCCATCAGCAGTCTCTATGAAGAGGCTCAGGGCACTTTTGAGGCTACTGCCACCGTACGGCACAGCAATCAAAATTTGGCCCTGCACCACTACAATGCCGCTATTCACGAGTTGAGAGTCATGGACTCTCAAGAAAAGCAGCCCATAATCTTGCTTGTTTGCGTTCTCTTCATCTGCGTGGAGATCATGCGCGCCAACAGAAAAGCAGCACTGCAGCACAGCAGGCATGGTGTCGAGATACTGAAGAGTATCTCTCCCGACTACATGTTCTCGTGGACCATGGAGCACCTCCTACCGATATTCAGGCGGCTTAGCGAGTTTGCTCTTTTCTTCGGTGAAGAAGAGTCGGATTTCCCTGACATAAGGGCCCTGGAGGGACCCATGCCGCAATTCTTTCTCACTTTCTCAGACGCACAGCTCATGCTCGATGTCCTCTTCAATCGAACAGCAGAGTTCATGCGCTCACAGCGCAATTCACAACGAGCCGCTTCAAAATCACCCGGGCCCGATGAAACCGGGACACCGCCCCCAAGTCTTCTCTCTGAGCATGCTGCCATCAACAGTCTCCTAGACCAGTGGTTCAAGCTTTACAATGACTTCATGGCTATCAAACCCAAGGAAGCACCTACACAAAATAATCAAATCATCAGCCGGTCAGACTCAGATAGGCCTAAAATGCTGCAATGCTTTCTCTTGACTCGCTATGAGTGCTGTTGCATATGGCTCAACATGGCATTCGATACAAGCGAAGCCGGTTACGATAGATACATCACCAACTTCCGAAGAATCCTAAAGCGGCTTCTCTGGCTGGAAGCCGAGGTTCCAGATCCTTTACGTTTCAACACTTCAAAACATCCACACTTCATCTTCGAAGCTGGCTTTGGCGCCATGCTATTCTTTCTTGTCTCATCTTGTCGTGAGCTAGAAACGCGACTGGAATTCCTACGGCTGATGCCAGTGTTGGGTCTCCCGCGGGAAAATCTTTGGGAAGCAGACGTCTTAGTTGCGGCTGCAAGGAAAATCATCGAGCTCGAGCATGACATCAAATTGGATACAAATGGGCGGCCCATGTCTTCACCATCGTTTGTGCAGCCTCCCGGGGAGATGAGGGTGACGGACCTGTGGACGGAATCTCAAATGAGACCTGACAGTTTGCAAATGGACGATCAAGGTGTATCTCATCGAACGATACAGGTTGTGAGGCGAGACTCCAAGGGCCAGACCTATCTTCAGTCCGAGGATCTTGTCGTGAATGGTAGGATGACTGGGTAGCGTGCTGTCAAAGGAACTCAGATCGTAGCCAAAGTCAACACTTTGGTATGAAACCTAACATACGTCGGCTTTGCCGGCTGCGCGGCTTCCTCTGTATCTGCGTTAGAGCCTCGACTATTCAAATAGGAAAAGGTCCTATCAGCATTTCACAGTCCCGGTTGTGGAAAATGTTGCCACGAAGTAGTACGGGTGTGACCTTATTCGATGAAATTTGAGTTGTCATTATCAATTCTCAGTTGATGGTGTAGCCTCCGTCGACGACCAGAGCATGGCCTTGGATGAAGCTGGCTTGGCTCGAGCACAGGAACATTACTGCGTTAGCCACCTCCTCCGGTGTACCCATACGCTTCATCGGCGCAATGTCGATTGCGGGCCTCAGTCGTTGTACCAACTCTTCTGACGCTGTTGTCATTGGCGTGGCGATGACTCCCGGGCAGACGCAGTTGACTCTGATCTTGTCTTGCGAATAGTCAATGGCATCTGACCTCGTCATGTTGATGATAGCGGCTTTGGACGCGCAGTACGGTGCTGATACGAGAGCATTATGTGAGTAATCATGCGACACAGCCTATTGCTTCAAGGGTGGGCTAAAGGTACCTGCAGCCGGTCGCGCCACAATGCCGAGTTGACTCGCGATATTGACGATGGCGCCGCGTTGTTCTGGATGCTCTTCATGGGGTTGCTGTTTGAGCATTTGGCCCAAGACCGCCCGAGATGCCAGCCAACTACCCTTGTAGTTGACATTGGTAATGAGATCGAAATCGGCTTTTGATGTTTCGTGTGACCGCAGTGACTGACCCAGTATGCCGGCGCAGCTTACTGAGTAGTCGATGCGTAAGAACTTCTTGGCAATGTCTCCAACGAATGAATTGACAAAACCTTCGTTCGAGATGTCGCCTTCTTGACTAAACACCTGTGCCTTTGGATTGATTTGTAGAACGGCATCTCTCGTATCTGCGAGTGACTTTTGATTAAGGTCTGTGATGGCAATTCTTGAACATCCTGATCGCGCGAACCCTTTTGCGACTGCAGCGCCGATGCCTAAGTAATCGAGTTAGAGCTTGAAGGACGCGACCACGAGCTTCCTAGCGCCATGTCAATTGTAACTCACCAGTCCCTCCTGCGCCAGTAATGAAAGCAACTCCGGGAAATTTGAACATGACGAGAGTTTGGTAACTATGTCTCGAGACGCATAGGTCCAGTCTGATGTAACTCAAAATCCAGCTTTGCTCTGATTATAGGTGTAGACTTGAAAGCAGTCTCGATTGTTGAATCAGCATTCGGACCAGTTCAATATCTCTTGGTCCACAAACACGTATTTGGTGGATACTGCGGGGAGAGCAAACAACTTCCGAACAATACAATGTTACTTTTACGACTTCGGAGAAAAGCAGGGAAGGCCGACCTGTCCGTCTCAGGCGCGAATGATGATCATTAACACCCTCGACCGACAATAGACTCCAAAGGCTAATTCCGCGAGATAAGGACGTTGGGTTGCAGGGTCGCAGGGTCGTAGGGAGCCAAGGGGGTGTCTGATTACGAGTCAGTCTCCAAAGATAGCGGGCAGTCCAACCCACGGCAGTTGGAGTTATCTCTGTCAAGCAAGACCCACAAGTAGCTGAAGTCTTCTCCAACATAAGCCTGACGGGTGCCCCAAAGCCTCTGCTCTCCAACTTACCTGGTCTCCCTCAACTCCAACACGCAAGAAGCCTGAAGAGTCTCGCGAAGCGAAGGTGGGAAGGATGCTGTCCCACAACGGCACGAGCTCGCATCCACAACCGCACCCGCAGCCGCAATCGCAGCCGCTTCACCAGCAGCAGCCGCAGCAGCAGCAGCTTCCGCGACCGCACTCGACTCCAGTCAAGCGAAGGAGGCGAACCGGTCACGGCCCTGATGCGCGGTCCTGTCCTCATTGTGGACGAACGTTCAAGCGCACCGAGCACTTGGAGCGCCATGTGCGAACGCGTCAGTCGTCCCATCTGTTCTCATATGCCCCCCTCCCTCAGCTTCCTCCAAGTGTTGGAGTGATGTTTGTCTGGAGTCAACGATCAACTACCCCTCCTGCTGGAGCTACACTGCTAGCCCATTCCATGACCAGACGCTCGGGATAGTGCCACGTGCTACGATGCTAACCGGCACGTTCTTCCAGACACCAAGGAGAAGCCATTCATCTGTCGATGTGGAGCTGCCTTTGCCCGGCGTGACTTGCTGACCCGCCATCAGCGGATCGCTTTCCACGAGGATGGATCTGAGTCTCCGGGGGCCCCATCGGAGCCGGACTCGGGGGGAACCCATGGGCCTGTTGAGGCTGATCTGGCTGCTGCCGTCTCCCTCTCGGGGATGAGCGTGGACCACTGGGCACAACAGCAACAACCACCTGCACCGCCGTCAGAGCTGTATCCCATGGCCGTCCCACGGAACGGCGCTCTCGTAGATGCCTCATATCAGCAGGCTCTGCTTGGAGATCAATTCTACGAAAATGGTTGGTTGATGGTTCGAGTCCGCTTTCTTGACTTTTGGAAGCTGATGCAAGAGTGTCAGGCAATCAAGATGCTGTGGGATTTGACGCCCACTTCAGAGAGTTTGCCAACTTCCTCGACGGTGTTGGGCTGCCAGCGGAATGGAGCCCCTACTTTCACGGCCCTGACAGGGATCACGAGGTTACCGACACAACGGTGAAAATGTCCAGAGAAGGGACAACTACGCCGGGGGCCCGTAATAGTAGAACTCGGCCGGGGACGCCTTTCAGTTCGTGGCTGCCATCGGCGCCCACTGGTAATCGGATATCTGAAACCTTGCCAGACACAAGTGAGTGTTTATCAAAGGCTCGCGTATTGTCCAAAGCCATCTAGCTGACATGGTAAACAAGATCCGCGGTCTGTTGACATTGATTCGCAACCGTACCGTATATCAGATGAGCAGCGGCATCGTCTGAACAACTCCATTGAAACCTTTCGGGACATTCTCGATCCAGATTTCAAGTTCCCATCACGGCACGCCTTGTCGCGCTATCTGACCTCATTCTTCGAAGGATTCCACTCGCACATGCCGTTCATACATACGCCAACATGGCGAGTCCCTGAACACTCCATTGAACTCATTCTCGGCCTCGCTGCAGTCGGTGCTCAGTATTGCTTCGAGCATCGCATGTCCGAGAGACTTTTTTATGCCGGCAAGACCATTCTCATGGAGAGGTTGATGCACGAGTCCGAAACATTTGGTGCGAATACCGGTTCATCTCTCAATTTTCACAACCTGACGCCACAACGTCGCGCCTCACAAGGTTTCCGGGAGAGGGACTGGGGTCCCTGGGAACCAATAGAGACAATTCGAGCCCTGATTGCCCTCATGGGTTACGCCACTTGGGAGCCCAAAGTGTCACTCGTGCAGGAAGCGTTTTCTTTACAGGCACTTCTGGCACAGATCCTTCGAGAAGTCGGTCTTTATGAAGAGGATGTCCCTCAACTTCCTGCCGATCAGGCCACCCCGCAAGCCGCCTGGCAGGCATGGGTGCGACAGGAGTCTACGCGTCGAGCCAAGCTCATTGCCTTTTCCTTCATGCACACTCACAGCATCGCATATAACGTGTATCCTGTGCTACGCAGCAACGAGGTTGGTCTTCGACTCCCTTGCTCGACTGGAGAGTGGAAAGCGCAGTCGGCGTGCCAGTGGCAGACCGCTCGCCAGGAAACCGAGAAGCAACAACTGTACTTTCAAGACGCTTTGTCCTTGCTATTAAGGAACACTGATGGAACCGCTCCCGTTGACCCCATTCCAACACCACTGGGTAACTACATCCTCTTACATGGGCTCCTCCAGAGGATTTTCATTGTCCGCGATCTGTCTTTACCCGTCATGGATCAGTCAGCGTCTCTTCCCAGCGAAGAGGTTGACAAGCTTGAGTAAGTTCCTCTTCCCTTGTTAGGAAGCTCTCGGTTCGTGATGGGATACTGACATTGTGATGAAGACGAGGCCTGCGTTCCTGGACTGCAGGGTGGCAGCAAGCTCCCGAATCTAGTCTTGACCCCAACAACGAGAATGGACCCATCCCCTTCACATCCAGCTCTTTGCTCGGCCTCGCCTATGTGCGCATCTACCTTCACCTTGGTCCGTACCGGCTTCTTGAATCTCGAGACCCTATGCGTATCGCCAAGGCCATCAACCGGTCTCCTGCTGTGGAGCGGAGTGGTGGTGTCATCACCGCGCTGCTGTACACTGCTCATATGCTCAGTATCCCTGTACGACTCGGCGTTGACCGTGTTGCGCGAAGCCAGGCATTCTTCTGGAGCGTTCGTCACTCACTTTCGGGGCTAGAGTGTGCGGTTCTGCTCAGTAAATGGCTCTCATCACTCACTGAATCCGTCGCGACAACGCCTCTTAGTGGTAAGCTGATCCGTGCTTGTTCATGACTTTTTTCTCGGCGTCCCCAGACTGACAAGACACTAACAGACAGCGAGGATCGCATCTTGCACTGGGTTCGATGCATTGTGGAAGAGGCATACGATGTCGTCGATTTCGAAGACGATGAGCCCGAAACGTCAATAGATCGAGATCCCGCCTCACTGAGCCTCGCCGTTCTGAGAATATGGGCACACTTTTTCAAAAGCAACACGCAATGGCCTTTCATCAACATCATCGGAAAGAGCTTGGAGAAGTACCGTGAGTTGCTTATGCGCAGCAGAAAGCAGCTGGTCACTTGATGTTGTTAAGAGAAGGCATACTTATCGAAGAGATGCGATATGGAAACATCAGAAAGATAACGCAGCGGTCCATCGCGAGTGGGAGGACAGACGCTGAAGCACAATCAGGATGCCGAATCAGTTGAATTGCTGCCTTGGAGTTTTGGGGAGTGCGCGGTGGTGGGTTCTGTCGCTCTCACCACACGAAGGCTCTGTGGCGCCCTTAGTGCTGACGAGGGTGGATGGCTTGGCGGCAACTTATAAACTCGACAGTCTGCCATATCTCAACTGCAGCTCATTAAAATCAGCTGCAATCAACAGAACCTTGGAGATCGACGTTGAGTGCGAGTTTTTGATTGCGCTCGCTCGTGCCAAGTTAATCAAACATTTCCATGGCCACTCCCGAGGAGAAAGCTCGAGATGCTGGGCCTCCCAAGGTCTTAGCCGTCGGCATGCTTCGCACAGGCACGAACTCTCTCGCGGCCGCCCTCTCTGAGCTGGGCTTCAAGCACGTCTTCCACGGTCTGAATTCCCGGACGAAACCAACGCACTGGGCATTCTTCGAGCGAGCCGCCGTTGCGACTTGGCCTGAAGTGAACGCAAAGGACCAGATACCTCCTCCCGCGCCGTTCACTCGAAAAGACTGGGATGAACTCTTCGGGCCGTACGACGCGGTAACCGACCTGTCTTGTTTCTGGGCAGTGCAGCTGATCGATGCCTATCCCGATGCCAAGATCATTCTCACGGAACGCGACTTTGACAAGTGGTTTCCAAGCTTCGATAGCCAAGTTATCCAACCGCTGTTTGGGCCGTGGGTTGACGTATTTCTCAAGGGTGTGGGCATGGTAATTGGTAACAGGGCTGGCTTCGCCATGCAGAAGACTATCAGCGGTTTCTTTGGTGGTGCTCGCACAATCGAGGAGCTGCATCGACGAGCACCGGATGTCTTCCGAGAGCATTCAGAGCGCATCAAGGCTCATGTGGCGCCTGAAAGGCTCTTGGTGTATCGCGTCAGCGAAGATGGATGGGAGCCTCTTTGCGAGTTCCTTGAGAAGGACGTGCCCAAAGACAAAGCATTCCCGAGAGTCAACGACAAGGCTTCTCATACTGAGTCGGACAGAGTCATACGCCGAGCAGCTTGGCTCCAGGCTGGCCGGGCGATTGTGCCGTATGCCATCGCCATCGCGGCTGCGTACCTGGGAAGTGTCTATTGGAGTCGCTTCGCCTGAATGTGGCTATGGCGAAGTGTTAAATTCAATGTAGTATGAAACGAGGCATGAAGATGATCGCATGACGCTGAATTGATTGAACCCAAGTCGGATGTGACGTTGCCTTGTGTCGTCTCGATGAATATTTCTGATGTTGGGAGAGTAACCTTATCATCTTTGGTCCTTTAAGGTGCCTTGAAGTACCTACCTTGGGTACGTAACCTACCTTAAGGTAGGTAGGTACGTAGGTGAAGCGATAAGATAAGATAAGATGGTGACAAGTATCTTTTCTAATCGGCAATGCTGACATAAGGCAGACCATGAAATGGCGGAGGCCCGCCAGAGTGGCCCCCAGCAGCTGCTCCTACCCCTCCATACCTTAACCGCCGTCTCCGTCCACTGGATCCACCCGCCAGCTGACGTAGCGGCGCCGCATCTCGAGCTTCAAACACCACCTCACAACCTCACCGAATCCTCCGCTTCTCAACACGTCCGCCTTGGCACCCAAACCTCCTGCATAGGGTTCGGGCATATATACTACTAGACTTGCTGCTTCTCTCTGCTACAACTTACGAGTCCAATTGTAAACGCACGGTTCGAGACGCACCTCGGTCCTCCACCGCCAGCATGCAGTCAGGCATTTCTGGTGTGTACTCATTGCTCTCCTCTCGATGGAGTACAATTGGTTCCAAGAGCTAACATCTGGCAGCCTCCGAGGAGCTCATCTCCCAGTTCAACACTCTCCTGTCCACCGACAACCACTTTGGACTTCTCATCACCATTGAAGCCGAGACCCTAAAGCCCGTCCAATTCCTCGAGAAGGCATCGTCCTCTTCCTCGTTCGACGACAACCTCGCTTCCCTCCAGCCTCATCTCAAGCCCAACGAAGCCCTTTATGCCCTCCTCCGCCGCTATGATACGGCTCCGCACCTAACAGCCGTCACCTATGTCCCCGACTCGGCCAAGGTTCGCCAGAAGATGCTGTTCGCGTCCACCCGCCTGACCCTGGTCCGGAAGCTAGGCTCCGAGCACTTCCGCGAGTCCATCTTTGCCACCATGGCAGAGGAGCTCTCCGCCAAAGGTTTCGCTAAACATGATGCTCACACCGAGCTCGAGGCTCCGTTGACGGAGGAGGAGCGCAGCCTCGGCGCTGTGAAGCAGGCCGAACAGGAGGCCAGCACCGGTACGGGAACCAGGGAGATCCACCTTAGCAAGACTCTGGCCATGCCCATTGCCGAGGACGCTCTCGCCGCACTCAAGGAGTTGTCACCGGACAGTGGCAAGACATTGGTGATGCTGGTACGTTCAATACCCCTGTGCCGCTTCTTCTTGATGTTGCATGGCTGACTAAATATGTGTAGAAAATCAACCCCGAAAAGGAGTCCGTCGAGCTCGTCCCCTCTAGCGAAAGCCCCTCCTCTATTGCCGAGCTCACGCAGACCATTTCCTCCACCGAGCCGCGCTTCACCTTCTACCGATTCACACACACCCACAACGGGGCCGAGTCGAGCCCCCTGCTCTTCATCTATACCTGTCCCGTCAACGCCGGCAACAGGTCCATCAAGAACCGCATGCTGTACCCTCTGATGAAGCGCGCCGTACTGGACGTGGCGTCCAGTGAGGCAGGGTTGACGCTCGATAAGAAGCTCGAGGTTGAGGACCCCAGTGAGATCACCGAGGACACGGTTCTCTCGGAGCTACACCCCAAGGTGACGGTGCGACAAAACTTTAGCAGACCCAAGAGACCTGGGCGGTAGACGAACATGGGCCCGGCCGTGGCAGCTTTGTGGTGAAAAAAAGAAAAAGGTTCAGAATTGAGCGCGTGCAAGGCACATTACAACTAAAGCCCGTAGATCGGGCTAATGATAGACAAGACTTCATATGCAATGCAGTACCTTCTATGAACATTGTGCTCTCGTGCATATCTACAACTTGCACGCTTTTCCAATCTACCACGTTGCGCATTCGTGTCTTTCCAAATCACAGAGCCGCCCGCCCCTTGGTACGCAGATAAGACACTGGTATCTTGCATCGACAGATATTCCCCATCTCTTTTACGTGGAAAACAAACAGTTTCTTAACTACGTCACTTCCGTGTCGTAAGCACGATTTACTCTTCGTAGCCAGCTCCCGAGAAGGCGAGGTTGCTCTTCTCCAGCTTCTCCTTGAGGAATTCGTAGACCGTGAACGTTACAGCCTGGCCAGGCGCAACTCGCATGATACGCGGCGTGATGCCCTTATAAAAGGCGTGGAATCCTTCTTGTCTATTGACGCAGTCAGCATGATTTCACTTGGACGAGAGACGGAGAAGAGAGAGGCAGCCACGTACTTGAACATATCAGCCGAAATCTTGGTGATGCGACTCCACGCGCTAACACCGTACTCGGCCGGCGTCTTTTGCAGTCTCGTCTTGATGGTATCGATCGGCGCATTACTCAATGGGCCCATGGCGCCACTGACGAGACCAATCAGAGTCGTCTGGTAGCCCGGCAGCGTCGTCTTCTCGAACTCGGGCTGGTACTTCTTGAGGGCCTCCTTGAAGTACGAGTACGCCGTGAAGTTGACGGCCTGGTTGCTGCCCTGGCGCAGAGCCGTCAGCGACACGCCGCGGTACAGCGCGCCGAAGCCTTCCTCTTTGACGACCGTGTAGAGCGCGTGCGCGGCGTTGCGGTACTTTGGGATATCGAGAGGGTCGGCCATGCTGTGGTGTTGTGCCTGGAGGCGGATCTTGATAACCTCCATGGGCGTTACGACGGCGACGGCTTCCGTGACGCCCGCGGCGAGACCGGCTATTGCACGAGACCAGAGGTTAGTCTCGTTTTGTACACTGGCAGAAGAGCGCATCTCTGGTAGAATGACTCACCCAAGAATGTCGCCTGTCCACTGACAACCCCCGTGTTCTTGTCCGCCAAAGCATTCTTATACCCCTCGAAACTCGTGAAGCGGATGGCCATCTTGGGCACGATTCCCGTCAGGACGGCACCGAGACCCTTGTACAGACCCAACGGCGTCTCCTTCTTGACAATCTCGACACCTGTCTTGATGAAGCCGCGCTTGGGTGCGCCAGGCTGCCTCGCGCGCCGCGACAGCTGCATTCGGACCTTGATCGTGTCTGTGGGTTTGGTTCCATGTCAATTGACTTTTGTTCCCATTGTTCGGGTAGGCGTGTGTGCTTGCGCATGCATATGCGCGCCCCGAGTGCTGCAGCAAAAGGAGGGAGTCTTACCGAGGGGATGACATGCCAATGCCTCCATCATACCTGCACCACCTCCGGCTATTGGGTTTTGTCAGTGACGGTGTCTCTGCCACGCCGTTATTGCAAGAGGAAGAGTACATACCAATGAGGTTCACGGCGGCCGAGGTCGGCGCCTTGCCGTCTTGTTTTACCTTGGACGACATGACGCAAGATGAAGAAAGTAGGTAGATGATATGACCGATAGGGAAGAGAAGGGAGGAGACAGCAAGTCTTGCGCCGAAACCAACAAAAGAGAAAGCGAGCAGTGGTGTTTGTTGTTGATCTAGAGTATAGATGGGGATGCGAGATGCGTCACAGTAAATAAGAGAAGAAGGAGGGTATCATGAGAATCACAAGGGAGAAGCTGGCATGGGAAGAAGTCGGAATAGAATAAGAAGAAGATTCGGAACAAGTCGCTGCCAGGGACCTACAAAGGCAAAGCCAAACATCCTCGGCGCCGATGACAGAAGCCACGGCAGAGCGGGCAATCATGTATATAAAAGGTGGCGCATACGGCTACTGACTAGATGGAGGGGGGCATGGCATGGCATGGCATGGGGAGGGGAGAGGAGGGGAGGGGGGTGGCCAATGTCAAAGGCACGCCGCACAAGCCAGAATAGAATCAGGACAGGAAGAAGCAGATGACTCGAGGTTTCGTCCCGAGCACAGGCGTGTAAGGCGGTCTTGGTCTTGTCTTGGGGAGAGTGAGTGAGAGTGAGTGTGTGTGTGTGTGTGTGCCTGGTGTCATACACACCGGTAACGGGGACTGTAAGTTTGAGGAGCTAGACAAGAAAAGCATATGAGGAGAAGGCCTTCTCCATCTCCCCTTTCACCCGCGGCACAACGAGGCCAGCCAGCCAGACAGACATCAGCTCTTGAGAGCCTAGGACGGCGGCACACACCAGCGCCAGGGGTTTCGGTAAACCGGGCGCGTGAGGGGGAAGGGGGGCGTGTACGGATAGACTTCTAGTCTTCCATGCCATGGACAGATGAGAAGGGACAACATTCTGGAGAGAGAAGAGAGAGAGAGAGAGAGAGAGGCAGCACGGGACCAATGTATGAGTGGCTCAAACCATTGAACTCTTCAGACGTCTGTGACTCTGTAGCGGGTTTGCGCTGCGACAGACCATCCCGATTCGGCGGAACGGAGGCCAGGCGGGGGGGTGTGATTGGCATAGGTATTGGAGACCGCAAGCGTACCTTGGACCGCATCTTTCATCTCAGGTTCTTGGTATTCCTTGCTGTTTGGATCATCTACAGTCTCCAACCGTCTTCCGGTTGAGCGTTGAACAGACACTGGCTGGACCAAGGGAGCTGGTTTACATACCTACCCTACCTACCTCGAGCCTGGAGTGAGTGTGTGTGGTCATGTGTTGTTTGCCCATCACTCACTTCATCATGTCTTTCTCATTCTTCCTTTCTTCACCTCTCCTCGGCCTGTGACATATCGCTCCACAGTCCACACCCCCAAAAGTGACGTAGCGGCAGTTGACCCCGTTCCAGTTGCAGCTCCAGTTCCAGCGTGCGGCATGCTACGGCAGAGAATAGGTAGACAGACACACACACACACACCGAAAAGGGGAGAACGGGGCCCAACTCGCAGCTTTGCCGACCCCAAGCCGAGCTTGTGATTTTGCGGGGAAACATCCCCAATGGTAAAAGAGGCTACGGCTGCTGCTGCTGCTGCTGCTGCTGCTGCTGCTGCAAGGAAGTGCGGAACTGGGAGTCAGAGTGTGGGGAGCTGGGGGCCCGGCTACTTCCGCCCTTCCGACTGGCCAGACTCATTCGCCAGAAGTTGCCGAGGTTCGGACGCTGGTCCTGGCCTCATTCACTCACTCACTCACTCACTCATTCGTCACTCACTTGCTCACTCCCTTTTGTCCTTTACGCGAGTTCTATCATCGCTATGGCGAATAATATATCATCATTCTCATCATCGTAACAATGAAGCGAGTTCCCTTCCCTTGAAATTACCTCACTCTTCTCGTCTCATCCTCTCTACGAGAACAGAGATCGCAAGAGACACAGTCAAATGGACATGAGTGAACCGAACCGACCAACTTCCTGATGGCCCTTCAAGCTTAGTCATGCCCGCACCGCCACATCATCACTAAATGAAGGCTGGTGATGGAGGGACGGGAAACTAGCTTGGACCTGGCAAGGTCTGGCACTGGTGCTGGTGCTGATTTGCGGCGCCAGCATCGGATGAAAGTCGCAAGCGGGTGAGGCTGACAAGCTACCACTACCACAACACACAACCTGCCCATCTGTGTGACAAAAGCATGTGAAAATCAATGATACGACTCGTAATTTTTGTAGTAGATTAAAATGAGGGCTCATGATATATTCCAAACTTGGAAGAAGCGCGCCGCTAGATTTTCCCTCCTATGCCACCCAACCACCCAATTCCCTTTTTCGGTTTTCCTATCGGGTTTCTTCAGGACACAAAATGACTCCTTAAACGCCATCCCATACGGTCGGGCTTCGTCGCCCGTCCTAGTACCGGTCCCGGTCCCTGTGGTCCACGAGGACATCTAAATAATCTGAACAAGAATGAGATGAGCCGCAACGAAATCGCTTCTCCGTTGTGCAAACAACACTTCCGTCTCTCATAAATCGCCGTTGGGGAATCGTCTTTGCAAAACTCCCGCCTGAAACAATGGAATCCTTTTGACAAGGAGGAAGGGAAACCCAAAAAAGAAGAAACACAAAACTTTCCATCGCAGCTCCATCATGCTGGAGTACCGCATTCCTCGAGGAGAGGGGCTTCTGCCTCGAAGCTGTACAGGCGCACCTCGCCATCTTCACTTCCGCTGGCCATGCGACTGTCGGTCAAGCCCACACAGGTGACGGGGCCAGAGTGGCCAGTGAAGGTGCGCTCACACTTGCCGCTCTTGGGCTCCCAGACCTTGACCATGGAGTCGTTGGCGCCGGTAACAATACGCAAAGTATCACCGACCAGGCCCCAGATACCTTCGACGTGACCGAACATGGTGCGGAGGCATTTGCCAGTGTGGATGTTCCACACCTTGACCGTGTTGTCGAGACCGGCGGTGAGCATATAGCGGGGCGGCAGCTGCCGAGTGGGGTCCGAGTTGAAGGCGCAACCGAACGACGTCCGGTCGTCCTCCGGTGGGGAACCGGAATCTCCTCCGCCGAAAGAAGAGCCGAGAATCGACGCCACGTTGGCAAACGCCGTCGGCGTCGTGCTCCGGCCGCTGCCGCTGTGGACTGACACATTATCGGCGCCATCACCAGCGAGTGCCTCTTCATCGGGCTCAAAGTCTTCTGGCATCAGCAGAATCTGCTGCACCTGACCCATGTGGCCCTCAAAGGTCTTGATGCATGTCTTATTCCGCAGATCCCATAGTCGAACAGTGCAATCATCCGAGGCTGAGAAGAGCGTCTGCGATCCAGGGTCCAGACGGACGTGGTTGACCCAATCCTCGTGGCCACGGAGGCAGAACGTTTCCTTGCTGTCAAAGTTGAAGATCTTGATCGACTTGTCGATGGAACCCGACGCGAGGTACTTTCCATCAAAGTCGACGGTGATGACACCTTCGCTGTGGCCACGCAGTGTGCTGATGCAGTCACCCGTCTGCCAGTTCCACACCTTGACTGTGTGATCCAAGCTACCGCTGAAGAGCTTATTGCCGACAAACTTGAGGGTACGGATGCCCATCGTGTGCCCGCTCAGAGTGCGAATCTCCTCTCCCGTCTCAATGTTCCAAATCTTGATCTTGGCGTCGTAGGATCCCGTGGCAAGAATCTCGTCGTCGAATTGCAAGCAGGTCACGCCGTTGTCGTGTCCTTTGAAGGTTTTGATGTGGCATCGACCGTACTTCCAATTGAAGCCGACCCTAAAACGGTCACGATAGACGCTCTTCCACGGCCGAATGAGACGTTCCCGCTCCTTCTCTGCTCCGGCTTTGGGTGCCATGGGCTCGCCTGGGTCGCTCAGGCAAGCACGCTTTCGGCTATCGTCGAGCACAACTAGTTCTCGCTTCTTGTTGGCGTTGGGCGAAGAGGCTGTCGGGATCTCTTCAACCTCTTCGACCTCTTGTACGGCAGCATCCTGTTGCAGACTCCTAGCTTCGGCGAGTTCCTTTTGCTTGTTCCAGTCTCGTAGCCTCTTACGCTCCAGGAGGGGAAGGCCGAAGCCGCACTTGGTACACTTGCGGTCAATATGTTGCTCGCACATGCGGTGCCAGACAACGTCGTCGTCGGCGAGGTCCCGCCACCTCCGGCTGACTTGAGCGGCCTTGCAGAGGGAGACGGTATCGAGGTAGCCGAGAACCTTGTATGAGATCTCGGTGGGTAGCGCAGCCATGAAGTCAATCTTGAGCTGTTCGTGTACTTCTCGGGAGACGGTGGATAGTTGAGGGAAGCAGCATTGAGTGATGATACCCTGGAGCATCAGGTCGCGGTGCTTGGCGGGGGCGGCGGAGAAGAGGGACCACACATGTGTGATGGCTTGCTGATCGGCAGACGGCAGCTTATCGAGTTCCTGTGCGCCAGACGTGTCAGCACGGAGTCGATGGGCCCTATGGGCATCAACACAAGACGGGCTTACACTTTGAATCAAGACCATCTTGGACTCGTCGGCCGCGCGACGACACTTTGCGTCGGGGCGGTGACGATAACAGAACTTGCTGTTGGTAGGGTCTCGCTTCTGGATGAGGGAGTTGTTATTTTCGTTTTGGACATCGGGTTTACCGATGGGAGCGTAGATGCCGGGGATGTGTTCTCGGAGGAAGGGGGTAACTGTCTGGCCGACGAGCTGGGTAGGCATGTTCGCGGGGAACTTTGAGACTTCTCCTTCGTCAGGTCTCCGTCTGTCGCAGTTGTCTCTGGATGGATGGTTCACAGTAGTCACATCGTTGGCGGCGGCAGCGGCGTTGGGAGCAAGTGTGTGGTTGTGGTTGTGATTGTGGTTGTGATGGGAGGTAGAGGAGGAGAGTGGTGTGGAGTTTACGTCGGCGGTAGCGGTGAAAGTCGGTGTGTTCTTGAAGTAGTCAGAGGAAGGAGAAGTCGAGGCGAGCTCGTCATGGCGGTGACTGGGCGACGAGTTATTGGTGTCGAGGTTGTGGTCGAGGCCCACGTTCAAGTTTAGGTTCAGGCTCCGGGGATCCGGGACGGTTGACGTGCTTGCGAGGTCCATGGCCGCAATATGTTTCAGCAAGCAATGGAAGCAGAGCACAGAACAGTTGGGGTGAATGGTGTCAAATCATCCGGGGCGAGACGGAAAGCCGTTCGGTTGGGTTTGTTGGTGTCGCGGGCGGCGGTAGGGGAGGTGTACAATGAGGAACACAGCCTACAAAGCAAACGACGAGCGCAGAGTCAGAGAGGACGACGAGGGGCGGGACCGTGTATCCGTACGGTACAGCGAGTGACACGGGGAGGGAGTGACAGAGTGACAGTCGTGGCCGCTGGGCGTTTTGGGTGTTGGTGAGGCGAGAGGACCTGGCGATGGCGTGCGAGCCAGGGGAAGGTCGATTTCGGGTAGGAACTCTGTGGAGAGAGACCTGGCGTCACAGGTACTGGAAGAGGATTGGCGTGTATCTTTTTTGGTGGAAAAAGAGTATGGGGTGTCTGGGTATAGTTCTCTGAGAGACTGAGCAGCTGCCCAAGATGGATGCCCCGGACGATCTACAGGAACGGATTCCGACTGGTTCTGAGGGGTGTCGTTGTGGATGGAATTGGCACAGAGGGCACGCAATTCGAGTGCAGTTTGTCGAAGTCGCGCGCGGGCGTTTGTGTTGAGACTCGAGGCAGGTTTGGCAGGAGGTTGAGCCCCTGGTGATTCGTCGGCCGGGGGAGGAGGGGGTGCTGTGGTCTGTGGACGGCGATGGAAGTCGTCTAGATGCTTTCTTCTTCTGTTCTCGTCCTTGTTGGCCTGCTGATTGCGACGGATTTGTTTGGCGGCGGAGAGAGGAGAGGGTAAGGTCTTGTTGCCCGATAGCTAGGAATAGTAAGGGGAGGGGTGCGACAAGGTTCAGACGAGGCGAACGGAGTTGAAGGAGGGAGGAAGGGAGAAAGTATCGTAGTCGCAGTGCGCCGTCGTCGCCTTTGACGGTGTCGGTGTCGTGATCGAGGTAGTGTGTGAGGTTATGGGAGGGTACGGTCTGGGTTCGTCCGAGGCTTGATCGAGAGAGAGTGATATACGAAATAGATACTGTAGGTTGCGAATGGATGTTCGTAGTAGGAAGGGATCGGTGTGTACTTGATAGCGGCTGATTCGAAAGCGGCGTCGGTGGGATAAAAGGTTTGATGCTCTTGTCTTTCTCTCGTCCTCTCTCTATCTCTATCGCAATATGCTTGAAATTCGCTGCTGGTGCTGGTGCTGGTTGAGCTGAAGGCGGGCAGAGGCAGTTGGTTGGCAAAGCCGTAGACGGAGCCAGCACCAAAGAGGCGGGTTTGAGTGCTTTGGGGCGAAAATGGCGTTATCGCTAGGATTACCAGCGGTGGTTGAGCAACGTGAGCCTGGGCAGGTGTGTGGGTCCCCCAGAGGTTCCACTTGTCGACAGCGGTTCCCAGGGGTCCAGACCCACTAAGACGTGCTCGCTACTTTTGGGTGTCCACTATAACCTCTAGAAAGGTGATGTGATTGGCCGCCTTCTTTGGCAGACGGTTGTCGCTGGTGGTGGGAAGGCGGCAGCGGACGGGTCTCGCTGCACTTGCCTCCGATAGCCGACTGATTAGATTGCGGGGGAGGCAACTGGGAGGGCAGGAGGCTACGCCGACAAGCGAACAAGCCAAAAAGGGCATCTACGAATTTCAGACCTGGCAGACACAGCAGGCAAGCCTGGCACCCCGCGATGCACCTCCCTCAACTGTGCTAGCAACATCCACAAGTACACAGGTACGTACTCCCAAGTACAATACGGAGTAAGGTACACTAATACAATCAAGTACATTTGGTGTGAAGCACAAATCGAACTATTCTTCTCCCGTCTGTCATCTGTCACGATTTCCCCAGTTTCATCTTCATCGCTACCGATTGAGGCTCATCGTGGTGGTTGCATCGACCAAGACTCTGTTGAGCCTCTTTGTGTGTACTCCGTCTGGAGTAGGTATCTGTGATGTGGGCGAGGAAATCTCGAGGTGCACAACTCGCTAACGTCGGGCTTACCTAACAACATGCGCAACCAGGCACTAAAATGGTCCACGACTATCCACGAAAGAGTCACCTGCCCTTGAATTTTTCCATCTATTCTGCCAATTCTGCCAAGTCCCGTTCCATTGGACCCAGATTGGCTCATCGCCCTCGCTTGGCCACGTCTTTTGCAGTTTCTCTCTCGTCATCTGCTGGGTCTCCTTGAATCAGTCCATCTGGATCCAACAGAAGAATTTTCACTTTCTCTTAGCAACAAGTAAACAACAAAGACAGCCAGGCTGTGTCTGACATCCTGAGCTGATGTGCTTAGAAACCGGATAGTCTCCGTCGTATCCGCTCTCTGTAAAATTCTTGGATTTGTTGCCCAATGCCAGGCATGAAACTTACGACACCTTGAAATTCAAGCTCGTCATTTTTCTGCGGGTCCCAGGCACCGTTAGCAAGTAGGTATCAAACGTAATACAGTAAAGATGAACTTCAAGAGGAGACAACTTCAAGAGAACTCAGGTTGAGAGAGGCATCCCCAGACAACAGCTCCTGGGCCGCCCCGACACGCCCGAGTACCGACGATGAGGTTAAGGCCGGCTGGAATGTCGCCATCCTGGCTGCCAATCTCCCCAATCGGGATGAGCTAACGCGAGCCTGCGATGGCGTCATTTCCTCAGCCCACGGCTTCCCCAAGCACCTCATTTCTCTCTGCGCCTTCGTTGCCCTTCGAGAACGCCCCCTTTGTTCCCATTCCTGTCCCCTTCGTGCCCATTTGCGCCTTCAATACGGGACCTGCTGCTGCATCATCAAGGGTGAAGACTGGAGAGGCTCCTCCCCCCTTCGGCACTTGGATTAAAACCTAACGCCTTTCCCCATGTTTTGTCAACTTAACGCCGTTCGCCTCTCAGTGTCTCCGTAATTCTGTCACCTCTCTCAAATATGACTAAACCTCCTTCCATGGTTCCCGTCGTGGATCATGTAAGCCCTTTTCAACTTCCAGCGACATCCATGGAGACGGGCGTGAATCATGAATGAGAGCGGATGAACTGACCAGGCCTGGACAGTTGGACTGAATTCGAACGTTCAGTCAGCGACTCAGCTCTCCCACATTCCCTGTCAACTGCCAATTCTTTCTCAATCCCACCATCCAGTACTCTCACTCACCAGCGCAACACGCCATTGGCCAATCCACCGACTCCGAAATCTTCTCCGAACCAAAAGGTCTGACGAAATCATTCACCAATGAAGAGCCTTACCGATAGCCGCAATGGGGCTCTTCCGACCCCGGCCAGACACCACAAACCCATGTCTCCCAATCTTTCACCGAGCGACAACCTCGCTTTCCGTATCAATGCCATCTTTTCGGTCGAGTGCCCCCGTCGCGTCGGACATGATGCGACCAAAGATAAGACTCAGCAATCACGCAATTGATTCTAATTTCCAATGTACATCAGGTGATGGCAAATTGACCTATCGCTTGTACAGCTAAAAAGGACTATACTCACAATTAACATTGTTCATCGACATCCTGAAAAACTGTATGTCTGCTATCCAGCTCAACTGTTGGGATGGCGCAGGTCAGACATAAAGTCAATGGGGGCCGGGACGAGCCGATACAACGCCCAAAGTACTCCAGCCGCTCAGGCTGTGCAACTTGACATAACCTTCATCGAGCACCCGCTCCTATCCAGACATGATACTTCTTATCCAGTTGCGCTGCTACGCGTCTTGTTCTTCTTGGCTGAATGCAGAAGCGCCACTCATCACCCCTCCGCCAAAGGCTGATTCTCGTCGTACTTTATCCAACCGCCCAACGCCTGGCAGCCGGAAACCTGCCAGAGACATGTCTAGCTTGTAGCCGGCCAGGTGATCTGCAGCTACGGCGTTCAAGCTGAGCTTTCGAATCCAGCTTTGAGCAAGCTCGAGCCTAGATCTTGGTCTTGACGTTGGCGGACACGCAGGTGCCACAATCCCGTTCTCTTGATTTTGCAGCTCAATCTTGCTATGCAACTCTTTGTGAACCGTGGATATACTCTTGTGATCTTCAGTTGTTGGATATCCCATCGAGTACGGAATGGCGTAAGTACATACATTGCCCTTGGGGAATAACGAATCACGTGTTATTCCACGACCTTTTCTTGATGATCATGTGATATATCTTGGTCCTATGCCTAATCAGAAGAGTCTAAAACGGGATGTATAGTATCCTTGAATTTTCCCTACTGAGAGGTAAAATGACATATACCTCCTCGAGATCACTTCGATCATGCCTATCTCTGACAAGACTCATAGACCAGAACCATACTCATCCCTCCAACGAGCAATAGAGAAGTATATACTCGAACAAGCACTAAGGTTTATGAAACATTCTACCTTCGTACATTGAAGCCCAACTTCACGATTCCCTTGTTGCTTAAGACGACGTCATGATACTCCATGATTTGATGGGTCAGTATCTGCCCCAACTCGAAGCAAATCTTAGACGTTGAATGCCTTGTTGGAATTGGTACATGGAAAATTGCCCTGAGATATTGTGTCTTCTCCATTGGCGATGGGCAGCACAAGAATATGATATAGTGCAGTTTGAACTTTCCCTTGTAAAGCAGTTGGTAAAAATCGTCTTGTCTTCATCCTTCGTTTCAACCATTGTGACATCAACTTGATAATCTCTTACCTCAAGACATAATGCAAAATTATGGATGGACTACGTGGGCTCCAAAAAAGCAGCCCGGTAATCATACAGCAACCTCAACCTTGGCCAAATGGCTTAATACTCACCCTTGATCCGACTTGACAGCTTTTGCTTTCTGTCCTTTGGCTTTTCCAGTATTCCTGACATTAAATACACATTGCATCTACTATTGCATTTGACCGTTGTCATATTGTGGACTTGACGAGATTTTCCCCCCAGAGAAGAATCCCCATTCACAACCTGCTTCAAGATGGAGTTACCTCGACATGGCTCGAATATCCAAGTAAAGAGGTCATCAACTTGAATTTACTCTACTAGATACGGGCATAAACGATTATTTAATTATGGAGTTAGTGGAGTGCGAGAGATTGGTTCAGATTGCCACCGCTCTGCCGTTGATTATTCCGAGGTCAAGGGATATTAAGCTCCGTCAGTGCAACATGACAGGAGCTACAACTTCGGTAATCGCACGTGCCTGTGACCAAGATGTCGATTTGTCTATAGTGTCTCGGGGTAATGTGCAAACCGTCATCGGTTGCTACGATAATGCGTTTACCTCTCTTCCACCAAACGGAGTTGACATGAATACAGCTAGCCTCACATGTATGGTCTTCATTCTGCCTGACAGCTCAACTACGTCATAGCGAACCTGGGATTTCAAGGAACGGGTCTTCTCAATGACCCTCGAAAGATCCACTGTTTCACCATTCAGTTGCACTTCTCTTGGGTCTGGTTACCTGCCCTTAACCTACAATAACAGGAGTTGCGGTTCCATTCCAATCTCTCGGATCTTGACATCGAGTCTCAACAAAAGTTAATGGAGCCTACCGTAACTGGCCGCAGCTATGATGAGTCCCACTGCAATGGAAAACGTCGGGAGTCTCCCTTCAGATTTCGACGAAAACTTGTCTTTACGATGAAAATCAAGGAGTGTCCAGATTGGCCCCATTTTGTCTTTTGCGGCTCAAGTTCCTCTAACTCTACAGATCTCTGACTTCATATGTTGTGACGACTCTGTTTGTTTCCTTGGAGGGTTTACGAGGGCTGTATAGACACACCGGTGGTCAGAATCAGAGGAGCGGCCCAAAGACGATCTATACTTCCAACTGTACTTGTCGTAATTATTTGTCAAATTGAGTCGCAGTAGCGATACTGCGCACTCACAAGTAGGCAGACTCATTGAAATCCAGCTTGACTTCTAGGCAAGCCAGTCGATTTTGTATCGCTATATCGGCTCTGACCGGTTGAATGATTAATTGCCGCCGACAGCCGCTGTTATCGCGAAGGCTGATTTGTCGCGATGCATGCCAAGTGCTTGGCGGTGGTAGCCCAAGAGACTTTTGAGCATCTCCGCCCCTCGGGACTGGAAGGAGATGCAGACTTCCCCGCTTCAGCAGAGATATCACTCGATGAGAACGGCGAGAGTTTCTGCTTGGCGGCGGATGGCGGGTGAGTTTAGGTAGCTGGGCCGCTCGGCGAGGGGCATAAAATCCTCGCGAGGCCGGCCACTGTCTTCCTAGACCTGTGTTGGCTTCTTTGCAGTCTGCCAAGGCTTGTTACTATAAGCGATTTCAAGCAGAGCTCAGCAAGATGCGTCCTACGGCTGCCTCTATTGTAATCTCACTGATCGGCTCCGCAGCCGCCGAGACTGTCCACGGCGTTGTCGTCTTCAGTCGTCATGGTGATCGTATGTTTTATGCCTGCAGAAATGAGCATCGGATATCAAGCTGACGCCTAAGTCTAGGAACAACGAAGCATTATGGAGCTCAGTCATTGACCAGCGTCGGTGCTCAGCAGTGTTTCGAGGTTGGCAGTGACTATCGAGGCCGCTATCTGGAGGCGGACTCTTCTAGTCGGATTCTCAACATTTCCGAGGATAAATACGTTTCCTCGCAAATCTACGCCAGTGCCCCCGACCAAGGCATCCTATTGAACACGGCTACGGCATTTCTACAAGGCCTCTATCCTCCATTGGTAGGCCTCAACGCTCAGGTTGCATCGTCGACCCTCAACAACGGCAGCACAAGTACAAGCCCCCTAAACGGCTACCAGTATGTTCTCCTTCATGGAGAGAACTCTAATTCGCCAGACACTATCTGGATCAAGGGGGATGATGGATGTCCTACGAACGCCAAGGCCTACAAGGCCTTCGAAGCAAGTGAAGAGTTCCAGACCCGTGTCACGGAGACCAAGGACTTTTACGGCAGCTTCTACGATGTGCTCGAGAGTGTGTACGACTACAAGCCCGAGAATATGACGTACAAGAACGCGTACGACATCTTTGACTTGGTAAATGTGGCACGCATCCACAATAGCACATCTTTGGCCCGGAACGTGACGGACGAGGAGCTCTTCCAGCTGAGAACGTTGGCAGACAGCGCCGAGTTCGGTTACAACTTCAATGCGTCCAAGCCTGACAGCACCATTCATGCAAAGACTCTTGCGGCTGGCATCCTTGCCCAACTCAACCAGACGGTTACTTCCAAAGGGAAACTCAAGTTCTCCCTCCTTGCAGGAAGCTACGACACATTCATGTCCTTTTTTGGTCTTACTGATCTCATCACGATTTCGGACGATTTCTACGGCCTCCCAGACTACGCCTCGACGATGGCGTTCGAGCTCGTTAGCGATAACACGACTGTGTTTCCCGCGAATGTCGATGCCGACCTTCGTGTGCGCTTCTTGTTCCGCAACGGCACTTTTGGCGAGCTGACGGCGTTTCCCCTTTTCGGGACTGAAGAAGAGACTCTGTCATGGCCGCGCTTCGTTGAAGAGATGCAGAAGAGAGCCATCAGTACCGTCGAGGAATGGTGCACTGCCTGCTCTAGTCTTGTGTCATTCTGTGCGGCTTACCAAGATGAGGAAGCTGCGAGCTCCGATTCAGGGAGCAGCGGAGGCATGTCGAATGTTGTTGCCGGTGTTATTGGTGCCATGGTCACTCTCGGCGTTGTTGCTGTCATCGGTGCCGTTGCATTCTTCATGATGAAGAAGCGACGCGCAGCTCCCGTTTCTCAGGTCCAAGGGTCTACGGCTGAGAAATCCAGTCTGCGCAGCGGCGGTAGCGTTTGAACGTTTGAATCAACAAAATTTTGGATTGAAGCGATGAGTATGAATGCAGCGAGAGTAATGCCGGTTTCTCTTTCCCATGTATCTTGTTGTCAGCGAACCAAGGGTCTGCGAAAGTCTGGCCATCCGAGACTTGCCGAGGCCTTCGCACCTTTGAACTGGTTTGAAAGGATCATGCCTGTCAAGCTTTGTGATAGCAGCGATCATAGTAATCTTTATTGAAAACAACGGCGCTAAGGCTACACCGACAGGGTTCATAAACTGGGCCTTATTTCAATGTAGTTGAAACCACTTGAGCGAGTCGTTCGTCAGCAGTCTTCAGGAACCCGAGTTCATCTGATCTTTGAGCGGAACATCCGACGGGATGTTTTCCCCCCAAGAATCCCCTTTTACACGGCAGATCTCGTTTACAGTCACAGCGCAAGTTGAAAGTGGTTTGAACAGATTATGAACGTGACAAATGGTACGATCTATATCGTTAAAGATATATACTTTATGTAAAGCGGTATACAGGAAAGACTTTGTACATGAAAGAGATTGGTCCTGGACCGAATCAGATTCGTGGACGTCACAAGTGTGAACACCCACTACGAGCCGGATAGCTATCTCATCCCCTTAGCCATCTAGGTCGCCTCAACCCTCGAGACCAGATCCCGTGATAAACAGTGAAATCGTGGAAATCGCTTATGCCTGGATGCGGCGGTCGTGAATGCTCATGCGCTTGGCGACAGCGGTCGCGGAGGGGGTCTCGACGGGGCAGTCCTCCTCGTCGTCAGCAGCCTGGGTGGGAGTGGGAGTGGCAACCGGGGCAGAGGACTCGGCAGGGCAGTCCTCCTCATCGTCGGAGGCAGCCTGGGTAGGGGTAGCAACGGGAGCCTCAGACTCAGCGGGGCAGTCCTCCTCGTCGTCAGCGGCCTGAGTAGGGGTGGCAACGGGGGCAGCGGTGGCAGTGGCGGTAGGGACCTCGGACTCGGCGGGGCAGTCCTCCTCCTCATCGGCGGCGAGAGTAGGGACGGTGGCAGCGGCGCTGACGGTGGCGGAGGCAGACTCAACGGGGCAGTCCTCCTCATCATCGGTGGCAGTCTGGCTGGGGGTGGCAGCAGAGGCAACAGAGGTGGCGGGGGCAGAGGTGGCGGCCGGGGCGGAGGTAGCAGCAGCGGCAGAGGTAGCGGCGGCGGAGGTGGCAACGGGGGCGGCGGAGGAAGCAGCGCCGGAGCCGGAGCCGGAGCCAGAGCCGGAACCAGAGCCAGAGCAGGAGAAGACGGCAGGGCCGGGGATGGTGTACTCCTGGGCCTTGTAGGCATCGTAGGTGATACCGGCATCAGTGGCGGCGTAGGCACCGGGGAAGGCAACCAGGTCAGAGGGGCTGGTGCTGCCGGAACCGGTGACCTTGATTTGATGGCATCCCGGGTAGAACTGGGCGCCGGGGTAGGAGTAGGAGGCGTGGAGGGCGATGATCTCGTGGCGGACGAGGTACTGGCCGGGGGCAAGGCACTCGGGGATGGTGTACTTGACGCCAGAGTTGCCGGCGGTCATGAGGGGGGTGGCACCCCAGGTGTTGGAGGTGCCCTCACGGCCGCTCTCCTGGACCTTGAACCAGACCTTGTCGGTGTTGGGGGTGAAGGTGGTGCAGTCATCACCGGCGCACTTGGCCATGTAGGTGATGGTAGGGCCAATGTGAGACTCGGGCCACAGAGTCCAGTTGAGGGTGACCTCGTCACCAGCCTTGGCCTCGGCGACGAGCTTGGCGGGGGAGGAGCCCTTGACACCACCGGCGGTGTAGCCACCGCACTGAAGGTCGATGCTGGTCAGGTCCTCGACGGGGCCGTTGCCCTGGATGGGACGGGAGATACGCTCGGGGGCCGGGCTCGTGTACGGGTCCTGGTAGGGCTGGTAGAAGGTGTAGTTGGTGCCACCGATGAGACCATCAGAGACGTAACCGTGGGCAGCCACCAGGGCTGCGGATCCAAGAAGGGAGGCGATAGAGGACTTCATTTTTGCGATTTGGAGTTTTTGTTTTTCGAGAGTTGTTCAAAAAAGGGGTTGGTTGGCTTGACTGTGAGAATATCGAGGTCGGTTGGGAGGAATGAGTGTTGTTGGAGAGGTCAAGGACCGAAAAGAATGAATGACTACCTGGTCAAGTGAAAAGAATGACAAAAGTTGAACGAAGGAATGAGATAGACACACAAGTCAAGTGAAGCTGAACACTATGGATCGTAGGAAAGAGAGTTCAAGGTCAAGAGAGACCGGGCAGAGGTGACGATATATACGGGAGGGCATCGTAGGTTGTTTTCCTAACGCGGGCACTTGCGCCGTTGGCGTCCTTTCTCAACTCCATCGGGTCAAGATTAAGAGGACCACTTCCGCCGCTCCGCCAAAGTTTCAATTATACGCAGGACAATCATATCCGGCCAGGTGGTGGGGATAAACATGGGGAGGGGGATCTCGCGTATGCGGGAGACAGGCGCGGCTGGGATCATTGGGATGTGGGTGGTGGTCTTTGGGGGTCTTGGTCCTCTCTGGATTTGGTGTATTGTGAGTGGTGGGCTTCGATCTAGAAGATGTGGCTCAGGGGAAGAAGCCAATAGACTCTGGGCTAACAGCTCCCACGCTGCTGGGAAGCCTGGGTTCAGATGTCCAGGATGACGAGGGGCACGAGGGGCTCAAGCCTCAAGGCTCCAGGTTGAAGGAGTCAAGGGGGGGCAAGATATCCAAGACTTTCTGAGAGCAACAGGCGAGTGCCGACTGCGCTTACGCTGGTGTGCGTGATGCAAACATATTGGACAGGCTCAAGTTGGTGGGCTGCTCCGGGCGCTAGCATAAGCGTAGATAGGTCTATCCATGCCACGATACTGGTAGTCAGCATGGGGCACGATGAGTTCACAACTTGCAGATGGCTCGGCCAACTGCCATGTCGTTGTCAGTTGGAGAAGAAGCAAATGTCAGTTCAGTTGACATGCGCCCAAAAGGTGAGACAATGCAAGTCCCCCTCGATGGCCTCGACGAGGAGACTAGACAAGGGCTGGAGCTCAACTTGAACAACGCGAGCAAGGATTCGTCCCATGTCAACCGGTGCTTGTAGATCCACTCCCGTGCTTCGCTGGCCGAACCGATTGGCCATCCCGGCGTCTACCACCGGGAGCCCCCCGGTCAGATCCCCGTCAGATCCCGGCGGCCACCCTGAAACAGCCAAGTCCTGAGACCCATCCCCTTTTTCTTAATTATCACCAGATTCGCCCTGCAGCCTCCGCGGCCTCAATTAACACTCTACGCGCTACTTCCCGAAAGAGGCTCAACGTCCTGGCCGTCGTGGCGGGACCTCAGGGGTTACCACGCTTCGAGCCTTCGAGCCCACGCATCATGGATAGAAATCGTTCTGTGAAAGAAAGAGGAAAAAAACCACTTTTGCCCCCTGCGCAACGCATGGCACAGACATTTCCCTGACCTGGTGGACTTCCTTGAGTTGCAGTTCCCTCCCCTTTTCCACCAATCCTCTCTGCTTCATCCCAGAAGAGAATCCTGCCCTGTCACTGCCAAAGACTTTGCCGCCGCCGCCAGCTGCTGACCTGAGCGCTTCTAGACTGGGTCTTTTGACTCCTCATGATCTCTGCTCTTGTAGCTTGTATTCGTAGGCTGGGCAGCGGGCACAAACATTATGATTACAGGCCTGGCCACCTTTTCTAGACCCCTCGGCAGGCTAAACCGGCCAGGCTGATGGCTTCTATTCCTTGAATGTCCCTCTTCAGGGCTCTTCTTGCGGGACACTGGCAGACGGCAGGCTTGATCAAGAAATTGAACGGGGCTTCAGCGGCTCTCCAGAACCAAGGAGCCAACTGATGACTCTGGAGTCTGACCTGGTCCCGCCCTGCGTCTCTTCTCTTTTCTTTTTTTTCCCCGTCAATTCTCGGACATGAGCACGGGAAGAGGATCCAACAAACGATGGACCAGGAGGGGCCATGTGGCGGCGCGCGCCCGAATTCGGGAGCAACAACCGTTCTGAGCATCTCTGCTGGGCGAGCCATGCCAGTCCAAGTTGGAGTTGAAATTACATTTGATCTTCTCCTGGCCCAGCTGCCCAGCGGACGGCGGCATTATTGTACTAGAACTCCACGAGTCCAACGAAGGATTTCCGTCGATGCGAGATTGATTTAAAGTAGGGAGATGCCCGCTGCCCCCCTCACACACAGTATAAGCAGTATGCGTGATATGCTTTTGCCAATAGACTTCCCGTGCCCACTGCCCACCTCAATATGCTTTTGGCGGCTTTGGCCCGAGGCTAATGACGACGTCGATGAGCAGGCCACTGTATCCATCAATGCAGAACATGAGCATTGGCGTGACCCCCCCGGTGCCCCTTGGACTCCAGTCTCCGTCATCCACCGGCTTGACCACTCTGACGGATAACTCTCTTTCTGTGCTGACTGACGCCGCGAGAGCGAGAAGATCTGCTCGGAGCCCCGTGCCGTGATCCGTCTGCCAACCGCCCGGGTCTCACGGCTACGGCCTTGTCATCCCATCCCTATCATGTTCCCCATTACAATCTATCTCAACCCCTGTCAGCGCGCCAGCGCTTCACACCGCACATCAGCCATCACGCACGTCTTTTTTTTTCTTTCTTTCTTTCTTTCGTACTCCACAGGGGGCCAGCCAGGCCGCTGGGAGCCCCGTTGTAACTCGACGTTCAAAGGCCCAATGTTCCACACAGAGAATCAGCAAGGGTTTCCCACCCCCTTTTCAGCCGATCGACGAGCGCGTACCTGCGTACCGCACACAAACATCGCCGATCTGATGGAAATCCCTTCTTCTTCGTTGTCCTTTCCAGCAGTGAATAACCCAGTCACCGAGTCCACTCTGCACAAAATCCTATGATCGATGCGACGCCAGGATGCCTTCGTGGAGAGTCGATCGAATCTACGAACACCAAGCTTGGCTATGTTGGTTCCATCGTGGTCTTGCATCTTTTCTCGGCCGAGTTGATCACTGCCCTATGGAGTTGATTCAGAACCGAGAATGTTCTGGCGACGGTTTCTCCAAATAGCGACCGCCTGACTCGGCCTGTCCAAGTTCACAGTTCAAGGTTGTCGCTGCACTCAACATGATGCACGCGCAGAAAAGCCCCTAGCGGCGCAGCCAAAAGAAGCGCTCGCTGCTTAGCCAGGTCACCAGGTGTCTGCACTTCAAACGCGGCAGTTCATCCTTTCATCACACGCCGCTCGGTAAGCGTGCCGCAGCTGCGCTCACAGCTTTGAGTCAGTGAATCATTGAAAGCCATCTTATCTTTACTATAACTACCTTACAGGTCCAATGGCATGTCAAAGCCTACGGGTATCAAAACCAAACTAAACGAAACAGTTCCCTGGGCGTGCCTGGGCATCTTACAAATCGTGAGCTCATCCATCAATCTTCTACCTCCCTCTCCTCAACCTTGGCGGTTGTAGAGATTAGTGATTGTTGCGTCTTCGCTGTCTCTGTCGCTCAAAGATGGCCAAGCCAGATATGACGGCCATGATTGCCCAGCGTTCGCCCAGCTCACCCGTCAAGCCACTGCCCATGAAGGCAAACTTGGCCAACTTGGTCATGCTCATGCCAGCATCCGTCCAGACCGCTACCACTTCCTTTCCATCACCTCCCCTGAATGCACCTGGTCCGGCATTCTGGGGCACTGATTGAGCCAGCCTGACGAGCTTCCAGCCCCTGCTTCGGCCATCCAGCGCAGCGATCGCTTCGCCAGAGCTTGTCCTCCATTCAAACTGTTCTAGTCTCTCGCAGTTTGGACCAACGCCTATGGCGAAAAGGTAGGTCCATGACGGGAAGTCACTCTTTGATTCCAGCTCGACAATGGGCCCGCCGCCTGGGGTACGTATTGGCGCAGGTGGCAGCGTTATGCTCATTCTGCTGCTGAAGCTGTGGTACTCTACTGATGCGAGCGGCGGGAACCTGTCCGATGGCCCAGAGTGCAGCACAATGGGCGGCGAGCTGCTTAACCCGCTGTGTATCGACATGCCATAGAACGGCTGGCTCTGGTGCTCGCCGAGGAGCATCGTCCTGCTGAAGCTCTGCGAGTAGACATTGAAGGCTGGCGGGAATTGGCGGGCTACCGCCTGTGGCCCCGAAGACGGTCCTGCTGGTCTTGAGCTTGGTCCTGGACTTCCCCGGGGTGGTGGTGCTGGTCCCGGAGTCGTGCGGGGTTTCTCTTCGTACGGCGGCGGAGCTTCGTCTGCAGGGGCATCGGGAAGTGGCTTCATGTTGGAGTGTTGGGAAGTGGATGCCATTTTCTTGTGACACAACGTTTAATTATGATGCACTGGTGATTTTTTGTTTGTGATGGTTCAGTTGCAGTAATTCTTACTACTGGGAGTCTCTGCTTCTTTAAGAATTCGTTGCGTAATATGTCTGTCTGTGTAGGTATTGTGTCTGCCTGGTGATCCTATTTCACAGCCACACGCGTGACGGTAATCCAGTGGCACAGCCTGACAGTGAGGGCAGGTACGAACATCTGTACCTGCCCTCACTGTCGGATATTCGTAGGTAGGCTCAACCTGGGCAAGTGCACAGCTGTAAGAGTCACGTGCGACCCAAGTGCACTTGCTCCTAGAGTTTTCCGGAGGGAAGGAGCAGGTGAGTGCCGGAGAGGCAGGTACGCGCCCATATGCGCCTACCTTACTACCTCTACCTGCCTCACAGGCGGGAAAACAGAAACTCCACGGCAGTGGCTCATGGGGCTGGGCAGTCCCTTCTTTCCAACTTAGGCACAGTATGGGTGACGAATACCTGCTCTCATTTTCACGCTGTGCCCGGCAAAGGTGATCTACACCACCACAGCCACAGCCGCAGCCGCAGCTACAGGCACTACGTCAACACGACTCAGAGGCTCTTGACGATTCAAATCATCTGCCAACGCGTTGTCGGCTACTCCGAAGTTAAGACTAGTAGGTTCCTGCTGAGTCCATGTTGACGACAGCATACAAAGGCCCCCAATCTCACTACGAACAGCGACGACAACCAATTCTCAACCGTCGCAAACACTCACTAACGAGTAGATGATGCTTTTCGATCAGTATGTTGTTCATCGGCCACTTATCGACTGATCTATAAATCTTACCTCAACGCAGTCATTCAGTCATTGTCATCGGGACCACGGTAGTCTACCTCGATCCCTTCATCGTCTTCGATTGAAGTAGAGTAAACTTCCAAAGAAGTCATGTTCTTCACGATAGATTTGCTCCTCAGTCGTCTGTGTGTATGAGATCTACTCTTGATTGTCTCCAATATCCTAGTATGATAGAGGATGAAGTTCTCCTCCTGAAACTATCTCATCGACGGAAACGAGGACCCTTGGCCCGGTCCCGATGAATTAACATCTAATCACGCGAAACAGCAGAGTGAATCCGACTACGGCCACTTTTCAATGAATTCAGACTATCAAGTAAACAACTACATTGAATGCTGCGTGCCAAGCCGGCGTAAGAGAGATCCGATAACTGCTGAGGGCTAGAACGATGCGGAAGGTGAAGCTTATGCTTGTCAACTCTAGACTGGTGATTATCCAAACACTTACATAAGAGCTACTGTCGCCAAAGCTGTCGGTTGCCAAATCCTCTCAACTGCTCATGCTGCCTCTTGGGCAGCAATCAGCTCTAGCTTCGGCTGGTCAGGTAATTGATAGGTTCGGCCGATCAAAACCCTGAATGAACCTCATTCGTACTTGCTATGAGTCAATTCCTCCGCATTGCAATAGACTAAGCTTACTCGAGGTGTCTACGAGTATAATGATCGAACAATGCATGAGGTATTACTCGCTCGATCGACTGCATAGAACGTCCAACTGTGAGTTCTGAGAAACTTTCTTTGGTCACAATTGTCATGAAGCACTGAACGATCTCGACCGACTGCCTTCAAGCCTACATCGGATGCCAACGTGATTCTACCTCCAATGCACTAGATGTTCCAGCCAGTCACACGACCATGGAATGACTGCGTAAACTACGTAGTGCTGACATTGCAAACTCAAGTTTACGACAAAATAGATGTGAGCCAAGGCAACTTCAGTGCTCACCGCTCTTTCTCAAGATGTTGTATCGATGCTCTTTTCCTTTATTTGGGGATTCAGCTGCCTCAAAAATGATGTGTGCAGCTTTCAGCCAGCCTCATCTTCTAGACCGTGGCGCGGCCCGCACTGCATCAACACCACATTTTCTTTGAGACATGCAGATAGCCTAGCCTTCGTAAAGTATGATTGGACCGACGGCCTCAGAGCTGCACATATCAATGTATTCTTAACTTTATGCTCATTGGTTGCAAAGGATCTAAACGCGAATAGTCCTGTCGACGCTACCTACCGATTGTTATGATATATCATAATCCTCAATACATGAGTTACCTTGTAGGATGTAGTCATTCAATAACGTGCACATCTGATTTAATGAGAAAAATTCCGAAAAGAGTTGAGAGGATGTTGCAAGGGGAGCAAAAGCTGGTGGGATCCGTGATCGGTAAATAATCATAAATACTGCTACGGCCCTTCCCATGATGATTCTGGGTAAAGGATCAATATCAGCATCCAAGTCTTCACCCCAAAACGAACTCAAGCTCCAATCAATCACTTCATCTTTCCTCCTCTCAAATAGAGACCATGTCCAAGCTTCGCATCAGAAAAGACATCGACACTCTCAGTCACGATGAGCTTGACACGCTCGTCAAGGCATTTCAGCACATCATCAGCCTGAAGCCAGACGACAAGAATTCTTATTTCACCATCGCCGGCTATCATGGCCTTCCTGCACCAATGTACTGCCAGCATCGGACTGTGCTGTTTCCAACGTGGCACCGTGCCTACCTCCTGCGACTCGAAAACGCTTTGCGCAGTGCTCCAGGATGCAGCGATCTCGCTCTTCCTTACTGGAACGAAACGTCGAGTCCGTCCGTGAAGAGAGGGTTGCCAGATATATTCACTCGGAAGGACTACACCTTCAAAGATGGAACATCTGTCCCGAATCCTTTGTTCTCCTATAAGTTACAGGAAGATGTACATGATCTGGACGACAAAGGAAAAGACCTATCCGACGGATACACGAAACTTAGAGGGTACGACACTGTGCGATACCCCTACTCGGGACTCGTCAGCTCCGACTTCAGCTCCAAGACCTTGGAACACAATGTCGAGGTGAACAAGCTGCCGCCTGGACAACCGACTGCGCTCTTAAACGGGAACGTCATGCGCTGGCTGAATATGAAAACATTTGAGAACTGGGAAGGTAAGACGATTCCCGCAGGAATCGCAGACGGCTTCAAGGAGTGCCTCAATGCCCCAAACTACACTGTCTTCTCGAACACGGACTCGGCTCAAGACTGGAACACGACTGAGGTGAAGGGCGGTTTCGGGTCTGTCGTAGTGTCCCTCGAGGGGCCACATAACTCCATGCATTTGGCCATTGGCGGGTTTGACGTCCCCGATCAAGGGAATTTCAACGTTTATCCGTTCGCCAACGGCGATATGGGCGAGAATGACACTGCGGCATTCGACCCGGTCTTCTTCTTCCACCACTGCTTCATAGATTACATGTTCTGGAAGTGGCAGGACATTCACAACAAGTCCAAACAGCTAGATATCATCCCCGATCTCGACGGCGCAAAGGGTCTGACCCTCGACACCCCTTTGGAACCATTCACCAAGGAAGAGTTTATACTTGGGGACAACCGACCGCTGACATCCAATGTAAGACTTCAGCCAACCGCGAGTAAAAGTGTCTAACAATTACAGGACGTCACCAACACAGCCAATCTCGGTTACGATTATCCCAGGCCGGAATTCGATTCCATTCTCCCTGGTCCAGACCTAAGAGAAGGACCCAAGATCACGGCCACTGGCATCAACCGCGCTCGGATCCGCGGTTCTTTCGTAGTCTCCACATGGGCCAAGGGCAAGAACGGTGAGCCAGACATCCTTCTGGATACTAAGTCGGTCCTCAGTCGGTGGAATGTTGAGAGCTGCGAGAATTGCCAGAATCACCTAGACGTCAAATCGCACCGGAAGCTGTATGGCTTTTCGGACGAAGAGGCGTTGAACACGGATTTCTATGCGCTGATTCATACGAGAGACAACCCTGAAGGTATCGACACTATCGGAGGCAACAAGATCCAGACCGAGATTGGAACAGCACATTGAAGTATTGAGTTGGGGTAAAGAGCTGGTATCAAGCCTTCGAGACTCGTCCTGGGCTTCGCAAAACCCGGCTAGTGGTTCTATGAAGTGGTGTGAACTAGAGCGCAACCTTTTCGTTCATGAAGAATTGGAGACTTCAACAGTCTCAGGGATTGGCTACAAAAGTTTTCATTCATGCCTCATAGTTCTTATCATGTTCAAGTTCTTTAAATGTTGCTTCAATTTGATTCTCTCAACTGACGGGTTCCTTTCTTGACCGACCTTGATTCGAACCAGCAGACATCCGTATACTTTTGAAGATGCACGAGGCATGTTTTGCACGGTCTTTCGTCGATAGTACGATGACCCTTGGTGTCTGAGAAGCAGAAATACCTACAGCTAGGTAAATGGCCATACAAGAAGCCAGGGCGGAGTTCCTAGCCTGTGGTGGTTGTTTACGAAAGGGGCAGTACACGCAACCTCGTGTAATACTGTACACCGGCTAGGCTTAGTGACCTCTTGCGCCTTGCGTACTTTTTCAGTAGGCGAAACATCTTGATAGTTGAAAAAGTTGTAGTCTCAGGTAGAACTTGAAGCTGCAATGATGTGTAAAGGCTGATAGCGAGCGATGAGCTGCCGTAAACAAAAATTCCCCCATTGCCGTCCCAGTGCGCCTACTCCTTCGTAACGAAAATTAAACCCTACAAATTTCAAACATCATTGGGTGATACTCCAAAATGCTGCCGTCCATGCAAGCCAGTCCAGCGCGTACGTTCATTGCTAGATGTCGAAAGTGACTCGCTTCACACCTTTGGATATCGTCAATAGGTAGCACGTCGACAACACGAACAACAACTTACTGGAAGCCCGTCTCCTCTTAGAGGCGTAGAAAGCGTAAGTCGAATCATCCTCCCCTTCCAAATCGCCATCTTTGGACTTGCCTGACGTCAGGATCTGTATAAGCCGATTAGGACCGCTGCTATCCGAAGGTGTGGTGGTGGTGGTGGTGGTGGTGGTGCTGCTGCACCACTTGACCACACCAAAGAGTGAAACACTTACAAAGTCGAATCTGGATGCGGCGAAGACCAGAGCCATAAGGACGATGACAACCAAAAGCGAACCCCCAAGCCCATTCATGCCGGAAAACATTCTCAACATTTCGACTAAGGTCCAAGCCAAAGTTTCTCTTCTGTTTGCTGTTCCTGATAAGATATCGACCCCTTGGGGGCTAGTCGTCGATCGGATCGCGGGCGTAGACGGTAAGCGCTGTTGTTGTTTCACGTTCCCTTGGTGTTCAATCACCCCACGCGCGGCAATCAGCGGATGGAGAATGTCGGGGTAAGACTACGTGTGTAAAGGGGAAAGTAGAAAGATCAAAAGAGGAAGAGTGTCCAGAGACTTTCCGGAAGGCAGCGTGAGGAATACAAAGTTCCGAATGCAAACATGAATCGCGGGGTCAAGCAAGGTCAGGCATGTCCCAGAAGGAATCTCATCGTCAGGAAAGAAGGATAAGGCTCGCGAACTCCGGAGTTGGTAGGCAGGCAGAGTTGGGTCTGACATGCGACCTTATAACAACAATCTCCAACGGTCGCGGCCGGCCCTACGCTCATCCCAGCAACTCCGAACGTGTGGCGAGGACGATGGGACGTAGATCTTTTACGGCCGAGTAAGAACTCTCCGAAGTAGGTACCCCTACTTTAACTAACGAAGGGCTGGAAAATGAGTTCAATTCTGCTCTATTCGTGCACTTCTGCCTCAGCTGCCCAGCACGACACGTGGTAGTAACATGAGAGTCGGACATCCAAAGTCCAGCAACAGTCCAGCCAGCCTGATCGTCTGTGCCGGGGCGACCTCTGATTGGTAAAGATTCGAGAAAGAGTGTGCTAGAAAGTTGGGGTGGTCGATTCCCTAAATCTGCCAAAGATGGTTCTCCGTTTCGAGACGGCTGGAACGGGGGCCACGGGGGGAAGAGGGTGGGTGGCTCGTGGTAGGGCGGAACCCAGACCGTGGAGTGGAGGTCCGAATCAGTCGGCCGGAGTTCTGGGGGAGAGAGGAAACGAACATGTAACCCCCATTCTGTCTCTGCCGCAAAGGCTGACTGCGGCCCACCCATGTCTGTGTTTGCTGTTGGTGTCTTGAGTGTCTGATTAGTCCAAGAATGCGGGGAATGGGAAAAGGCAGCTCGTCAGCAAGGAGACAAGGGATCGGAGCTTCAATGTGAGAGGGCGGCCGAGACACCGAGACTGGTGAACTGATGAAGAGAAAGCGAGAGACATGAAGAGAAGATGCAGCGAGCAAAAGCAGGGAATGGTTGTGGCGCCCAATGATTGGGCGTGTGGGTGGCCTGTTGGCTGCAGCAGGGCAAAGAACTGTGTCCAATGAGTGCTCCAACAACCGAGCAAAAGTGCACCTCGAATTATGTTGCCGAGTCGGGGGGATCTGGAATCATGATAACGGGACTCGGAGCTGAGTGGTTGGTTTGCATCAGTCAGAGGAGCGAATTGGAAGGATGGGAAAGAATGGTTGAGCTGAGATCGAGTTCATCTCGAAATCTGATGCTGCCCACACCTACTTCCAGCCATCTCAATGGATGGGGCAGGAGAGTGAGAATGTAGGACAGACAACAGTCTTGTTCATTATTAGGTGTTTAGTATCATCATCATGAAGCGTCCAACCGATGCCAGCCGAGCGCGAATGCAACTGTGACTGCGACTGTGACAGTTTCTGCATCGGGTGCTTTCTAAGTTCAATCTCGCTGTATCCCAATGTTCCCTCCGCCATTTTGTTGCGTGTCTTCCCTTCCAAGTCCAAACCCAAAAGCAAAACTCCTCATTTTTCGTCATCCGAAGAAACGGAGAATCGAAATCCACGCCAAGAGATGCGAAACTCTTGCCCAAAGCGCCTGTGCATATATACCCATTTTTGGCCGTTTAAACTTTTGTACCGGTCGACGCCTGCTGATCCCATTGAATGAGATGAAAATGAGAAAGAGAGTGAAGGTGAGGATAAGAATGACGAGAATGAGAGTGAAAAGCCAGGATTCGGGGAATGAAGATCTCCAAAAGTCCGACCGCCGTTTCTCTCACTCACACACACATTTTCACCTCTCGCCCCCAACAAACATGAAAAGACAGAAATAACCACTAGCAACCACCGCCGAATGCCGACCCCGCGACCGTAGGGCAGGATGGGATTCCGATTGCCCCCAAAAAGGTCCAGAAAGGTCCAAATAGGGGGAAGAAGCGTAAAAAAAACGAGGCGAAAAGAGGACTAAATTACCCCTTCCGAAATTCCGGAGGCGTCGACTAGCACTCGTCCGCCCGTACCCCTTCCGAAATTCCGGAGGCGTCGACTAGCACTCGTCCGCCCGCAACGCCTGGACCTCGAGAGCCTCGTCCACAATGAGAGACCAGGTGTCGCGGATGTAGTCGCGCATCTCCAAGAGGACCATGACCGCATACGCTGCCGTCATCAAAGCGAGACAGTAAAACGCCTGAACCAGGAAACATCAGTCTCAATACCCTTCATGTTTTGTATAATCCCCGCGGTGAGGGACAGAGGAGAAATGATGTCAAAAACGAAAAGAGTGAAAGATGCAACGTACCGACCAGACTCCCAAATCACCCCATCGCACCAGAGCCATCTCGCCCAGCCCGTAGAGGCCCTCGATGCCGGATGCGCTCCCGGGGAATGCGTCGCCGCCCAGCCTCGTGCTGTAAATCACCCGCAGCTCCTCGACGCCGTGCAGCGCGTCCGGGACGCTCTGGAACCCATAGTAGAGAAGACCGAGCGCGAGCGGCATTGGCAGTGCATGATACGCCCAGCACAGCGTGTCGAAGATGCCCATGACGGTGAACTTGACGAGCTCCCTCGGCGGCCTCGTAAGATCCAGAATGCCCCTCAGGAAGAAGTCGAATATCACGGCCAGCAGCGTCGTCAGGGGATGCAAGGCCTGCGGTCGTGGTTGTCGTGCTTGTTGCCGGGCCGCCGTCAGCGACCGCCTTTTGGCTTGCTTAGTCTGGCCCCGGGAGGAAAGGTGAGGGGAGGCGAGCGCGGAGAGCCTTGGTGCCGGGTTGTATAGGTGATGTTGGTGTTGGTGTTGGTGTTGGTGTTGGTAGTCGAGATAGTTGTGCGGCCCCGAGAGGCCGGCACTCATCATGGTCTTTTGTGTAAAGGTCTCCGTGGACATGATGAACAGCGGATGCCCCTCCCCTTCAACATACACTTCGTGATAAAGTGCAAAGAAGGACTGGACGGGACGAGGAGTACCAAGACCAAAGGATATAAATCCAAAAGATAGGAGAACCTTGGCTCGGTTTCTTGGGAAACGGTCCCGAGAGGAAACTTAATAGTAGGCAGGTGAGGGGCCCAAGATATAAGTCGGTGAGTGATGAGTGGTGAGTGGTGGTGAGCTGCGAGTAAGCGACAGGACCCGAGCTAAGGATAGGTAGTGAGGTGTGCTCGAGCTTTATGACAAGCAGGGCAGAATGAGCAGGGAAAGGAAAAGGCAAAGCTTCCTAGGTCCTAGGATAGCGTTTGCTTGCCTTAGCGCAAGTTGCTAGCGACGCACCGTTCGCGACGACACCGTTTTTATGCAGGTCGGTCCAAGGCGGCGGGGTGAGAACAGCTCTGGGAGGTGTGATTGATGGTGTGGTTGAGGTGATGGTCGCAGCGGTCGGTGTAAGTCGTCGTCTATCTGTCGAGGAGGAGAAAGATGACTGGACAAGATTGTGGTGTGCCCAAGGTAGCTTAAAGGTAAGTTATGAATGTGTGTTTATGCCACCGAAATCCAAGATCGAATCCCACGTCTTTGCTTTTGGTGAGAGAAGTCGCTTTCGGTCGGCGACCGAAACCATCAGCGAACGATGTGCAGCAACGCAAGTAAGCAAACTTGCATGAGGTACGCGCTGAGGGCTGCTTGATAAGCTGAATGTCCGAATCCGACGACGGTTGGGGGAAAAGGCAAGGGGAAGATTAAAGACAAACAATACCTTTCCTTACACAGTAAAGAAGGGTTCAAGGAAAGTTGAGAAAGCAGCAAGCGGCGGCACGTAGAGAAATATGTCCTCGTCTTGAACAAGTGGATTACCCTCTCTCTCATCAATTCTTTCTTTCGCCTCTCCGGCGCAATGGACATTCCCCTTTGGTCCCTTGTGTATAGCTCTGTGTCTGTGTGTGTGCATCCAATTCCTCCTTATCTAAAGTAGCTTACCAGCCAAGACAGCCGGCTGGAATGTTGTCTCTCAACACCACGCCAAAATCGAAAGGGGGGAAGGATAAAAAAGTCCCCTGTGCATCCTCTGCGACCCTGCAGACGGACAGTAGTATGCAAGGCGAGGAGCTATGGTATCTACTATGTACCGCACATGCGTACATGCCATTATGCATGCATAGCAGGGAAATAAAAGCTGGGGGAGAAAAAAGACCAAACCAAAATCCCAAGCCAGAAATTGTGCTGTCGCAATGAAACACAAGACATACGCCTTTTCTACCTCATGTTTCCCCCATGTTCCAATTATAAATCCCCGTCGTTCGTTTCTGCGTTCAAGGAAAAGCCACGGTGGGAGCCTTTGGAGCCCCGGACTGGGGAGAGTTTCTCTCCGGCTGGGTCCCGGACCGCTCCGGTTGGCTGCTTCGCGCCTCGCCTCCCCTACGGCTCTGCCACCTTGATGCTAGCCTTGCGCATTCGACCACTCCGTCTTAACCCGCTCGTATCTTCGCCTTCCCCGGACACTTCACCCGCGGCTCTGAGGCGCTTGTTTCCCAGTCTACTCCCCGCGTAATCCTCGAGTGTCTCCGATGTGCTCGCTGCCGGTCGTTTTCGTCCCCGGATACGCGCCTCCTCGTCGCGCCCCAGGAACCGGTGGATAAGGCGGTGGTCCAAGATGCGCTGCTCCTTATCTTGAGGCCCGGCCCTCTCAGTCTTCGGCCAAATGTAACCGTATAGCTTGGAGTGGCGTTCGCAGCGCGGGCACGAACTCTTGGTGTAGTACGCATTTTGCTGCACAAATGCCGTCTCGCAATTCATGCAGCGAACCCATGCCGTCTGCGGCTCTGATAGCAACAGCGGCGTTAGAGTATAATCGCCGGGCGTTCGGGTCTTTGCGGGTGGTGTGGTCTCCTTGATAAAGGTGCGGCGCTGATACTTGCGCTTCTTCAGAGGTGGCTGGTCACCACTGCCCTCCACCGTCTCAGCAACCATTGCACAGACTTTGATACTGTCAGTGATCGGTGTAGGATTTTCTGTCGATACCGGTGCTTCGACCTTTGCAGTCTGCACGGTGACGGAGCTGCGATCGCCCAACCCGTCTTGCTCTATTGACGCAAGAGCCTCAACCTTTGACGTTTTCACCACGGCCTCGCGACGAGAGCTTCCGAGCGACTCTTTTGTTGAGAGGGATTTAGCAACGTTTTGTGTCAGCTTCAAACTGCTCGTGCTAGAGCTTTTCGATGCGCCTGTTGGTGACATTCCCACTGGCTTTGTGCTCACGCTGCTGCACATAGCAGCTGCGATACTCATACGATCCTGTATCTTGTACGGAGGGATGCTCGCCGGGTATAGCCATCCTGAAATATTTGAACCCGAGGTTTTAGAAGGCGGCGACGGAGGATTGCACAAGGACGAGATGGGGATTGACCGAGAGACAACAACAGATCCAACTCGACTAGGATCTGTCATTTCCTTTTGGCCCCTTCTTTGCGACGAGTACGGCGCCGCCTTAGCCAGTGCTAGCTCTGTGGTCTCCTCATACTCTTCTTTCTTGACAAGCTCCGAATGCTTCTGACTTTGGTTCGGTTCCGGGGAGTCTTTCTCCGGCTCAGTAATGTCCGTCACCGACCCGTCTTCGTTTCCGCTACTGGTCAATGACATGCTGCGCACAGACTCGGAGGCCGAGCTCTCTGTTGACGTGACAATAGCTTCCTGACGGGCTTTGGCTGCTTGCGTCGCCGAGATTTTTCGTCTTTTGGATGGCGTGATGGGCGGTGTGACGAGTGAATCGAAGGACTGCTTCTTTTCTGGTGAAAGAGCATCTGACATTGGTGAGTCGACTGCTAGAGAATCTCGGCCAGATTTCCCGCTCCGGAGCCGTGATTTAGACACTCGTGGCCGGATGTCTGGCGTGACAGAAGGTGTTCGAGACGACGGGCCGGCGCTATCGTCCCTTCTCCTCCGGCGCAAAGAGTATCCGTCCAAAGCGGACTCCTCGATGCTTTTCTTGACCACAACTTCTCCTTCTGCCGGTGCCCAACCGTTTGCACATCTGTCTTCGCATGTTCTGCACAGACATTCGCAATTGTCCTCCCCGAAGTAGTTCTCGGCATATGTAACGGTAATCTCTTCGCCAACATCGATGTTCCTCGTCGCAATGATCTCAATCGTGGCTGAAGACGTAGTCATGAGCTTCGCATTGGCTCTGCAGTCGTGGTTCGCGAATCGGGCAGGGCCCATGAACAGGCTGGCGCATTTGTTCCTGGCGGAAATGATGATGCTAAAGTCCTTCTTCCGGGCCGTCATTTCTCGCTCCTCCTCAGGCGAAATGTTGACCTGCGTTCCGGCCAAGTACTTGATCGTCTCGTTTCGCCGTATGAAGCGTCGGGCAGTGATGGCGGCCTCGTGCGACACAATTGTGTAGCGATTCGTTGAGTTTACCTCAAACGGGCAGTCGGGAAGGTAAATCTGAACATAGCGGCGCATATGACGCTTGAAATCATCCTTGGATTTGTCCGTCTTGAGGGCGGCGAAGAACTTGCGGAAGCCATCGGTAGCTAGCAACTTGCGCTCAGCGGATTCGAGGTCTTTATTGACAGCGAGCTCGTCGCGGATGATTTGGGTAATATCCTCCTCCCGCACGCCTCGCGAAGGATGATAGGAGTTTCTGTTCTTGGGAATCGTAGTCCAGTAGAAAACCTGCAAAGTGTCAGCTTCTTCAGCCCCCAAATGTCCGAGGTATGGCTGCCCGGCGGAACCGAAACGCATACATGATCGACCAGAGCATCAGTCAGGAAATCATCGTACGATGCCAGTTGTGCCAATGTCAGCGTCTGCTTATTCTTCTGCTTCTTTGCCGCAGCAGCAGAGGGCGGCATCGTGAAATACGGATGAGCGTTCACGGCGTCGCAATTGTCGTCGTCGGCGCAAGTTAGAAGGAGCGAACCCGAGGCGAGGTCGGGAAAGGCTAAACGAGCGTCGAGGGACCAGCGTCAGCGCACAGAGCAAGGAGTGGACGAAGCACCAAATGTGAGGTCGGGCTCCCTTCGACAGCCCAAGGTCAAGCGCAGCAAATGATGTGGGGGAGGAGTGACAGCTGGGCCACGATTGTCGCAAGTCGGCCGCTAGGAAACAGGTCCAGAAACCGATGTGGATGAGACCGGGAAGAAGGTTGTTGTGTCCAAAAAGGCGCAAAAAGATGAGAGAAGGGTCAGCTCAGGCTGGGTGTCGTCATGTCTTCCGGTCCAAAGTCCAAAGGGGGCATAAACAAGCCAACGAGGACAGGCTGGTCAGGGCAGGCGGGTGGTTGTGGAGATTAATGCGCAGGGCCGTCGTGGATCATACTCGGTACGGTAGGATCTGAGAGAAGGACAAACAAGACGTGGACCCTCCTATCTCCTTGTTGTTGCGCTGGGATGAATGCTCAAGGAATGAATGTAGGAATCAAAATAGCTTCATCCACAAGTACCGGAAGGGAGGCTCTGTGGGAAACAAAGACGTCGGACAACGGACGATGGAGCGGATAAAGAGATGAGAATGAGGAGGGAAATGAGACAAAAAAGTGGATGTGGTTAGGTTGAGGTGGGAGGTGGGATGTGGGATGTAGTGAGGTGTGTGTGTGTGTGTGTGTGAGGTGTGAGTGTGTGAGGCTGGACGTCAAGAGACCTGAACTCAAGATGAGCAGGAAACAGCAATGGAAGTCGCCGTCTTGTCCCAGTTTTAATTCGCTCTTGCCGGGTGGAAAGTTGGTTGCTTCGGGTGGTTCCTTCCCTCTCTTACTCTCCTGCGTAAACTCAGTGTCAATTCGTTCGGATCCGACTCAAAGCACTCCGTAAGTTACCTTTGCAAGGTAAGGTATTGACAGCAAGTCCCAATGGAACAGATTCCAGATTCCTTCCTTCCTTTCCAGCTTTCCAGGGGAGCGAGCAGACAGACCAGCCAGACAGAGACGCAGGACGGGAAAGAGGGAGGGAAGCAAGAAAGGAAGGGAAACATTGGATTGCGCCTTGCCGGGGGGGTTTGATGGCCAATCAAAAGTTACAAAACTCAGTGGCTAGGCAATTATCGTTGAAGTGGCCCCAAGTGAGCACTGAGACGTCAAAATAGTCGCACAGACCAAGTTTTGACCGGCTACGTCAGCCAATGGGATGCGCTCATACACAAGTAGCTAACCTCTTTTGGCTGTCAGAGGCCTGTCCGCAGCAACGGGACAACATGCAACCCTTCAAGTGGGTCCAGGTCCCCCAACTCCACTCTACTGGTCCGCCATTATGGTCCCTCGGATCTACGTCAGTCCGTGGTTCCGACGTGGAATTCAACTTTGCAGTCCCACCTGTTCGAGATAGCTTCAGAGAGTCAGTGGCTAGCCAGGGGAGATTCGATATACCACAGCCTACCACGAGGTCCTGCCGCCAAAATGATTCAATTAAAGGTATTTCATCTTCTCTGGTTCACGAAAATTGAATCAGAACGCTAACGCGCACTCAGACGGTATTGCAATGCATCGACAACTCAGGTGCTGCCATGGTCGAATGCGCCATGGTTGTCGGCCAGAAGAAGCTCGCCCGCATCGGTACGATCCCGTCGCCCACTTCCGAACCCCTCTCACCTCACGCGATTCGATTCCGAGACTAACACATAGAACATGGCAGGTGACAGAATCGTCGTCGTGGTTCAGAAGCACAGAGGTGCCAGCGAGGGTGGCATGGCCGGCTCATCAGCCGCGAACAAGGTCAAGCGCGGTGACATGCGCCACGCCGTCGTCGTCCGCACCAAGCAAAAGACTCTCCGCCCCGACGGCAGCGTTATCCGATTCGACGACAACGCCTGCGTTCTCATCAACAAGGCCGGCGACCCCGTCGGCTCCCGCATCAACGGCGTCGTTGGTGCTGAGCTGAGGAGGAAGAAGTGGAGCAAGATCCTTTCCATGGCGCCCATGCACGCATAAAGGGAACGGCGATGGGATGAGGGAGTAGCAGGTACGACAAGAAAGACGTGTAGGATCTTTGTAAAAGTATAAGAGAAAAATGTCGTCAGATTGGGGGAAGTGTATTATACGAATGCATGAGCCGGCGTTTCCAGGGTTGGCAGTCGATACCAATCTCCATCAAATACAAAAACATTCAGAAAGTCGAGCCGAGTCGAGTCACAGGTCAAGAGTCACTCTTAGGTATGGCGGGATGGCGAAGAATAGTTATTCCCATTGAGATAAACGTAATTCAATGATCTGTATGATATCTAAAGACAAAAACCGTGGCCGCCCCATGGCCTTTTTTCCCAATCGAGAGCTCAAACGCCAGAATACTCCTTACAATGCATGGTAACCTCCTCTAGAACAATCTCGGGGTATCTTCGTCAGGTCGTCTCTTCTACTGGAAGATGTGACCGCAATCGCAGCAGACATAGAACAATTTCTGCACGAGAACGCGTTAGCCTTCAAAACATGCTAATGAGAAAAGAACAAGATATGCGGGTTGTACTAACCATGCCCGTCTCGGCGCTTCGCTGCTGAGACTGGAAGAAGACGGCTTCGCCAGCCTTGCAGACGGGGCATTCCTTGTTTGATCGTGGAAGCTAGATCCGGGAAAGATGCAGCGTCAGCCAGCTGATCGTAAGGGAGGTCTCGTATCCAAGGTGAAAGCCAAAATCCCATTGCAAGAGCCAGGTCCAGGGGGTATGATCCAGGGATAGGATGTGTGGTAACGCGTGGCGGAATCACTCTTCACTGGCTGACGGCCAGCTGAAAGGTAGGCCACGAGACTTTGCGGTTGGCGGAGTCAGGCTCATTGTCGAGCGCGATACCTGCGAATCCGTGGTTGATCTCGTCGGAAGTGACCGATTCCTTTTCTTCGTCGTATTCGTCGAGGGCCTCGTCTTCGGCCATGTCCATCAGGTCGTCCCATGTGATCTCCGTCTTCTTGCTCTGGAAACCGTCGTGCAGGTGGGTAGGGGCCGCCGAGACGTTGAAGTCGTCGGACGGGTTACCACAGCCGCTGCAAAGGATGGCGTGGCCGCAGCCGATGCATACAACAGGGGCAAGAACAGACTGGGGATCACCTACAGTAGGATCCGAACCGACATCCTGTGTGACACCGGCGGTCTCACCGGCGGCGTTGTTCATAACGTTGCGGAAGACGCAGGTAGACTGAGCCTCCTCGGTAAACTGGCAGGTTCGGCAGGTGAATTGGAGGCGGTGAGTCTCTTCGTCCTCCTTGGGGTAGAGCATGTTGGAGCATTCGGAGCAAAAGCGAAAAGTAATCTGCTCGAGCTTCTTGTTCGCGCCGTCATCTTGGGAGTTTGTGCTCATGGGTGTCGCCATCGTATTGTCGGTCGCGAGGCGATTCTTGTTTGTCGGGGAAAGATTTGATTGATCGAATGGTCGAAAGTAATTTCGCAGTATCGTCGCGTAAATCTATGGACCAAAATCGGGCTGTTGAGCGCGTTGTTGAAGATCGGGCAGCGGTGTGTAATGTTGAGGTTCAGGCAGAAGGTGGAAAAGCGAAGTGCGGTGCAAATAATCGAAAGGAACCTGATGGAGAAAGGCGCACGTTCCTTTTTGCAGTGCAGGAGGGGAAAGGTGGGGCATCCTCGGTGAATCAGAGCGGAATGGAATTTCATCGAGCCAAAGTCACCGGTTCACCGAGACGTCTTTCGGTGAGTCACTTCCATTAGGTTGTTCATCCGAGATGCCAACCTGATTGTAATATCAGTGAGGCCGCCACCTCTTGTGACTCATAGGTCTATGCCAACTTTCTATGACATACTTACTTACTATTTGGTATTTGAGAGACTAGGACTCTGTTATGAATGTACTCAACTACTTCAAATCAAGATGGCGCCAAGACCAGCTCCCCCAAGGCAAGCCTTCACAAGGTACCTCGTGTTCCGGTCATTTGCTACCCTATCTGAGAAATCATTTCTATGCCTGAACTATATGTACCAATAAATTGTCTTGAATTCTAGAACTCCATTGATCATTATACAACATCTTGCAGCTAGGAGTTGGTTCTCACGTATAGCGAAGTCGAGATCTACCTTACAGAGCCTCAACGAGAAGAACAGTACACACATGGTACCGCGAGACCTACTAATAGCAGGCAGCGTGGAGGATGAGCCAACGTTGGCCTATCACGGAGCAACACAACGCAGATTTGGACAGGTAGCTGATCACTTTCCCAGTGGACTTTTCGATGGGGCCAAAGATATTTCAGGCAATGGGGGAAGGCCTCATTTGGAAGCTCTAAATGCAGATGAGGGGCACTGTCGCTCAGCCTGATCTGAGATTTTCAGGGCCTACGAATGACATATCTTCAATTCTCCATTTCTCCTTTCCCTCAAGGCTCAAGGAAAACCTGATAGACTGCGGCTTGATAAGAAGGATCGACAGGTCTGGGACGGGAAACCCTTGCGTCGAATAAGACGTGTGACGAGCTTCCCGGCCCAAAGTCTGGAGAGAAGGTCTGGGGGGTGAAACTTTGTAAGCTTACCAAGACGAGCACGGGACCATTCCTAGCTACGGAGTACACGTGATTCGACAGGAACTGGAACAGAATGGAACCAATAAGGGCACAAGTTTCGAGGCGTTGGGGGGGAATGATCAACTTCCCCCTCCAGCGCCCTTTTCCCCGCCTTTCAGGGACACAACTTTTTTGATGGCTCCCGTCCCGGCGTCCACGAGTCCATCTCTAGGTTCCTTTCCGGTCTGGTTCCCTGTCAGAGGTCACCAGGTCCCCCGTAACCCTCCCCCCACTCCCCACTAACGCTCGTCGACAGCAGACATCCATTGTTCGAGTGGCATGAAAGATACCTACTTCTGGTGGCTTAGGTAACCCACCATTGTGGCCCGTACTTTCACTTTTTTGCGCTTTTTTGCTTCCCCTCCTTCCCGCTGTGGCCCCCCATTACCTATGTACCTTAGGTTCGTACCCAGCATAGGTAGAAAGCAAGGCCTCGTTGGTGGTTACCCCAGCAGCCGCACGTCATCCTCTCTCTCATCCAATCCATTCGAGCCAAGCTGAAGAACCTCCCCCCCCCGTCCAGTTGCGTTGACTAGGTGCATCGCCAAAACCCCAGCTATTCCCCAGCTGCACCTTACCTTACCTTACTTTTGCCTTCCATTGCCTGCCTTACCTTACGGAGTACCTTAGCATTGTCTCCTCCGTTCGGCTGCCGTACCTTGGGTTACCCAGTATACCTTACCTTACCTTCCCGAGTACATTTGTACCTCGACGCCCACCCTCCTCGCCTCCATCGTCGTGCTGTTCTTCCTCTTCCTTATTCTGCCAACTCCACGTTTCTTACATTTCAGTACCTTACCTACTCCACGACAGCTTCGTTCCTTCCACCAACTTCCCCCGCCGTTGAAGTTTCGTTCCCCGCAGCTATCGCAACAGCTTCTTCTCGTCTCTCCCGTAAACAACCTCACGCGCAACAATGGTGAGTAAGCAGTGATGCACCTCGTATCCAGAGCAGAGCCTTTCCCTCTCTGCACCCTCGACACCCGACCCCGCTCGATTCCTTTGTGCACAGCTTCATCTACCGTCGCGCAGCCTCATCTTTGGGCCGTCGCATGCTCTGCTGTTGGCCTTTCTCTTCGCCTCCCGCAGAGCCTTCCGGCGGCTTACCAACCAAGACAATGTCATTCGTAGCAGACGACTAACATAAATCCTTACCAGGCTGACACCGGTCTCCCCCCCGGCTGGGAAGTACGACACTCCAACTCCAAGAACCTGCCCTACTACTTCAATGCCGCCGAAAAGGTCTCACGCTGGGAGCCGCCCGCGGGAACCGACACCGAGAAGCTGAAGCACTACATGGCCACCCATCACAGCGCTGGCGCCGGCGCAAGATCCCAGGCTGTTCCCGTGCCAGAGGGGAAGATCCGCGCTGCCCACCTGCTGGTCAAGCACAAGGACAGCCGGCGCCCTTCCAGCTGGAGAGAGGTACGCAACCTTGCTACCAAGATATTTCCAATTTCCAGAGTACAAACAGCTAACAACAACCTGTCAAAATAGGCCGAAATTTCCCGCACCAAGGAGGACGCACTCGAGATCATCAAGGCTCACGAGGCCAAGATCAAGTCCGGTTCCACCACGCTCGGCGAGCTGGCCCTGACCGAGTCCGACTGCAGCAGTGCCCGTAAGAGGGGTGACTTGGGCTACTTCGGCAAGGGTGACATGCAACGGGAGTTTGAAGAAGCTGCCTTTGGTCTGAACCCTGGTGACATCAGCGGCGTCGTGGAGACGGCGAGCGGCCTGCACTTGATTGAGAGGTGAGTAATTCGAGTCTCGTTGCTTTTGGCAACCCCTTGGTTCCATTTACAGCTTTACTAACCACCCGGATCACAGACTGGAGTAAATGAGATAGAGTACCTAGAGACGAACAGCATCATGCGCGCGTAAGCAGGCAGGACGGGGTTCACAGAAGGAGAAAAAAAAAAGTTCAACCAGTGCCCAGTGCCGGTGGACATGACACGGCTGGCCCAGCTGAGTCAGCCAGACGTTTATGACATTTTTTTTGCAGAATTGTTCTTTATCACGCGCTTGCCACTGGCATAACTGTATATCAAAAAAATACCAAACGCGCTTCTGAAGAGAGCTCCACGAGCTCGCAAGTACAATTTGCCTCCCTCCGCCCCTTTGTCTATGGCACAATTATGCTATGCTATGCTGCGTACATTAACCAGAGCGCCGCCTGCCATGCTCCAGGTCACCGATTTTCATGCGCTAAACTACCTCCAGGACCTCAAGATACCTCGCCATACGGGAGTCTGTCCGGTCCCATGCCAGCAAGCTTCATCAAGGTAGTCGTAAACGGTTCGACCGCACTGAAGACGACAGTAAAGATCCCAAACACGGTCATCGAGAGAGCAGCATAAGGCGCAGCCCGGCTCTTCCTCTCATAGAGATATGAGACGCCCATGGCCGCGCCGTTGATGCCAATCGCCGTCCCTACCCCGATGGTAAGCGCATCGTCTCTCGGTTTCTCATCTTCTTCTTCGTCCACGTCAATGTGCGACTCTTGAGTCGAGTCAAACCCCAGCTTCCTCAGCATGAACGGGTACATCAGCTGTCCCAGTATGCCGTTGCTCACTACTAGTGCCGCGGTGACGACATCGTTCCCATAGACCGCCTCTATCGCAGGTCGCGCCAGCGCCAGCGTTGTGCAGCGCGCTGCAAAGGAGAGCGCCTCACGAGGCCCGAGACCAACCGCTCTGCCGAGCAGGACGGACACAAAGACGTTGAGTGCCGCAAAGGCTGCCGAAAGAACAACCACGGCTGCGCCGGCGCGAGACCAGATTTGCTTCCGACACTCGTAGAGCTTGAACCCCCAGACAACGAAGCCGACCTCAAGGATCGAGATGGCCGCGTCGCCGGCACCGAACCAGTCGCTCGAGAGGTAAGATCCCGACACCTTTGAGGTCCAGATGAGGGAGAGAGTCCTACCGCGCGAGAATTGGGACAGCGTTTTGTTGATGGGTGTATCCGTGGCGGCGGCTTTGGCACGAGTGTAGGCTATCATGCCGAGGGTCATCAGTAGGACCGGGTTAAGCAGTGTCGTGACTGTCGTCTTGAGCCCTTGTACGCTGGAGAGGATGTCGCTGCGTCCAAAATTGCGCTGCAGTCTCGTGCTGCTGATCCAGGTGAACCACAGCATGCACCCGTCGAGGATGCGGTCATCGCCTAGGGCGTACGAGACAGGGATGCCTACGGTGAGTAAGAGCCAGATCGATAGAATGACTGGGTAGCACTCCTTGAACCAGCTGAACCTTTGGGTACCCTCTCCGCTCGAGACTTGGGGCTGCTGCGAACTGGAAAGCGATGTCCGATCTTGATGGTGGCCCAGTGGGCTCGGAGGTGGGACAGGGGTCGGGCAGTCACTATCGGTGAAGTAAGCCGAGACGGTCCTCGAATCTGGACCCAGTCCCGCTTCCTTATCGGTATGGTATCCGTTGATCGTGGTTCCGTGTAGGGTCGTTGACTCGGACGGCCTGCGGCTGAGGGTTGGAGGGGGCATCTGGATGCGTGGTGTGGGAATATCCTGCCCGCCGGAGTGCCATGGTTGGTCGTCTTCAGTGTCAACGTCGCTTCTCTTTTCAGATTCGCGAAGGTAAAAGGCTGGAATTCTGATGATCCCGGCGAGAATGCCCCAAGAGAGCAGGAAGATCAATACCCAAAAGACGACGTTGGTGTTCACTTTGCCTGTCAGTATTGAAAAATTGAAAATTACTGTTTGGTGTCAAGGTGAACTCACCAAAATTACCAATTACCCTTCCAATGCCCTTACCGCCAAGCAGTCTATCCTTAGTAATCATGACGATGGGCACTGGAAAGCCAATGCCCAAGTTGCTGTTGATGAAGTCGACCTGACCAATTTAGTATTTGCGAACAGTGGTGAAGTGAGAACAAAGGTGAAGGACAAACCTTGTTCTTGATATGGCGGTGGTAGAAGCTTTCTGACCCTGGACAAAGGTATGAAATCGCGAACATGAAACAGAACACCACCACCATGCCAATGATGGGTGACAGGTAGTCAAGTCGGACTTCGTACAGACCCAGGAAGAGACTCCATATGAGCAATTCGCTAGCGAGGTAAATCACCCCGACCCAGAAGATGTCACGCATCCGCTTGCGTATGAGGCGGGTGCAATGTTCCCATCTGTCGGTGCTGTTTTCTTCGGTATCTCTCCTGAACATTCGCAATGGCAAACGGACTCTGGGAACATTGTCTGTCAAATGTCTGAGTGTGAGTCTGAGACATTGGAGGATCTGAGAGAGAAGCTCGAAGCGAGCAGAGGTTCTTGTAAACATGTCGTGGTAGAGGGGGGAGGACGAGACGAGACGGGTCCCAGGGTGAACAGGAGGGTGTTGTGTGACAAGATATCCAAGAGTGATTTGATTCAGACTTTACCCTAGGGTGAAGTCCCAAGTAGCAAATGCAATCAGATCCACAAGTGAAACGAGGTGGAAAACAAGGCCGCAGTTGGTAAAGATACAGGGAAGCACAAAGAGGCTCTTGCTTCCCAGTTCCCGTCATCCAGTGTCGTACACGAGCGGTATATATCCACGAAGAAGGGAAGAAAACAGTACGGGAAGCTCGGCGAAAGACAGTTTTTGGGTTCGCCACGGAACGGGTACTAGAATACGAAGCCGGCCCCCATTTTCCATTCTAGTGAATGAAGAGCGAGTGGGGTCCAAGAGGAGAAATCAGAAGGTGAAGTTGAAGGTGAACATGAAGGCGGATGGGGTCCGGCGGAAGGTGAAGTGTGTGGGGCCCACCCGGTATTCCATGGTTGTGGATGGCTTCACAAACGCTGGATGAACACACGATAGGCCCGGGAGCGTCCTTGCCGACGGGTCCTAGTGACAAGTCCAGCATCTCTGAACAAATGGGAGAAAGCAGAACCATCCCAAAGATGCCAGTGTGGAACGGATCCAAGGGTCCGAGGTACGTCTGAACAAGATATGCGGTTGGTCCATCGATCTCGTTCTGTTGGTGATAGAGATGCCGAGTCGATGCATCACATTTTGCGGCAAGGCTTGACCGGAAAGCGATCATGTCTGTTTGAATTGGGTTTCCGAGATATCTAAGCAGGGTCCATTGCATACCTTCGAAGAAGACCCCCTGATGGCCCCTCCGTCCGGACCGTGCCGGAAGTCTGGAAGCCCATATCTGGCAGCCCGATGGTCGGCTCGCTGCTCATCCGATGGGTAATAGCCCCCAGGCCAAGAGTGACTGCATGTGTGTGTGGCAGATGCCAAAAGTGACAAGGTGCAACGGGACGCTTAAGCCATTTCCCGTCCTTGTCGATGTCTGTCATGAGAGATGCAAGCTGCACCCTTCCAGGCGGGGAGGGGCGGACTGACGGCAAAGCAGCGTGTGCTGCAAACGATATCCAGAATTGGTCAGACCTGCTTTGAAGATGCTGATTGTGCGCCTACGTCAATATTTTCTCTGTAAAGATGCATGGTTTCGTGCAGAACACAGACGTTGCTTACTGGGTAAGGTTGAAGATGATACAGATCAAGCTGGTCTTCCTTGACAATCCCAGAACCGTGTGGGGATGTCTGAACAGAGCTGTGACGGAAAGCTGCCGGGGCTGTGGTTGTGGTCGTTGTTCCGCAAGATGCGTGTCTCCAGTCTTGTTCCCACACTTCTTTCGATTGAGTGACGGATCATTGAACAGGGCAGCTTGTTGTTGGCCGTTGGTTGTTGAAGGGAAGTGGTGGGAAGGGGACGTCGTGTAAGTCTATCGGCCGTATCACCAATGCTGCAAGGTACGTACCCAGCATGATATTGGATGGGGCCGCTGCAGACGTTGACGGACCGCCCAAGGGCCCGTGCAGACGGGAGACTGCTCGTTTACGGTATGTGGTTGGTCATCTTCATCTTCTGGTGGGGTTTTATCTGTTTTCGGACTAGTCGACCGTCTCTCTCGGTGGGCTTCCTTTTGTTTCTGTTTGCACCTCACCTCACCTCATTCATTGCATTGGACAACTCACTCACTCACTCACTCACTCACCCAACTTATTCGTCATTTTGATGAGCCTCTCACTTATGTTCTCCTCTTGGCCTTGATCAAATCATCTCACCTGTTCGGTTTGCGTTGTCCTTCATTTGCCCTCGACTCCCATATCATAGTATAGGAACAAACCAACGGATCATCCCCTTTAATCGAGTCTACCACGCCTGAAGGGGAAAAGGAAAATAGCATCCCGAGCCGAGACGACACGGCTTCACTATCTACACTCTTGCGTACAACACCAACACAACCTCTCCGACTTTACCGCCCGCTTGCACCAACAACGGCCGTGTGTGCTGCGTCAAGACGTCGTGACTTGGCTACACCTGACGGAAGCCAAAATACCCCGGAACCTTTAGACGTTTTTGTCTCCCCTCCGCTGGCCTCTGATACCATGCCATTTGTGGACCAAACCACAAACCTCAGCCGTCTTCCGTCATTGGACAACCGCATCCCGTGTGTGCTTGCTACAGCCGTTCCCTTTTAGGAAACGAACTTCCGACCCCATTTCTTCACACCTTGCCATCGTGGCCACACCTTCATTCCTCTCCATTCTTCGAATCCGCGTCAAGGTTGGGGGCGACAGGCATCACCAGTCAGACACCAAGGCTCGTCCCGTCCTTGGTTGATTCGGGACTCTGTCCACGTGCAGTAGCACCTTAATTCAAAAGCCGTTGGTTGTTGAACATCAAGTCCTGCGGAAAGAGGGGCATACCATTTCTGGCCCCCTCTGTTCAGCCACTCTTACAACCTCAAAGAAATCCTTCAGGTCTAGACACCTTCCAATCAAGGTGATCGCTCGCCATCATGGATGTCGCAAACCTGGAAAACATTGTGCGAAGCTACGGTATCGCCATTGACAGGCACACCCTTCAGGCAGCCCTCGATGACCCAGAGCACGGAACTGCTTTTACCGAATGGGCCCGCCTTCACCTTGGCCCCGAGAACCTGCTGTCCAGAGATGAACTTGCCTTGTAAGTACCATCACGAGTGTCAAGCGCTCACTTACGTGCGTATGGCTTATCAATTTGGGGTCGGTAGGTACACAGCCCTGGACAGATCCGGCCAGATCGACAAGCTGGTTGAATCGCAGGATCTGGCTGCTGTTCAAGCTGTAAGCGAACGCGAGATACAGACTGCCATTGAGGAGCTCAACCGGTCGACTGCTGCCATTGTCAAGCAGACCGAGACCTTGAAGCAGCAGCAGGATGCCCTGTCGAAGCTGGTCAAGACACATTCCAGGGTCGAGGAGGCTCGCTCCGATCTCGTCTTCCAACGAAACCAGAAGCATGATGCTGAGCGAAGGAACATGATGACTACGGTGAGTTGTGTTGCTGCCGCTCCCGGAAGCCACTTTGCTGACATGAGACTCAAAGGTCGAGGAGCTGTCACAAAGTCTAGAGTATAAGGCGTCGGACCTCGAACAGCAAACCAAGGTTTCTGGCAACGGCCTGCAGCAGACTTTAGATAGCCTGCTTCGCTCCGACGACAAGCTTCTTTCGAGTCTTCGCAAGCTGGGGCTTGAACTTGAGACTGAGGACCCCGAAGATCGTGAAAACGTAGAAAAGCTTCGTGAAATATGCATGAGGTACGCGCTCGCCTCACCCACAGCTCCTAAAAAAACCATGACTTACACGTCTGTCGTAGGTTGATCAAATACACCGTCGAAACGGTACGCGCAAAGCTGGATAGACTCTACCTCGAAGCGTTAAGTTCCGCCCACCAGAACGGCGTGACATCACACCCTTCAGACGACGTCAAAACCTCCCAGGAGGAACTGGAGTCTCTCTACGCAGAGATCCTTCCCGTAGCTCAGATGTCGGTGGAGCAGCAACACCTCGAGCCGGCTCTGAAGTCGCTATCAAGCAAGAACGGACAGTCTCTGCGCCGCTCCGCCGCTGCAGTCATCTACGTAAGTTTCACCCTAACCCCATGGCAAACACTGCAAGTACTGACACATCCAGATCGACGAGTGCCTGGACTACCTCCTTGACCACATGGACCGTCTCTACGCCCGCATAGAAGCCTATCAGTCCCACCAAACAGCAACATCAAGCCTCCTCACCACGGCCCGCGCAGAACTCTCTACCCCAGCCGCGACGCCAAAGAAGAAGACGCCGACGCAGGACCTCGTCTCCCCCGTCCGTCGCCGCAACAACACAAACCCCGGGAAATCACCCACCCGCGACGGTACCAACCGCCGCCGCCGCTCCTCAGCCTATGACGAGCCACCCCTCGAAACCCTTTTCCGTTCCCTCGCCATCGCCTTCCCCGAAGACGTCACCGACGGCGCGGGCCAGACGGCCGTGTTGGCCGCTACCTTGGCCGAGCGGCAGACGAAAGCCCGCGATGTGGCAAGGAATGCACAGAAGACGCTGGAGGGTACCGCCGCGACGCAGCTTGCGGATTCGAAGCTCGCGATCCAGTTCTTGCGGGATAGTCTACTAGCCGAGAGTCCGTTTGGGGATGTGAGGCTTGTGGATGAGGGGATTGAGGCGTCTATTGCCGTGTTGGGGCAAGAGGTTGAGAAGGTGAAGGAGAGGGTGGAAAAGGTGGATGCTGGCAAGGCGAGGTTGAGGAGCGAGAGGAAGAGGGAGATTTTGGAGCGATGGGGGCGGTAGTGTTCTTGTTGGGTAGCTTGAGATGGGTCGTCTCGATGTTCTCCAGCATCCATATCTCAACTTTCCAAGAGATAATGTACCACATACACTTTTAGGGTGTCGACCCGATCCCCGTCTTATCCTAATCGTAAACGGTATCGACCCAACATGACGGTATTCCTTGTCCCTGGAGCTGGGACCTGGAGCTGGAATCGAGTCATGGCAGCCGAATGAATCGGCCATCTCAATATGCCCCAGAATATTTGGTACCGACCCCATTGTTCCCCTTCAGACCCTCTCAGTCTGACTCCACGCCAAGACGCAAATGCCAAGATCGGGATCTTGGAGAATAGGTAAGCAGTCCAAGGCGGAAATAAGAACCCACGTCAAAGTTTATATCAGGTCCCAACGGCTCTAAAACGGTATCGGGGGCATCGGGCCATGCGGGGGCGGGGATATATCATATAACACAAAGAGAAGAGCGGCAATTGCAAGCGCCGTGTCTTGGCATTTCGCGATCCATCGTTTTCGGACTAAGTGCGGGTACACAATGTTGTGAAAGAGCTCTGTACGCGGGGAGAGCCATAGAAGCGGATACGGCTTGTTCTGGTGATGACAGACATTACGCACCTTCGCCGCCGAGAGGGATTGAAGTTATAATGGGCACTTCTAATGCAAGTACTAAACACATGGGATAGGCAGTGGGAACTATTAGGGGGCAGTTGTAGGCTCGAAAGATGGCAATATATTCAAGTTGGTATCAATTCAAACTCATAGTAGGCCGTGCAACCTAGGATTACTCTGTCGAATATCATCGACATGCAAGAAAGGGAAGTTCGTTGTCTCATCCGCCGCCTGGGTATATCTCAAAGCAACCAACTTTCCTTCAATAGCTATTATTGTTGTGTGACGAGGCTTCACTTAGTGTGCATGGCCTAGTCTCTGCAAAAGGCAAGCCTAGTAGCTCTTTTTCTCTTCATCGGAGCTGGGGACACGCTCCGCGCGCTGCTCACGCTGGTGTTGCTGGAAGGTGTAGAGAGGCTCCAGCTTAGCATTGCGGTCGAAGAAGACCCAGCGCTTGAAGAAGTAGGGAATCGCCTTGGTGACCTGGTAGTGCGCAAAGCGGGCGGTGGGCAGAGCAAAGACCCAATCGAGCTCTTCCAGCGTACGTTGCTTGGTCTCGGGAACCCAGAACAGGATCATAACGAAGGCAACGACGTTGAAACCAGCGTAGAGACCAAAGGCACCGACAACGTGGAGTCTGTCGAGAATGAACGGGAAAGTCATTCCCAAAATGGCGGCCCAGAACAGACAAGTAGCGACGGCGAAACCCATACCCATCTCACGATGAGAAAGGGGGTAGACCTCGGCAGAGTAGGTAAAGGGTACAGGACCCTCACCAGGCGAGTAGAAGGCGCCGAAAAGGTAGACGAAGAGAGATACCAGAGCAGTGCGAGTTACACCGGGCGCAATCAACGTGCAGAGACCAGCGGCCAACAAAGTCCAAGTCATCTGAGGGAAGGTGAATAGAAGCAGTGATCTTCGGCCAAAGGTGTCGATGGTCCAGAACGCGGGGAAGGCAAAGAGCCAATTGACCATTCCGAAACCGAATGAACCGAGTAGGGCCTGGAAATCGCCCATGTTGGCATCCTTGAAAATAGTGGTCGAGTAGAAGGCAATAATATTGATACCTGCATTGCACAATATTGTCAGATACTACTCCGTCCATGGAGGGGTGTACGACGCGTTAGTTTCACTTACCACACATCTGCTGGGCAATCATGACGGTGAAAGCAGCCAAGTTGGCGCGGCGCACGCGAGGAATGGTAAACAGTTCCATAAAGCGGCTAGCATAGTTGCTCTTGCCCAGGACTTGACTTTCGAGCTGGAGCTGGGCGTGAATAGCGTACATATCGCGAGCGCATTGGATGTTGTTGTGTCGGAGCTGGATCATGGACTTCCAAGCATCGCGGTAACGACCCTTCTTCATGAGCCAACGGGGAGACTCGGGGCAGAGGTAGATCAAGCAGAGCAAGGGAACGGCGGGGAGGAAAGGAGCGCCTGCGAGTCGAATGAATTAGTGATCCTGGTTTTCATGTGAAGTCTTTAAGTGATGTAAGTATGCATACCGAGCATCAGACGCCAGTTGTACTTGGCGTAGTAGACAGCCAGGTTGAAGGCAGTTCCCAGTGCAATGCCGAACGCCGTCCACATTTGCCATGACATGACCAGAGCACCACGAATCGACGGCGGAGAATTTTCGGCAGCGTAGATGGGTACGGTCGAGGCCTTTGCACCCATGCCAATTCCCATGAGAAGACGGTTAGCGAGTTGTTGTTGCCAGTTGTGGCTGAAGGCGGAACCGATGAGAGGCCAGATACAGAAGTGAGCCGAGAAGAAGATGACACCGCGACGGCCAAAGTAGTGGTTGAGAGGGTCAGATAGCCAACAGCCGCAGAGAGCACTTCCAATGTAGGGGCCAGCGTTGACCAGGCCTAGGATGAGACGGTCTCTGGTGCTGCTAGTTGCAATGCCGTATTCCTCGGGGAAGAAAATGTTGGCGCCGTTGGTGCCAGTCTGATCCCATCCTTGAACAGCAGCGCCGATTGAGCAAGTGATGATGGTCAGATAAAGCTTCTTGGGCAACCGCCACTTGTGGGTAACCTCCTCTCGCAAAGCTGTAATTTCAGCCTCATCGAGGGCTTCACTGCCGGTCAAAGTCTCGTAGCCTTCTGGGTCTTGAGCTACCAGTGCGCCTTTGCGGAACACGGCGATCTCTTCCTGTAGTCCGTGCTCAGTGCAAAAGGCCTCGACATCGCGCATGAGCTGGTTGTATGGGATTCCCTCTAGAGGATTCTTGATCCTGCATGCATGGTCAGACATGGTTTGGTTCGGCGCGTACAAGTGTAAGACAACTTACTTTGCTTCGATGTTGCGGCTGAGCTCAACTGGGTCGGGCTGGTGAGTGCCACGCTCTTCATGATGTCCAGAGACATCGGCGACCTTTTCGCTAGAGAGTTATCTGTGTTAGTAGAAGTTTCGGAAGGCTGCAATACTGGCGAGAAGAGTTTACCCCTCTAAGTGGATCTTATCAGCCATACTGGCGATGGGCGAGTATACTGTATCGTATCTGGTTTTGACTATTGGTTGGATATGTTGACTGTTTTTTAACACAGCGAGCTTTTGACGTGTGACAACGTCTGAGATAGCTTCACAAATTAATGGAAGCTCGGCGCGCGTACAGGACAAGTCAGAGTGAATGGCCAGTATGGTGCCGTCGCATGGGCAGCCGTGGATCTTTATAGAGGCGTGAGAGGCAAGACCGACCCCATGGTACCAGACGAAAACAGCCGATGATCCTGTACCAGAACCTCGAGCAGTTGTCTCCTTGGCGTCTCCGCACACACCCCATAGACTTCAGTCCATCTGGAGTTTTGGTTCTACAGGAACGTGAAGGGACTGGTCGAGATCGGCAAGGTAATCAAGTTCCTATACTGCCTTGCCCCACGCGAGGACGGAGAATCCGCTCGAGTCTAGCCTTTGGCCTCGCATTGTTGGTCTGGGCATGGGCTCTCTGGTGCTGAAACCCTGTCGTAGTAGAGCTTGGCGGTTTGTATCCGTAGATGTTGCTTTTTGCTCTGCCTACAGCTTGCGCCGGCGGTGGTTTGTTTTCCACCAGGGGTGAGAGCGCCGACGAATTGACGGGTTTGTACGGAGTACAAGTGGGCTCTCTCCGGGATAACACATCCAAGGGAGACGTAGGAAGGGAATAGTTACTGTCCAGGTGACACATGCGCAGGTCCCTTGTCGGTGTCGCGTATTAGTGCCTCGCAATGTAACGTGCAGAAAGATTTGAGGCATCTGAGTCGTTCATCCAGTCACACGCGTCCCGCAATACTGAGAAGTGATCGTGAGAGCCAAGCGCTTGGCGCATTCATTGACTTTTTGGCCGCCATGGAGCGCCACGCAATCATCCCAGCCGGCCAAGCGCGGGGAAGCAGAGACAGGAGGTAAGGACAAAAGACTTCAAGCTCGATCGTCAAGGCTTTGCGTTGCTTATTATCCACATAGTCCATCGCCGAGAAAGAAATAGGGGACAGGCCAAAAGGCTTGAGTGAGCTTGGAGCATCTTGACAAGTCTTGGGATCGGGACTACGCGCATTTGCTCTGAGCCAAGTTTGAGCTGCGCAGCGCAATGTTAATTTGAGCGGTAAGCGACATCGAGACCGTACTGTGATATTGAAGAAGGCAAAATCAGCCTTTCTCGCGCAAAGAGGCGGGCTGCCTCTGATCCATGTCCGGCATCGTACCCCCGTATCCTGGTTGCCGTGGGATTTTTCTCAGCAAGGCTTGTCCTACGTCATGTCGGGAGAAAAGAGGGAGGGCAGCTTGCAAGCAGTGTGAGAACAGACCCACGTCGATTGAAAGTCGTGATTGGGCTGCTGACCAGGCTTCGAGACCGCCTCCCGCTCATTGAGAGGGAACCGTAAAGAGAGATGGCCTTATCGGACCGACACCAGGCGGACTGCCGAGCCCCAAGACGCCTAAATAAGCTGCAGACGTGCGGGCGAGCAAAAATAACGGGAGCGGAGGGTGGCCGGGGGACGGGCGTGGCGGTCGGGGTTCCTTGCGGGGTAGAGTGTTGGAAGATTAAAAGACCGTACAATGGAGATTTGAAGCATTCGGTACCTCCTTCGGTCACGTATCGTATTGGACGGAAGCAGTTTTGAATGAGGAACGGGGCCATAGCAGGTGGGCCATGGAAGCGCTAATTTCGAGACAGTATCAGACGGTTGATTGAACTGGCGTAATATGGAAGATTGCTGGCCCCGCGAACGAATAAAAGCCGAGCATGGTAGCCATTGGTAGGCCGTACTTGAGTGATGAATCTCGAGTGGTACGGGATCGGAATGCCTGATTCGGTTCGTAGGCACCATCCATGAACCCAAGAATGTTGGCCGGCATACGGCAGCGTCCAACGCTGGGCGTCGGGGTTTGGCCCGAGATGTTCGAGGGTAGAACGAGACGCTTCGAATACTGACGAATGATGCCCGTATTCAGATGTATCTAGCTGCTTGCCCACAGCCCGCCACCTACCAACCTCATTGGGATTGTTCGCGTATTACGGACGTACCAAGGCGCTTGTCTGTCTTTGCCTCCGTGATGGCTATCTCTGCGTGTTTCGGGAAAGGGGATCAGCACCAGAGTCATTTTTGCTTCGCAGCGAATTCTCGGTTCTTCATATGGCCGGATGGATCTGAAGCAGGTCGTGTGCTCTGCGCCTTGGGCTTGTGGCAAGCCAGAAGATTTTGACGACAGAGGCTGGGCAATCCGGTGGATTCAGATAGGGTCCCCAGAAGATGAGACTTCCTGGGTGACGGGTCACAGAATGCAATATCTTATCTGTAGGGTTACGGAGTACCCAACCCAGACGCCAGGTTGCTCCATGACATTCGAATTTTGCAAGGGGCTGCTGCTCGTTCACGGTGTACGCAGTACCCACTCGTTCGTCGGCTTCGCGTCCTTTACGCCAAACAATTTATGCTCGGTTTGCTGTCAAATATTCTTGTCTCTTCTGTCTCTCGAGCCTCGCAACATCTCGGGCGCGAACGGTATCTGTACTGCTGGGACAATAGCTCCGGGGTGGTATCTGAAAGGTCAGGTGGCAGGACCTGGGTATGCCAGGATCCAGTGACTAAGACGGACGTTCAGACTTGACTCGGGTTGATTGTTTAGTGGCTCGACTGGGGGTTTCTTGGCCCATTGTTCAAGTACCAGTGGACAAACACAGGTCCAGTAATTCCCCCTGGGGATTTTGTGGGTTGACGGCCAAGATCGGGGAAGAAAGCACTGACGTTGGAGAAACAGAAAGGACCTGTGGTGGAGTTGCTGTAACGTCGTGTGAGGCTCTGAGCAAATCAGTAATCAGTCGCACGCTGGGATGTTGGACTGAGCTCATCCAGGTGGATGCTCGTTCTCTGCAGGAAGGCATCCATCGATGCCCCTCGGTGTTGGTCAAGACAGTGGAGGCAGGCCGCGAAGGCGTTGGATTGTCGGACACTGTCCGCGGCCTCCATCACGACCAGACCAGCTAATGTGGAACAAAACTTTGGGCGTAGCTCTTGTGGGCTTTTTGGGCATCATCTGATGGCTAATGTCGCGAATGTTGTTGCGGTGAAATGGCAAGTCTTGGCCTGTTGTTCTTGATGAAGGGGCAGTGCAATAACAACAGCAGCTAGATAGGTGTTGGTCCTGGAAATTGACAAATGTCGTTGCTTCGCCGTGCCGGTCTCTGCCCTGTTTGGCTAGCCGGACATCTGAGTCTCTTCTTGGTTGTGCAAGTTGGTGGTGGGTGGCTTCGGGAGGATTTACCCGCCTGAAGCGACACAACCCTCTCGCTGAAGCGAAAGAAGAATAGACGCTAGACAGACAGTCTTTTGTCGTATGTACTCTGTACGTCACGCAGTCATCCCGGTCGAGTGGAGAGAATTATAAGTTTGGAAAACGAGATTATGAGGTTCAGGGGAGGCGATCCTTCGTGTGGTGATGGAAGCCCGTACTGGTTTGCTGCAGTTGGGCTTGATTGGTCGAGCTGCGAAGAAGATGCAGGTGGCAGTTGAAACAATGACGGCTCCTTTATGTGAAGAGAAGGCTGATGCTCGTGGTAAGCAGGGGAGGGATCGGCCAGTTCGAGTTCTTGGTCGAAAACTGAAGGGATTCGATGTTTGTCATAGGAATCATCGCCCAAGACAAGACAACCCGGTGCAAGCGTTGCTTGGGGTGTTGATATCTAGATACTTGAGCATTCAGTGTCCCATAACCCATATAACGTCAATGGTGGTCCATGTGTATTGGCCTTCCTTTGGAGGGGCAAGCTGCATCGTCGTTGCTTTTTGGTTGAGCCGCCTCGGCGAAGGGGTTCCAGTGAAGGGGTTCCAGTGCCACGAGGAAAGCCGAAAAGGGATTAACGAGGACAATCGCGAACGGGTTGTGGGTGCGGGCACTAGGCCATCCATGAATATGACATGTGAACAGGTGGAGGGCGCGTTGGAGTCTTGGAGAAGTTCGAAGTTTGTACGTCAGAAGTCTGAATTGGAGTTGGGGAATCAAATGGAACAAACGGCCTGAGGTACGGAGTATTGAGGTAAGGTATCGTGAACCTCCCCCGTCTCGCGCCTTCTTCTCCCGAGCTTCGTTGACAGGTACCCATGTACTCCGCACTCAGGTCCGTACTCTTGCTGCCAGCTGCCAGACAGAGGTGCCAAGTTTTTGCCAGTGCCTGACACGAAATCGGCTCACCTTACATAATGCGCCGAGGGAAGTGGGGCCATTTGAGCACCGTGTGATTACGTAACGCAAGTCTCGAGATTGCACTGTTGCTCTCGTCCGCCGTGGTGGGAAAGGCGTCAGACTTTCAAGAAATTCGACCCCATTCAGGGCCCGTTGGCGCAAACCAGCTTCCTCATCCGACGCGTCTGAGAGCTCTGATTCGTCACTAAGGTGCCCTACAGCTATCGTTGTCCCGCTTCTCAGCACCTCACCTCATATCACCCTACCTTAGGTAAGGTACTTTTGCGCCTAAACTCGGCTTACAGTGCTGCTGACTGCTCAGTGCCCCTCCTTCGTCTGATTTCCAGAGTTCCTGACCCCTCCAAAAAGGCAAAATCCTCGGGTGTGACGGCCGGCCGGACTCCCTCCATGTTGACCAGAACATCTACCGGTACTCGGTCAGCACGCAACATTCTTGCTCTCCGATCCAAGTTTGTACCACCAACACTACCACTACCACCACTACAAGCAGCAAGGAGCCTCATCGGTCAACTCCGAATCCAACAGCTATCAACGGCCGCGGCATCCATACGCCTTGGCAGATCGCGGCAAGCTTCCCCGTCGCATCGCAAACCAGCTCCCTTCCAGACCTTACCAAGACGGCTCTTCTCCGCTACACCCACCGCCACCATGGCTCAAGACTATGAGACGGTGCTCAAGGGCAAGTACCCCGCCAAGGAGCATGCCCTCCGCGTCGCCGACTACGTCAAGTCCAAGGTTCCCAATGCCTCTGGCGTTCTCTATGTCGAGGGTCGCATGACCAAGATGCTCGAGGACAACGACGAGCCCGAGCCCTTTAGGTATTATCTCTAGCATCTACCTTATCTTAACCTTTGGTCCATCGCTACCTACCTTAACTGTTCAATCATGCCTGACACCCATCGCAAAGACAGCGCCGCTACTTCTACTACCTGACCGGCTGCCCTCTCGCCGACTGCCATTACGTTTTCGATCTTGCGACAAACAAGTCGACTCTCTTCATCCCCCCTATCGATCCCGATAGCGTCATCTGGTCTGGTCTGCCCGTCAGCGCCGCCGAGGCCAAGGAACTGTACGATATCGACGATGTAAAGTACACCACAGACGTCAATGCCGAGCTTGCGCGGCTGGGCAAGGGCTCCAAGAACACTGTTTTTGCCATCCAAGACCAGGTTCTCGACAACATCACTTTCCTCGAGTTCGACGACAAGAACTTTAGCGTTCTCAAAGATGCCATTGAGCGCTGCCGCGTGGTCAAGGACGACTACGAGGTTGCCCTCACCCGAAAGGCCAACGATGTCTCGACCATTGGCCACCATGCCGTTGTCAAGGCTGTCAAGAAGGCCAAGAACGAGAGGGAGCTGGAGGCCTTGTTCCTGCAGCACAGCGTCGCGAACGGTGCCAAGAACCAGGCTTACCACGGCATCTTTGCTGGAGGTCGTGCAGCTGCCACTCTGCACTACGTCGCCAACGATGCGCCTCTGGAAGGAAAGCTGAACCTTCTCCTGGATGCTGGCACGGAATGGAACTGCTACGCATCTGACATTGTGAGTAAAGTGTTTAAACTCACAGTGTGTGTACGATCGCGAAACTAACACAGACTAGACCCGCACATTCCCCATTTCCGGCAAGTTCAGTAAGGAGTCTCGTCAAATCTACGACACCGTATTGAGGATGCAGCTCGAGACAACTGCTGCCTTGAAAGAGGGCGTTGTCTGGGATGACATTCATCTGTTGGCGCACAAGATTGCCATCGATGGCCTCCACGCTATCGGCATTCTCAAAGGAGACAAAGACGAGATCCTCAAGAGCAGGACAAGTGTCGCCTTCTTCCCCCACGGCCTCGGCCATTACCTGGGCATGGACACCCACGACGTCGGTGGCAACCCCAACTACGCCGATACAGACCCCATGTTCCGGTACCTGCGTGTCAGAGGCCAGATCCCTGCCGGCAGCATCGTGACTGTCGAGCCGGGTATCTACTTCTGCAGCTTCATCATCGAGCCGTACCTTAAGGACCCCGTTTACTCCAAGTTTATTGACCAAGCCGTCTTGGACAAGTACTGGGACGTTGGCGGTGTGAGGTAAGTTAAGCCCTGATCCCGGTGCTCTCAGTTGGATAGGCGTGCTAATTTGTTTGCAGAATTGAGGACAACATCCTCATCACCAAGGACGGCAGTGAGAACCTGACGCCCACCATCAAGGACCCTGATGAACTGGAGAAGATTATCCAGGCGAGCTAAAGGGCGTCATGAACGACCCGGCCGTAGAAAATAAAAGACCGAACATTAATCCCACCGTGACTCCTCGGCCAGAACGTGCTAGTCGGGCCTGGCTGTGCCCGAGAATGATTTTCCACATAGACGCAAATGTGCTCGTTCATACCCCTTCCGTCAGAGCCAAGAGGCTGAAGCCAATATCGTCTCCTCCTTGCTGAATGAATTTTCTGACAATGTCTATGGACTCTGGTCCGAGATCCACCTTTTCCTCTTCGTCTGGGATCCCTCTGTCCACCGGGCCTTTACGATCTCCGTCCAGCTCGTAGAGGTGGCCAGTGTCTGGTGATTTGACGAAGCAGATGTAGTGGAAGTAGACCTCGTCCTCTGCACTTTGCGGTGCCGCCGTGTCGCCCTTTGTCGCGATGGCAGCGTACGCATCCTCGAGTTCTGTTGAGCCCTCCAGCACCATGGCGGCCTGGGCTGGGTCCATGGGCGCTGTGATGGACAGGAGGCTATCTAACAACGATCCCGGTGCTGAATCTCGTTAGTATTTTTCTTGTTGTTTTTGGGTTTTTGGGGGGGAGGGGATCTTGATAAGGGATCAAGAGGAAAGTCGTGGCAACTCACTCAGAAAGTCTTTGGCCCGGCCGTTTGCCAGAGCATGCAAAACAGCATACAAACCACAGGCATTGTTGATAGTCTGCTTAAACCAAACCGCATCCTCGTCCTCCTCATCGTGTTCCACCATCCAGTCCTTTGCGCCGGCGTCTTCGGCCGTCAGCCGCGCTTCATAGGTTGGCGTTGTGGGAAAGACGAGAACGAGGGCGAGGATCTTGGGTGGGAGGAAGGCCGGGTCGTCGAGGGCGAAGACGTCTTGGAAGTGAAGGTTGCGCGAGGCGCCGAGGGCGGCGATGAGTTCGTTGAAGACGAGGGGGTTTGATTCGAGGGGGATGAAGGCTTTGTTGTAGGTTTCCGGCATTTTGAGAGTGAGGGTGTGGAGGGACGAGTGGTTTGGGCAGGTTTGGGTTATTGTGAAGAGGCTTGAGATTAATATGAGCAGTGGAATAATGATCATTAAAATGAATGAGATTGAATAATGGATTATTCGCCTTTTCACAATTGATACTCTGATCAATCCGAATGGTTGAGATGAAGTGAGCATCAACCAGATATTTGAGATGAGGGAGAGGATGAGAGACAGGGGTGTAACTGAGGTGAGGTTGGCTTCTACAGGTACCCGCACGGGTTACCAAGCTGGCGGTAGTGGCTGACTGAGCGCTGGAAATCGCTGACTTGGGGCTCACATATCCCGCCACACCTCATTTGTCATCTCATCCTAATTCTCATCCCATGAACGGGGAATTGTTGGTATTGCGGTCATACGTGAGAAGCTTGCAATAGCACCGAAAAGCACTCAGCAACAACATGGAACTTACCAGTGGGTGTAAGTCGCAATAATGTACTTTCATGGGATATGCTTTCGAGTCAAGGTAAGATAGCTAGGTGCTTACCCACATGTTGAAGGCCAAGCTTTTGCGGTTCCAGTTTTCTCATCTAGATCTTAATGAATCCCGCAAGTGACTCGATCTCACCATTATGCTGCAGCTAAGGTATCTTGCACAAGCTTCAAGTTCACAGTCTTATGTCCCCCTTCATAAAGAGCAACAAATAGTCAAAAGATGCCTTACGGACTTGAGGTAAGCACTCGAACACCCAAGCAGTACCTCACCCGGAACCAAAGGCCGGCGGCCGCCGTCGGCTCGGAGCGGCCCCATTCTCAGTGGCCCCCGCATGGCCGATAAGATAGCGCCTGGAAGATGGAGGGGTCATGAGGGGTCCTGCCGGTCACTCGCGCAGCCATGAGACGAATCTGCCACCACCGTGTGCCTGTCTCATTGCCGCAGTGAGCAAGTATTTTCACGCTATCTGTGCCTCTCCCACTACTTGCCTCTTATAGGTAGCTCAAATTGATGTTGAATGTGTGGTGAGGTTACAAACGGTGGGGAAGCTCCCCCGCCGTGAGGGGACATGAGGGGCCGGAGGGCCGCCCGTTCACGAGCTGTTTCCCGCCGGCTGGGCACTCCGTCTCAAAGTCAACCTCTTCACAAACATCTAACTCATCGTCTTTTCACATTTTATTTTTTCTGAATCATAGAGCTTTATAGAAACCTCACAAACATCTCTGCCAAAGACCACACAGACCACAGTCATTATCGTCACCTCACAAACCACCACGATGGCGCGCTTCCGCGTCCCCTTCGCCAACCTCCCCATCCCGCCAGCCCTCCGCGTCCTCCCCGCGCCGACAATCCGCATCATCGCTCTCCTCGTCACAATCAACATCATAATATGGATCGTCGCCGGCATCATCCTACACTTCCACCCCTCCCTCATCTCCCCCGCAGCCCTCTCCTACGTCCTCGGCCTCCGCCACGCCCTCGACGCAGACCACATCTCCGCCATTGATCTCATGACCCGCCGCCTCATCGCCTCCGGCCAGCGTCCCGTGACGGTGGGAACCTTCTTCTCTCTGGGCCACAGCACAATCGTAATCATCACCTGCGTCGTCGTAGCCGCCACGAGCGGCGCGCTGCGGGACCGCTTCGACGGCTTCACGCGCGTGGGGAATATCATCGGCACGAGCGTCAGCGCGGCGTTCTTGCTACTTCTGTGTGCCGGGAACGGGTGGGTACTGTATAAACTTATCCGGAGGCTGAAGGTCGTGCTGGAGGAGGAGAGGCGGCGCGGGTTGGAGGGGTACACGCCTACCGAGGAGGACGAGGCCGATGCGGCGACAGATCTCAAGTTGGAGGGCGAGGGTTTCCTGGCAAATGTGTTTAGAAAGGTTTTCCGTGTCGTTGACCGGCCTTGGAAGATGTTTCCCCTGGGAATTTTGTTCGGGTTAGGTTTTGATACGAGTTCCGAGATTGCTATTCTCGGGTTGTCGAGTGTGCATGGTGCGCAGGGGACGAGCATCTGGCTTATTCTCATCTTTCCCGTTCTTTTCACAGGTGAGTTTGCATGCCATATTTCGGGTACATTGACTGACTCCTAACAGCTGGCATGTGCCTTCTCGACACCACGGACGGCGCCCTCATGATGGCCCTCTACACCTCAAAGGCCTTCTCGCGCGACCGCGTCGCCATTCTCTACTACTCCATCGTCCTCACCGGCATCACCGTCTTCGTCTCGGCCTTTATCGGAATCATCCAGGTCCTTTCTCTCATCGCCAACGTCGCCGAGCCCGAAGGCAGCTTCTGGGATGGCGTCGACGCGATCGGCGAGCACTTTGACATCATTGGCGGCAGCATCTGCGGTCTCTTTGTCGTTGTCGGGCTCGGTTCGGTGGTGGTGTACCGACCATGGAGGAGGAGGATCGACAAGAAGAATCAGGAGAGAGCTGTACTCGTGCCTGAGGAGGAGAGGGGCCTTGGGGCGGGCGAGCGGCCGAGCTATGGTGCCGTTGAGCCTGGCGATTCTGTCTCGAAGAAGGGTATTGTGGCGACTGAGAGTGATTTGCAAACGTAGCCATCTCGATTTTACCAAGTTTATCCGCATAGCGTGGGAGATTTCTCAGACTGTAGATGAGTTCACGCATGGCGAGAGTCACGATACAAGGTCAAGTATCATGGATGGGTCGTTGCATGGCGTTATAATATAAGGTACCTTTACACACTAATTCATACAGGCGGCTCAGTATCGCCGATATGCCCGATTAAACGACATATACTTCGTTTCTGTCCGTTTCTCTCATATGCGTCCACGAGCCTCACGACCCCTCTGTATTGCGGCTATGCCTGGCTCAAGCCGCCCATGTAGCCCGTCTTAAGTTACCCAGAAGCTTTGCCCAAGAAGCCGCTGAAGCTCCTTCATCTAGTTTCTTGCGCGCGCGAGGCGGGTGCTGTTGGGAGAGTGGTGACTGCGACCAATGACCTTGCTGCCGCTGGATGCTGTAGCCCGGAGGTATGGGGGGGTCTCTTAGACTGATACCTGCTCATGGCAATCACCAAGGAGTCCGCGCCTCCGACACAATTCCCTCAGACTGACTGCCGTGTACCCCTCCAGGTAATCCGCAAGTCGCGTCGTAGCTGAAGCCAGCATCCGCTCCGTCGAAAGCTGGTGTCTCTCTCCCAGCCAAAGCAGGTAACAGGGCCTCTTCTCGATTTTTATCTCGAGGCCTGCCCGAAGACGCCGCACCATCTCCATCTCATCCTCGTGTCTCTTCTGTACCAACTTTGTCTTCTCTTCTGCCGTACAAGACACGCCCATCTCGTTACTCCAGAAGCCTGCTCGTTCAGCCGCTTGAAGAAGGCCGTTCTGGGTACCAGATGGGGGGAGCGGCTCGCTAGTGGCGACAAGCTTCTTGATCGGCTTCTTGAGGGGCTCCCAGGCCTCTTGGTCTTCTGCAAGCGCTTTTTGAAGCCGAATACTCGGACCACGATCCAACGATGGAGCTCGAGCTGATGTGTTGACGGGACTGCCGTTCCCAATCTCAACTGGCGTATTACGGGGAGGAATCAAGCCCTCTTTGCACGAGTCCTCACCCTGTCTTGACTGGTCATAGAGTCTATCGAGCCATTGCGAAGAGGATTCAGCTATCTGCTCATAGAGTTCTGCGTTTGAGCTGCCGGGTACGTCGGAAAGGGGCACGAAATTCTCGTGCAGCATTCTGCTCGCCCGGTTGTATCCGTAGTCCAAGTCGACCAACCGGCTGGCCAAGGGCGAAACAACACATGTTCCGTTGGTAGCACTGGAATACCCAAGGACGGCTGGCTGGGTTATGAGGACTGCGTCATAGATTTCTTCGCTAGCCAAGAAGTCGTTTGTATCCATAGCGTTGGGCTGGAGAGTATCCATTTCTTTAGCCATGGTCTCCAGGTCTTCGACGAAGCTAGCTCCAGGATTCCCGCTAAGGTGGAATGGAGCGGGCTGGACGATATCTTGCTGGTTGTAAGCCACCTGAAGAGGAGTGACAGATCTCTGCTGCTCCTCCACATGGTGCTTGCGTCTTTCGAGAGTGCTTAGTTTGATGTGTGCCAAGACCGCACGTCGCCAGACCGGACGACTGGGTTTGCGCTCAGCTTCCCCGTTGGTCGACATTGTGTAATAGATAGAGAGAAGGGTAAGATTGTATGAGTGTAAGAGCTTGATTCAGGGGAATCAAGTGTGGTGAAGCGTTTGTGTACTCAGAACTGACAAGTCTTTGGCAATGAAGAATGTGTTGCAGGATCGAGGGAGAGGCGATGCTTTCTGCTCCTAGAGGGGATGAGAGAGGGGAAGTTATAAGATCTCCGGAACCCATCTCCGATCACTAAAACACAGAGCCATCTACGTTAGTTACGAGATTAATACCTTTGCCTTCAGGGTGCCGTCCATAGACTGCCGTCTGGTCGTGGAGTCGGTGGTCGTACAATTAGGATAAGAGCTATCTCCGATGACTAGAAGAATTACACCCTCAAACATCATGAACTCTTCTTATACACAAACAATAGGGGGACATGAGCTCGTTCATGGATAGACAAATTGGAGCTTTTGAGAGATCAGAAGGTTGCAGTTTGGCGTTTCTAGGTGGCCAGGCTTTGGCCCAAGCACTGGAGTCCCATGAGGTGAGGCACCAGAATCAGCCGCCATGAGATTGAACTTTGATATCAAACTGCCGAAGATAAGCACTTTGTGTGTAAAACTAACGTCACCAAATAACCAAGACTGTAGCTGCATCGAGTCTATAGACCATGGAAACCTTCGCTCGAAGCTCTTTGTGCGTTGGGTCAACAAGGCACAGATTTCTCGCTAACTAACGGACGACTTTCTAGGCAAGTATGAACTACAACAGAGTACATGGCCTGAATGATTGACACCCAAGCTCATGGAGAGCATTGTCAGAAACACCGGTTCTGGCGCACCAGTTTAGACATGTATGGAACATACTTTTGCGGAACGCTCAGCCTTATACCTTGATGAGCCGCTTAACGCCGACAAAGCCTGGCATCAATAACGGCAAGAAACTTGAGGAATGTAATCGAGAACAAACCTGAGGACAGCCAAGATGGTGCTATGGAGTTTGTTCACGATTCTATCGATTAAGGGGAAAGTCTAGTAGTAATTGGCATTCATGAGCTTACAGTGCTTCAGGCCATGGTAAGTAACCATGGCAAGTCTTCTTAACAAGCTAGGCCGAGAGGTTGTTACTCAAGGAGCCTCACCAACATAATGTGATGGCTTCAAGTATATTGGGTGTCTCGTTACCAAGTATTTATCGCAGTGGCTGCGTTGAGTGGTATATTTCTAAACTCCATCATAAGGTATCTAGGTACTGAAAGACAACGACAGTTGCACCAATGAATGTTAGTAACCACAGTTTCTCCGTACTGCATAAAAATACTTGTTACACGGATGTGCGAAGCATAACCCAGTCCACTTGGCCAGGGAGGTGAATTTAAGCTGGATGTTCTGGTCCAGATCTCTCCGACCCCATTATTGTAAGTGGGGGTGAAATGCGAACATCCAGCATGCTTGAAACATAGCACCGAACAACGGTCGCACAAAGTCCAGTTCATCAAGTAAATGATGGAGAAGCGAACGCAGGTCCAGGAATACATCGTGCAGAAGACGTGCTTGGATGGCATGATGGCAGGCGGGAACGTGGGAACGCCAGAAGAGGATGGAACTGCGGGATCGGAGGAAACGGTGAAGTCGGTGAGGCAACGGACGTCGTCCGACAAGGGGCACTCAGTCCAGACCTTGACCCAAAGCGGCAAGTATCCGAAGCCAACGAGTCGGTGTGCAAGTACATGCCTCCAATCCTCTGAGGAACACTCCGTAGGTAATGCGACGTTTTTTGGCGTCAAGTTCGGTACGACGCTGTCACGGTATGCGAAAGCCGTTACTAAATCAACCCTTTTCCTCGGTGTCTCAACGTATTCGGAACGGCTATTCCGTAGCACGGCCTGGGCCTTGTTGCCACTGGCGTGTTTCCGGTGCTTTGGATGATCAGGGTCCATCCACACCGACTCAGGGTCCTCGGCCAAAAGTGGCTGGCACTGGGTGGGTGGGTGTGATTAGTTCCTCGGTCCCCTTTTTTCTCTCATTCTTTGGTTGCATTATCTGCCTTCCGTTTTCCCGTCCATGCTCCGGGCCAGAGTAACACGAATCAGTCTGGGTCCTTGGTGGTCTCATCTGATGTCGTTGGCCGCTGTGTCGGTCCATGTGCCTTGAGTACCTCTACCTGAGAAAGGGAATCGCCTTGCCAATGGCCCAGCGGCACGGTGCGCTGTTCGCGCAATAATGAGGCCCCCTTAGGCCGCTGGAGAGGGGCACGATAGGGAGGTCAGGTGCATGCTCTTGCGACAAACATTGGCAGACTAACCAGCGTCGAGTCTTATGTATGGTCGCCCTCAATTAGACGTTGGTGGTGACTGCGATAAACGAGCTGTCAATGTTGCCGAGATGCATACTGTCTGGAGTCTGTAGCTATGCAGTGTATTGCTTTGGGCCAGAACGGGGCGGGATACCGGAGCCGGCATTGGGTTTACGCCAACATCGGCTCGGACGCATGCGGTGTCTCCCGGTTCGCGCACAACACGAATGGCAAGAAGCCATGTCAGACAAGGCGGACGATATGTTATTGAGGCCGTGAAATCTTGTTGAAGCTTGGACGAGACAGCACCACGCACCACGCAGTGCTGCAAAGCGGCACACTGTGACTGTTGACATGCTTGAATCTGGTCGGATGCTGCTTGTGACAAGTGATATGAGGTGCAATGGGGCTGATTTAGTGGAGGAACATGGCCCTTGCCACCTCCTGCATTGTGCATCTGTATTCGTAGAATGTCGAGGTGCTCAGGCCAGCAGAATGCTATGCCGTTGTTGGGGTCTCGTACAGGAGGCTGGAAATGCTGCAAAGACTTCAGCCATGGCACGGATGGGTATCGCACCTCGTCGTCGCCTCGATATCCCCGGAATTCCATTATCAATCCTCCTCGCCCTTCGTGCATATGTGACTGGTTGCTTTCCCCTGCACTGCCGTAAGCCAGTGGAGGAACCCAGCAACAGCGTCCACTCGTGGCAATGTGGGCCTAGAGCGGATGTGGTAGGCGGGCGCGGTGTTCAGGGGCGGGCTGGAGGTACAGTATCTTGAGTTATCGTGCTGCGACGATCTATCTTTATCCGTCCAAAGTCGGGGTAGATATCGCCAGGGTCTACTCCGTGGCTCTCGGATGTTTCGAGACAACTTGATAAGAGGGAAGTGTTCGTTGGTCCCTATGGAGCAGAGCATCTCCATGTGTGAGTTGAAGTGGAAAAAGGTCGAAGGGAATCTGGTCAATTGCGGGATGATTAAGGTTCTGTCAAGCGTCGATTGCTGCAACGTCGTCCAGATGTGGTATACGAGAGTGTGACAGCGTACAGATATTCCGTTCGGGGCGAGTTTGTAGGTTCGCTTGCGTACGGCTGGAGCTGAGCCTCTCTGCGGTTGTCATACATCGCGGGGTTATCAAGAGGCAGCCTGATCAGAAACCACCGTAGCCAACGGTGGTCTGGCTGTGCTGAGAGACTGGCCTGCTTGTTCACCAGGTTAGGCAATGTCGTTGCCTAAGCCGTCCATCAGGGTTTATATCGCGCTGACCAATGGATCTCGTGAACCATGAATTGAGGTTGACGATGGAACGCAATGCCAGGCAGTCGTGAGGCAGTCAGCCTGGGCGTTTGCCCCAATGGCATGCTGGGAATGCCCTCATGCTGAAGCATTGAGATTTTTGATCGAGTGTAAATCAAGAATTGATTGCCACCGTTGAGCTTGAACCCTGGCCGAACTCGGGGGTACTAAGATAGGCCGACCGTGTGAATAGTGTACCTCCAACGTTGCCCCAGGTTCCAACGGCAAGGTCGGATGGGGGATACCAACCGGGGTGGATCTTGGTTGGCGGTGTTGGTGGTAGTAGGTATCCGCAAGCTCGCCAACCTCGTCCTACGAACACAAACACAAAGTGTAAAAGACAAACGAGACCAGGCCTGTCCGACGCGGCTGATGATGGGCACGCGGATGTCTATCCGTAGGAGCTTTTGCGTATCTGTGCCATTGCCTGCCGGGTAGATGTGTAGCACGATCCATGGGTGGTGTTGTTGAAGAAGAAGAAGTCTTGCCTCAAACGGACTGAACTGGATCAAAGCAGATGGCGAAAGATGGAGGGTGGATGGGCTGGTGATTGACAATGGAAGTTCTGAATTGCCTCACGGAGGAAAAGGATCGGACAGAAGAGCGAGGAAGGAACAAAAGGCAGGAGCTTGAGGAGGTTCGCGCATGCCGAAAATCAAAGGAGCGCCAACGGTGCCTCGTCCATTTTGGGCCAATTTGAGACGATTAGGAACCTTATCCGCCTCGCCTGGGCGGCCTTATCGGTATCAGCAGCAGACCTGAGCCAATCAGAGCTGTTGCATAGCTACCTAAGGCGTCAAGACCCTGAAGCGGCACCAGCTAAATTCTTATCGCAGGGTGCTGAAGGCTCCCGACCGCGCATCCACGGCGCTAACGACTCTGCAGTGTCCCCTGGAGTGCAGTGCATGACACGATTGGGGGTCTAACGGAAGATACGTACCTGATCCATGTACCTCTCACCCCACACAAGCTGTACCGATACCTCCACCCTCCACCAGTCCCATTAGGTTCTCCCCGATTCTCCCATCCCTCCAACTTCCCTCCTCCTCAACCACAGCCGTGCGCGCCGTTCTTTGTCTCCGTCCAAGACATCCACGCAACTCCCTTTCCGTCTTCTACCGTGGCACCAACAAAATGGAAGAAATCTGACACCCTTCGATCCGAAGTACTGCCTTCTGGAACCCTGAAATCGACCGGCTTGACGCCAATAGAGACCCTTGCCCCACTCAATGCCCGGTGCTCGACCTCGTCCAAGGATAGATGAATTGAGTGATACGGGGAAACAGGGGGAAGCAATCACGACAATCACCACAAGCCACGCCGGCCTGCTTGTTCTTTTACCGGGGCCCTTGATGTCGCCAACCTACCGAGGCCAATGGCGACAATGGATGTGGTTCCTCGACTTCCGACTCGATGCCTTGGCTGCCTCGCAATAGCCTAGATGGCTACGGCTTCCCATCATCTACATCCATGTGGTGCGAGCCACCCTCCACCTTCGCCATCCCGGTCACGGCCCCGGCCTCGACTCATGCTTGTCAGATCGTCCAATACTTCCGGCGAGGCTGCCACGCTTTCGTTGGAGGTACCCAGTCCGCGACTCTTACGAGCTAGGTGAGCCCTCCTTCGTCTACAACGTACCCTCTTCCTCCGCCTTTTTGTTTCCCTTATAAACTGTCTCGTCTTCCATCCACGACTCGTACTCGTCTATGCCTCTAAAGATATCCGCACCCTCCATAACCTTCCTTCACCGTTCCACCTTGCTCGAGTCGGTCGTCTGTCTGTGCCAAGGCATTAGACCGCCCTCATTTCGCTCCATCTTGCCGTAACTGACCCGTGTACAACAATAAGCTCGGGACGTTTTCTGTAAGCTGGCAATTCTAGAAAACAACTGCTCAGCTCCCACCTTCCACCTACCTCGTCCTCGACCGTTGTGATTCCCTAGACTTGCGACAAACACCTAATTCTCGAGCTTCCGTGTCCGCTCTACTACATTCTTACCATGCACGGCTACAGCTCTTCAGAAGAGTCGGATGACCCTCGTCGCCCGCGCCCTGTGCCGGCATCGACAAACACCACTGACAAGAAGAAGACGAAAAAGAAGAAGACGCCTCCGCAGCCCTCCATCAACCATATTTGGAAGAAGTTCCAAGACAAAAAGTTCAACAAGGCTTTGGCTGTGCTACCATTCGACCCTGTTCTGCCGCCAGCAAGCTCAGAGAAGCCCAATGAGTTGCTTAGCGCCGGATACGAACGAGCTGTCGAGGAGTGCCGCCGGAAAGTGAAGAAGATTATCCAAGAATGTCGCAGAGTCAACATGCGATATCGGGACCCTGGTTGGGATCTGGTGAGTTACCTCCACCCCCAATGCTTGCTAATTCGAACTTGGGGAGCTAACAGGCCACTCAGGACTGGGATTTGAAGTGGGAAAAGGGTCACTGTCTCAACACTCTCGGCCATACCAAATGGCAACTTTCTAGAACGACTCTCTCCAACCCAAGCGCATCTGTCCCCAAGGCAGTAAAGCGAGTTCACGAGATTTTCGAGAAGCCAACCTTCTTGAAGAACGTCAATGGCGGAGACGTGAAGCAGGGGAGCCTCGGGGACTGTTGGTTGATGGCTACGCTGACTGCCCTTGCAAATGTCGAGGGCGGCATCCAGCGCATTTGTGTCGAGTACGACACTCGCATCGGCATCTACGGCTTCGTCTTCTACCGAGATGGCGAGTGGATCTACTCCATTATCGATGACAAGCTGTACCTGAAGTCCCCTTGCTGGGATTCGCCTAGTATGCAGCGGGATCTCCTCCAACAGATCGACCGAGAGGATGTTGAGCGTGTCTACCGCAAGACCTACCAGACCGGATCCAAGGCCCTCTTCTTTGCTCAGTGCAAGGACCAGAACGAGACTTGGGTGCCACTGATTGAAAAGGCTTATGCCAAGGCGCATGGTGACTTCGCCTCGTTGGCTGGCGGTTGGATCGGCGAGGGGTTGGAAGATCTCTCGGGTGGTGTCACGACCGAGCTGCTTACATCGGATATTCTCGACCTCGAGGGCTTCTGGGAAAACGAACTTGCCAAAGTCAACGAGGAGTTCCTCTTCGGCTGCTCTACCGGTCTCCTAGATGGAGGCTATGGTGAGAGGAATGGCATCTCGGAAGGCCACGCATACGTTATCATGGAAGCTAGGACGCTCAAGTCCGGAGAGCGTCTGATCAAGCTCCGCAACCCTTGGGGCAAGATCCGCAAGGGCGTGTGGGAGGGTGCTTGGTCCGATGGTTCCAAGGAATGGACCATGGAAGTTCAAGAGGAGCTTGGTCACCACTTTGGCAATGACTCTGTCTTCTGGATCAACTACGACGACTTCCTACGCAAATTCCAACATATCGACAGAACCAGGCTGTTCCGTGACCCCGCTTGGAGGTGCGCTCAACGTTGGATCGGCGTCGAGGTACCCTGGAAATCCCAGTTTAACGAGAAGTTCCAGGTCAAGTTGTCCAAGGATGGGCCGCTCGTCCTAGTTCTGACTCAACTTGACACGAGATACTTCAAGGGACTCCAGGGACAGTACTCTTTCCGCATCCACTTCCGGATACATGAGCGAGACCGCCCTGGTGCCGAGGACTATATTGTACGCTCCCACGGCAACTATCTCATGGACCGATCCGTCTCTATCGAGTTACCCGACATGCCAGCGGGAGAGTACAGCATCTTCATGAGTGTCACTGGTGAGAGGGACACTAACATCTCCTCTGTCGAAGATGTGGTCAAGCGTGAGTGCAAGAAGCGCGTCGAGAACGACAAGCTGGCGCAAATCGGTGCCGCGTACGACTTGGCTCATAGCAAAGGCACTGCGCACCTCCAAGAGGTCGCTAGGCTGCGAAAGATCAAGGAGCAGCAGAGAGCCTCCGAGTCTCGCCAAAAGGAGCGCCGCAAGCTCTGGGAGAGACGTCACACGAACCGCGAAGTCACCAAGCAGCAGACCAAGAAAAATAACGAGAAGCGCGACCGCAAGCTTGCCAAGAAGGCGGAAGCAGCCAAGGCCAAGGCTGACCTTGAGGCCGCTCAAAAAGCCGCTGCGGAAGCCAAGAAGGCCGAAGAAGCGAAAGTTTTGGAAGAGGCAGAGGCGAAGAAGAAGGATGCTGAGAAGCCCAAGGACCAAGCCGTCCAGACGGAAGTCGTCAAGGAAGAGCCCAAGGATATTGCTGCAGGTGACTCCAAGTCAGATGGCACAAACGAGTCCAAGGAGGAATCCAAGGACGAAGGCAAGCCGGAGTCTAAGCCTGAGTCCAAGGAAGAGTCCAAGGATGAGGTCAAAAAGGATGTTGCCGACGATGAGCCTGCAGACAAGACCACTCCCGCCCCTACCCCTAAACCTGCTCCCGAACCGCCAGCGCAGAAGTCTTACGACTCGGATGGCGATTCATCCGACTCGCCCATCGAAGATTGGGAAGAGCTGTACAGCGAGGATGACATGGTTAGAAAGCCACGCCTGACTCCCGCTGGACCACCCAAAAGACACGATGAGCGTTACGAATCTGAGGAGGAGGGTCTGCCTGATCCCTGGAACGCCATCTGCATCGTCGGAGTGCGCGTCTACTCCATGGATGAGGACCTTGAAGTTCGTGTCGTCATGGAAGGTGGCGAGCTTCTCGAGGGTGGCATGGGCAAGAAGGGAGAGGCCGACATCGACAACGCCCAGGTGAACGCGGGCGGAGAGCGCGAAAGGCTTGATTCTGACAGCGCAGAAGCCGCGAAGACTGATGTCGATATTGTGATCCAGAAGACAGAAGAATCGACTGAAGACGCCAAAGATGACAAGGACGAGACGAATGAAGACTCAAAGTCGGAAAAGTCAGACAAGAATAGTGTCGACTCGACCGATTACGACAAGCTACACTCCGGAACATCGACACCAGACGTCGTTGCCACCCCGGAAGCTACCCCACTAGAGTCACACAAAGAGTTGTGCTAGAGGCCATTAGACCGGTGTAGACGGACGACGTACACGAGGAGAGACGATGGCATAGAGAAGATGTGCTCATTTTGAAGATTTTCTTTGCTTCCATGGTGTCGTTTATTTGATTTCATCCCTGGCCCAAGGGTCGTCGGATAGCATGAAGGGCGTTGACATTGCGAGCGAGGCCAAGCAGCCATATGCAACTGTGTTCTTTCACATGATCTGGATTTCAGACTTAGCAACGTATATACATGATCTTGATGGTCAAATACAGCCTACTGTTCCTTCTAATGCATACTATCACCTCATTTAAGCCGGCAGAAACGTACTCATCATCACGCACAAGGCTGCCTGAACCTTTCACTGGACGATAGGAATCTATTCCCAATGAATGAGAATCACCTAGACAGACACCTTTCTAGTGAGGCCAGACTTTCAGGACTGGGCGATGTGATTGACGGCAAGGAAGCCATGCGTCATTGCAGGACCCAAAGTCGATCCAGCCCCCAGATAAGTCCGTCCCATAATGCTCGCCGCCGTGTTACCAATAGCATACAGCCCAGGAATCGCCTCGCCGTTCTCCTTTAGTACCCTCTGATGCTCGTCAGTAACGAGGCCACCCTTAGTACCCAAATCGCCTGGCCAAATGGCGATAGCATAGAACGGCGCCTTGCTCAATGCTCCCATGTTTGGGTTTGGCCCGCCAGCGGCAGGGTCACCGAAGAAGTTATCGTATGCGTTATCGCCCTTTCCAAAGTCTGCGTCAACGCCAGTCTTGCACATGTCGTTGTAACCCGTGATGGTTTCTTCCAGGCCTTCAGCATCGACTCCAATCTGCTCCGCCAAGTCTCTGAGAGTGCTTGCCGCGAACATTGTTCCATTCGCAACCGGCTTCTTGGGTTTCATTCTCGCGAACAGCTGAGTGCCGAGCATGTATCTGTTGCGGTGGTTCGTATCCATAATCAACCAGGCTGGAATCGCTTTTACAGACTTGTTCCTCTCATATTGATCATGTCCGGCATCCGTATAAGACTGCGCCTCGTTCATGAATCTCTTGCCGGCGTTGTCGACGATAAGACAGTGCGGTCGAGATCGCTCTATAAGCGCAAAGTGAGGTTTCCCTGTCACGGGGTCGAAGATGGTCGGTCCCCACCACGCATCATCCATCAACGCCGTCGCCGCGCCGAGTTTCTGCCCCGCGATTACAGCGTCGCCTGTGTCGCTCTCGGGCGAGTTGGTCCAGGACGTGCTGGCCGGTGCTGGTCCGTACTTCTCGCGGAGGGGCTTGTTGTGCGCGAAGCCGCCTGCTGCGAGGATGACGGCCCGGGACGCTTTGATGGTTTTGGTGGTTCCGTCGCGGAGTTTGACTTTTGCGCCGGTTACTTTTCCTGCTTGGGAGAGCATGAGGTCTAGGAGGGAGGTGTGTAAGCGGATGTCGGTTGCGTGTTTGATGTTGAGGTAGAGAAGCTGAGCGATAAGCCCGCGGCCTAGGCTGACGAGTTTCTGTCCGAGAATGGTTTTGCCGATGATGGGTAGCATGATGCGGGTCGACTTGATGAAAGCTTGGAGAGAAGCCGTCATCATCGTGATCCATGGTGCTTGCTCACCGTGGATGGCCACGGGTATGTTCGCAGGGGGCAGCGCAGCTTGCCATTTCCCCAGCTTCCTGGTATCAAAAGCGACAGACTCGATAGTTCTCCCGCCTCCTTTCCCCATGGCGCCCTTCATGGGATAATAATCCGGATACCCCCTACTGAATCTCCATTCAAAACCAAGGTCCCTAAGGAAGCGAATCATCTGTGGCCCATTATCTAGATACGCCTTGCGTTTCGCTAGCGACGACACGGGTCCAACGTTTCCGACGGCTTGATCAAAGTATGCGAGGGCATCTTCTTTGGAGTCGGATATACCTGCGGCTTTGGATATTGGGTTTGCTGGGATCCAGAGGCCTCCGCCTGAGATGACTGACGCGCCGCCGAGTGTTGCTTCCTTTTCGATGACGACGGGGTTGAGGCCGAGGGTTCTGGCGCGGAGGGCGGCTGTTAAACCACCTGCACCGGAGCCGATTATGAGGATGTCCACTTCTTCGTCTGCTGTGGGCGACTTTTTCTCAGAGAGGAGGCGTTTTAGTTGGGAGACTGGTTGGTAGCATCGTAGTGAGATGCTCGATGTTGGTCGGTGGCGTGCAAGAGTGATACCTCTCATCACATTGGAGCGCATCATGTTGAACCGATGTCGCGAGATGAGAGTCTCCTTCAATGAGCCGATTGCAGAATCATAGGATGAACACAAGAGAAAAGGAGCAGGTCATGAAGAGTAAGCAGGCGAAGGATCGAGATCCTTGTGTCTGATGCCATTGATTGTCCGATGTATTTCAACTGAACCATAAGCAGTAATCAGTGAGCACGACGGAGGTCCCCCGCTTGAAGTGACAGGGGTTGTGGAACCAACATCTCCTCTCCTTGGCCTGCAGGGTGTTTCTTGAACCAAGACAACCCCTCAACGGTTGTGTAGCTCTTCCTAAAACCCTCCACTTCGGATGATTCGGGTGGGCAATAAAGGTGGTGATTGCACTTGGAAACGAGGACCGCGACCATCCGGGGCAACGGAGTCACGAACCCCATTTTTGCGGCCGATGGTCCGGAGCTAGAGCCGTCAGGTGCCGGAGAGTCCACGGTTTCCGCGGTCTCCACGGCGGCCGGTTGGTCGGACGAACATTTCGTGCTTAGAGAGAAGCTCGCTATACCGAATTTCTTGCCGGAATTGGAAGTTATAGATACTGAGGTACTTGGTGGGCTCTTGGCAAAGCCCGTCGTGAACCGTAACTCCCCCAAAGCGATTGCGAGTTGAATACTTTGGTAAAAGCTCCCAGGCTACATGTTTTCGGAGTCCATACCCAGCCGATCTTTGGTGGGTTGCATCCGAGGCCGAAAGCTTGCGCGTTCTCTCGGTTGAGGGTTTCAGGTGTACCATGCCTTGGATCTCCTGCCTTTTAGACTCACGATCGTCTATGTCACTCGTCTTGTAAGCACTTCGTGATATCCATAGCCTGAGAATTCTTTGTATGACTGTGCTGTGATGTCTATGTGGGCTCTAATTTTTGGATGCATACTGCATTACTCCGTTGTGATGCGACCTAAGACGAGCAAAGCAGCAAGATAACAGCTGGCTGAAACAAGGTACGGAATGCCGAGAGCTGCGCCGCCGATCGATATGCTCTTCACCCATAGGACCATCATCAGTGGTGCACCTAAAAGCGATCCTGATGTCTTCACCATCATCACAATCGAAAATATGTGTGACTCTGGATCCGCGGAGCTGACCGGTTGGTCGTGTCTCTTTGGTGAGATGAAGGGAGACTTGAGCAGTGATAGCGTAAATACCGGCAGCGCCGAGCCGAGGGCGTAGAGGAACAGTGAGGGTACCATCATCCAGATCCGGCTCGCTACGGCAATCGCAAGAGCACCTAGGATAGAGACAACCAAGCAGATGTTGGCATAGTGTATATTCATCCGGTGACTAGCCAGCTCAGGTGGAATATGCCGCGACCTATTCTGTTTCGACCTTAGAATGGCGGGGATGATGACCGTCAGGAGTGTAAAGTTGACGACAGCTTTGGCGGAGAGGAGATAGCCTGTAGACGCGAACGTCCAGTGGTAGCGTTTCGAGATGTATTGCACAAGCAACTTCGTGTCTGAGCTTGCGAGCGAAGTGAGGACAAAGCTGGTGAGTAGGAGGGTCATGTTGCGAGGATGACTTGCGACGATGGACTTCAAGACGCCGAAGCGCTGGAGGATGGATCTCAGAAGGGATGAATCGGCGTCTTGAGCTTTCAGCACGGGGGATGAGAGGAGAGGTCTAGCTTGGTCGTCTGCGTCAGGGTGGCTGTCAGGTGATTCCTCCAAGAGAGAAATAGCGGGAATGGCCAGAAGAAGGAGGGCGATGCCAATCCAGAACGGGAGCCAGAGAAGAAGACTCATAGATGCTGATGCGAGAGCTGGGCCAAGCAAGTTGACAACATACGACACGGAGCTCATCCACCCGAAATACGTGGCCCTGTGTCACCATAGTTAGCCAGGGTAATTCGCGATGTCAGGTCGGCGGCCTACTCACCTCAGGACGTGGTCGTCTGTCATATTGGAAGCGATGGCGTATGTGATAGAGTTGAAGACACAATCACCGCCGAGGACCGAGAAGAACGGGGATGCGATCATGGCTTTGGTCGGCAAGGTCTGCTCGAAGTACCCCACGATAACGGCCCACGTCAACAAGATGATGCGAGGTGCAATGTTGAGGCAGAGGATGGACCGCCGACCGTACCTCTCCGCGAGGAACCCCAACGGAATCGTCATGGTGAAGTCTGGATAGGCGTCAGTCAAAGAGCGAGCGCCTGTCGGTGAGATTCTGCGCGCTTACCACCCACGATCCACGCCGTTTCCATGGTCCCTTGGATCCAGGCAAGACCCTGCTGCACATCGTCCACCTTGCAAAGACTTTCTGCAACATTGCCATCTTTTTCGATTACCGAAGGATCTGTGACTGCATAGTGCTCGCGGCAGAGGCGGCGTTCAATGACTCTGCTGAGGGGAAGCTGGTAGAGGCTGGCGGCCAGATTGACCAGGAGTACTAGTGCGAGGAGAGCCCAAATGCCAGTTCTGCGCGGTTTGCGGGAAGGCCTCGGATGAATGGGATCATCATGTACATGGCTAGCATCCACAGAATCTAGTGAAGGAGGCATGGTCTAGCCCACCCTCCTCTATCGGTGGTTGACTGATTTGGTTTGATGAAGAAACCAAGACGATTCAGCGGAACAACTTCTGGGATGGCGCCCATGAATGATGACTAAGCTAGTTTACGGGTATCGCGTCGCCGTGTATTTTTTATCACACTTCTTCAAGGCACAAATAACTACTCTAAACTTATCTCAATGTTTTTTCTTTTTCTGCTTCTGGCCATGATTCCAACATCACACCTATGCCAAGCAATGGCGAAAGACTACAGACTGCGGCAAGCAGAAGTTGTCAGGACTGTAATAGTATTGTCACTCACTGCATTCGCTTATCTCCCTCCAGAGTACGCAATCTCTGCTGAATGAAGTGAGAGTAAGCGCATACTTACTTCCCCTGGAATGCAAACTCCTATAGATGACAATATCCTGAGGGAGGGTTCCCGATCGTGCATCCAAGCCAGCGTTGAATTCTTTGAACCATACCTCAGGTCGATGTACAGTCCCGCCATCTGTTTCTTCCAGAATGCGTAACTCACGCAAAGAAGATGGGAGTGAACCCAACAAATCCTCGGGCCGCACAGTCTCGATGCTTATGGTGAGAGATTCGAGTTTGTGGAGACTCTTCAGCTTTGCAAAGGGAAGAATCTTGCCAGATATCAATATGAGACTCGTCAGAGTGTTGCAATGCTTTGCTATAGCCTCCATGATGGATGGTTCTCGTGAGAAGCCACCAAAAACAAGCTCTAGGTGGCGTAGCATGGTGAAGTTCGAGGTCATTGATTGGAAGTGCCGTGCGCTGAGATTGGTACGCCGCAGAATGAGGCTGGTGAGGTTTGGCGGAAAGGTGAAAACGGACATGGGTTCGTTGCAAAGATCAAGCCGAAGTCCTTGAAGGTTTGGTGCGCAATCCAAAATAGACTTGAACTCGTCCATAGTACTGAGACCTGGTTGCATCAAGTGAAGGTGTCGAAGATTATTGAAGAAAATTGGCTGAGTTATCTTGTTCGGCTCAGGGATCATATCAAAGGGTCGTCGATAGAGGCCGCGTTGGCGTCGGAACATCAACTCAACGGATTCGGCGTTCTGCGCCAGTAACATGGCTACTTCCACCAAGACGTTGATGTTCCAGTCATACTCGTACCAATCGGCTCGTATCTCGAGACCTACATCTTGGATGATGCCGGAAACGAAATCGGCATCTTCAAGATCAATGAGATGCGTTACTGCACAGTGGGAGTATCCTTCAAGGCGTTGTGATCTTGCCTCAATTGTGAGTCTTCGGGTGTACTGAGCACAGTGGGGCCGTGATTTCCAACACTTGAACAGCGATATGAACTTCTTCACACTCGCATTTGGAATGTAAATGTGTCGATGAAGGACCGGCTCAGCAATCTCACGGAGACTGCGGCATGTCTGGCAGAGTATAGCAGACGTTGGGTTGGAGTTGAAAGGAGGGACGTAAAACTCCAAACTAGGCGGTTCTGGTGGGTTGTCGGCGAGTTCGGCTACGACCTGTTGCAAAATCTCCAGTGGGAGAGACAGTAATGATGCCATCCGTTGGATGTAGGATCTAATGATTGAGGTTAAGATCCGGAGCGAAATAGAACCCGTACGTATGTGTGCTCCTTCCCCGGCGGCAAAGATTTCGTGCCAGCTGAATGTGAAATAATATTGATGGCTGAAATGTTGCTTTCTGTGACGATTGAGGTGTACACTGAGAAAAACACAGAAGGATCATACGAGAGGGCAGCAATCAGTCTTAAAGGTCTCATTTCGAAGGATTCATGGGCCCCTCTGCCAAGCTGAAAGTCGTTGGTTGATCCCAGCATGGCTAATACTCCGGTGTCTGCTCTAATCAGCTGCCCTAGCTAAGTGGAGCATCGTCAGGAGATTGTTTCCCCGGCTTCAACTATCATAGGTGGAGCGTGGGCCAACAGGGAGCGAATGCACGTAGCCGTCCCTAGTGGGCTCATTGTGCATGGCTAGACCATGGATTTCGCCGCAATCGGGGGTTCGGATCCTGTCAGCGGAACAGCCATCCACGGGTCTGGGAATTAGGTCCCCGTCAAGCTCTTGATTGTGGGTGTGAATGACTTCACATCTGAAATTTGAAATGTCAATAAGCTTGATCCTGTGAGTTGTTAGTAGTGGTTATCCTAACACAGGTTAGGGTGGGTGTCCGTGCCGCTCCCGGAGTGCTCAAGCTGTAGGTCGGCATCACATCAAGTAAGGCCCCGGATCTGAGGGCGGAGGGTCGCAAATCCCAAGATAGCATTAGCCAAGTATGAATCAACCAGGCTGTTCATTCAAGGACTTGATGCCCGGATGTAGGCAAGTCACTCAAACACGTGAAGTCTTCAAGGCAGTGCAGTTTGTTTCGATTGACGCCTCTGCTATCCACTATTATGAGTTAGCATGGGCTGGATTATTGAGTGAACACTTCCGAAAGGGGAAGCTCGGGGACGAGTTTCGATGTTGAAGAATAACTGTCAAC